TTGTAAGTACTACCAATAGATTCAGCTCGTCAAGGGCTTTCAAATGAGCTATTAAACGTCGCACTGGCATCCCTGAGCAGCCGAAGCCTAAGCTAAGCCTAAGCGCGCGCCAGCTAAAAACTACGAAAAACACCCCAATGACGGTTCGGCCAGTTCCCGCTGTCGTAGCGCCTTCAAATTACTAGGGGTGCTTTTTGAGCCTTCTAGTAGCCTACATGCAAGAAATTGGAGCTCCAGCGCGCTTCCGCGCGATTTTGGCAATTCCGCGTGGCCAGGCCCGAGGTCCGATTCGACCACCCGGGAAAAGTCGATACCCTTAGAATTAAGTTTCCTGTTTTCAAATTTTCAGGGTAGATTAGGCAGCTCTTTAGCATGTCAGAACAGGTTTCAGATCGACGATTTGAGTTTCCAGCGCAAAGTTACATCGTTTTGCAGTTTTTGGGCTGCCCGGAAAGACATAAGTCGGCTTAGCGGGCTTAGCTTGCATTATTTCGCTTTGTAAGTACTACCAATAGATTCAGCTCGTCAAGGGCTTTCAAATGAGCTATTAAACGTCGCACTGGCATCCCTGAGCAGCCGAAGCCTAAGCTAAGCCTAAGCGCGCGCCAGCTAAAAACTACGAAAAACACCCCAATGACGGTTCGGCCAGTTCCCGCTGTCGTAGCGCCTTCAAATTACTAGGGGTGCTTTTTGAGCCTTCTAGTAGCCTACATGCAGGAAACTGGAGCTCCAGCGCGCTTCCGCGCGATTTTGGCAATTCCGCGTGGCCAGGCCCGAGGTCCGATTCGACCACCCGGGAAAAGTCGATACCCTTAGAATTAAGTTTCCTGTTTTCAAATTTTCAGGGTAGATTTGGCAGCTCTTTAGCATGTCAGAACAGGTTTCAGATCGACGATTTGAGTTTCCAGCGCAAAGTTACATCGTTTGCAGTTTTTGGGCTGCCCGGAAAGACATAAGTCGGCTTAGCGGGCTTAGCTTGCATTATTTCGCTTTGTAAGTACTACCAGCAGATTCAGCTCGTCAAGGGCTTTCAAATGAGCTATCAAACGTGGCACTGGCATCCCTGAGCAGCCGAAGCCTAAGCTAAGCCTAAGCACGCGCCAGCCAAGAACTACGAAAAACACCCCAATGACGGTTCGGCCAGTTCCCGCTGTCGTAGCGCCTTCAAATTACTAGGGGTGCTTTTTGAGCCTTCTAGTAGCCTACATGCAAGAAATTGCAGCTCCAGCGCGCTTCCGCGCGATTTTGGCAATTCCGCGTGGCCAGGCCCGAGGTCCGATTCGACCACCCGGGAAAAGTCGATACCCTTAGAATTAAGTTTCCTGTTTTCAAATTTTCAGGGTAGATTTGGCAGCTCTTTAGCATGTCAGAACAGGTTTCAGATCGACGATTTGAGTTTCCAGCGCAAAGTTACATCGTTTTGCAGTTTTTGGGCTGCCCGGAAAGACATAAGTCGGCTTAGCGGGCTTAGCTTGCATTATTTCGCTTTGTAAGTACTACCAGCAGATTCAGCTCGTCAAGGGCTTTCAAATGAGCTATCAAACGTGGCACTGGCATCCCTGAGCAGCCGAAGCCTAAGCTAAGCCTAAGCACGCGCCAGCCAAAAACTACGAAAAACACCCCAATGACGGTTCGGCCAGTTCCCGCTGTCGTAGCGCCTTCAAATTACTAGGGGTGCTTTTTTGAGCCTTCTAGTAGCCTACATGCAAGAAATTGGAGCTCCAGCGCGCTTCCGCGCGATTTTGGCAATTCCGCGTGGCCAGGCCCGAGGTCCGATTCGACCACCCGGGAAAAGTCGATACCCTTAGAATTAAGTTTCCTGTTTTCAAATTTTCAGGGTAGATTAGGCAGCTCTTTAGCATGTCAGAACAGGTTTCAGATCGACGATTTGAGTTTCCAGCGCAAAGTTACATCGTTTTGCAGTTTTTGGGCTGCCCGGAAAGACATAAGTCGGCTTAGCGGGCTTAGCTTGCATTATTTCGCTTTGTAAGTACTACCAATAGATTCAGCTCGTCAAGGGCTTTCAAATGAGCTATTAAACGTCGCACTGGCATCCCTGAGCAGCCGAAGCCTAAGCTAAGCCTAAGCGCGCGCCAGCTAAAAACTACGAAAAACACCCCAATGACGGTTCGGCCAGTTCCCGCTGTCGTAGCGCCTTCAAATTACTAGGGGTGCTTTTTTGAGCCTTCTAGTAGCCTACATGCAAGAAATTGGAGCTCCAGCGCGCTTCCGCGCGATTTTGGCAATTCCGCGTGGCCAGGCCCGAGGTCCGATTCGACCACCCGGGAAAAGTCGATACCCTTAGAATTAAGTTTCCTGTTTTCAAATTTTCAGGGTAGATTAGGCAGCTCTTTAGCATGTCAGAACAGGTTTCAGATCGACGATTTGAGTTTCCAGCGCAAAGTTACATCGTTTTGCAGTTTTTGGGCTGCCCGGAAAGACATAAGTCGGCTTAGCGGGCTTAGCTTGCATTATTTCGCTTTGTAAGTACTACCAATAGATTCAGCTCGTCAAGGGCTTTCAAATGAGCTATTAAACGTCGCACTGGCATCCCTGAGCAGCCGAAGCCTAAGCTAAGCCTAAGCGCGCGCCAGCTAAAAACTACGAAAAACACCCCAATGACGGTTCGGCCAGTTCCCGCTGTCGTAGCGCCTTCAAATTACTAGGGGTGCTTTTTGAGCCTTCTAGTAGCCTACATGCAAGAAACTGGAGCTCCAGCGCGCTTCCGCGCGATTTTGGCAATTCCGCGTGGCCAGGCCCGAGGTCCGATTCGACCACCCGGGAAAAGTCGATACCCTTAGAATTAAGTTTCCTGTTTTCAAATTTTCAGGGTAGATTTGGCAGCTCTTTAGCATGTCAGAACAGGTTTCAGATCGACGATTTGAGTTTCCAGCGCAAAGTTACATCGTTTTGCAGTTTTTGGGCTGCCCGGAAAGACATAAGTCGGCTTAGCGGGCTTAGCTTGCATTATTTCGCTTTGTAAGTACTACCAGCAGATTCAGCTCGTCAAGGGCTTTCAAATGAGCTATCAAACGTGGCACTGGCATCCCTGAGCAGCCGAAGCCTAAGCTAAGCCTAAGCACGCGCCAGCCAAAAACTACGAAAAACACCCCAATGACGGTTCGGCCAGTTCCCGCTGTCGTAGCGCCTTCAAATTACTAGGGGTGCTTTTTGAGCCTTCTAGTAGCCTACATGCAAGAAATTGGAGCTCCAGCGCGCTTCCGCGCGATTTTGGCAATTCCGCGTGGCCAGGCCCGAGGTCCGATTCGACCACCCGGGAAAAGTCGATACCCTTAGAATTAAGTTTCCTGTTTTCAAATTTTCAGGGTAGATTAGGCAGCTCTTTAGCATGTCAGAACAGGTTTCAGATCGACGATTTGAGTTTCCAGCGCAAAGTTACATCGTTTTGCAGTTTTTGGGCTGCCCGGAAAGACATAAGTCGGCTTAGCGGGCTTAGCTTGCATTATTTCGCTTTGTAAGTACTACCAATAGATTCAGCTCGTCAAGGGCTTTCAAATGAGCTATTAAACGTCGCACTGGCATCCCTAAGCAGCCGAAGCCTAAGCTAACAAGGAGACGTTTTTAGGTGGGCACGGAGTTTCGGAACGAGACCTAGCCTATCTTGTGCAGAATTTTTTGCTGATTAAAACGTACTTTGTAGAATTTGCGAAACGACCGGAAAACCAAAGTTATGAGGGTTTAAAGTGTGAAAAAGGCCCAAAAGGGCCTACTTTCGGCACCTATGAAATATCGCAGAATAAGTTTCCACGAAAACTAATTAGTGCATCTTGCTCAGAAAATCACGCTCTTTCGAATCAGCCATCTCATAAAACAAGCTCGAACATTTTTTCAAAAAGATTGATTTAGACAGACATGGCAATCCCGGCCGGCTCAGCCGCCCGGCCGAGCCGCCGGCCTAATTTCCATAAAAACCCGGCCCCATACGAGCCGCGTTAATGACTTACTTCCGGAAACCCGGCTTCCCGGCCCAGCCGGCATTTAGCTGCGGCCCGGCCAAGCCGGTCCGGCCGAGCCGGGAAACCGGAAGTTGCTCATTTACTTATAGAATCCGTGTATACTATGCAAAATTGTGAATGGAAATGACAAATTTTCTATGGTGGAATATTTTAGCCCTTGCCATAAAGCCAATTATTGATTGAATCCGCAATTTGCGTACCGGAAACACGAAAATTTCATTTGGGTCCGGCTTTCCGGCTTTTCAAAAGCCGGCGGCTTGGCCGGGGCTCCGGCTTTTAAACATAAAAAAGCCGGGGCCGGACCGGAAGCTCCGGCCCAGCCGCGCGGCTCGGCCGCATGCTAATTTTTCCGGCCGAAAAAAAGCCGGCGGCCCGGCCGTTTGCCATGTCTGGATTTAGACGACATGGTCCCCCCATGTGAAATTTCAGCAATTTGCTGAAATTTTGAAATTTCCACGTGACATGGCTCATTCGAAAGAGCGTAATTTTCTGAGCAAGATGCACTAATTAGTTTTGGTGGAAACTTATTCTGCGATATTTCATAGGTGCCGAAAGTAGGCCATTTTGGGCCTTTTTCACACTTTAAACCCTCATAACTTTGGTTTTCCGGTCGTTTCGCAAATTCTACAAAGTACGTTTTAATCAGCAAAAAAATCTGCACAAGACAGGCTAGGTCTCGTTCCGAAACTCCGTGCCCACCTAAAAACGTCTCCTTGTAAGCATACGCGCACGCCAGCTCAAAAACTACGAAAAACACCCCAATGACGGTTCGACCAGTTCCAGCTGTCGTAGCGCCCTCAAATTACTAGGGATGCTTTCTGAGCCTTCTACTAGCCTATTTGCCAGGAATCAGCGGACGGGGGCGTGGACCAGGTTTCGGAGCCCATCTAACTGGTGGCAATGCAGGTTTTGCCGCCTCCCAATCCGAGCCGTTCGATTTTATGGCCTGCCGGGCAGTTTGTAAACATCCGGGGACGGGGGTTTGTCCTTCGAAATTGCGGCAATTCGTCAAGACAAGGGTAGATGCTGTTATTCGCGGTTCTTTTGGGAGTCGTTGCAGCTCCGGATCCGCTTCCAAATCGCACTTTTACGGTCGATTATGACGCGGGCCAATTTCTGCTCGATGGGCGGCCGTTTAGCGACCGCTCAGGTTTGTTTACTATACTGAAAATTTATGTTAAGTTGGGCTAAGGTTTGGCTAACTAATTTAACGAATTTTTCAAGGGTTAATGGAGGGTTCTTTTGCATTATCGGGGGGGCAGGGGAGGACGAATTTTTTGTACTGATGTAGAAATGCCTAGGAACTTTACATTACATACATACGAACATTTTTTATAGTGTTTTAGTAGTATAACTATATTTCAACTAGAAACCCCCATTTAAAAACTCGTAAAACGGTGAAATTTTGATCAAAAAGACCATTTTCGGTCGAAAAATCGATATTTTCGATATTGCCAGGCGAGATCCACTACTTTCGGATGCACGAGAACACGTGGGAGTCACGACTGAGGCAGTTACGGAATATGGGCCTTGACACCATCCAAACATACGTCGCCTGGAATTTTCACGAGATTTTCCCTGGACAGTTGGTTTTTTGAACGAAATTTGACCGCCTCTAACTTTTGGTTTTCGTGCATTTTGTGGTGTCTGTTTGCTCGCCTTCACGAGAGCTTTCGATACATACCTAAATGGTCAAAATCGGACGCTTCTGCGGCCCGCTAGAGGGATGATTTTGGTTTTGGGACCCCGGTTTTTCGTGTTCCATTTAGCGCCTACTCGCATTACCTTTAGGTACTCCTTCACCGGCAATCGCGACCTCGCCAAGTTTGTAGCTACGGCCGCCAAACACGATCTGAAAACGATTCTACGAATCGGGCCTTATATCTGCGCGTGGGTTTCTCTGGTCTTGAGTACGAAATTTCACCTAGGGAGTGGGAAAACGGCGGCTTCCCACCATACGTCACGGACTCGAATTTGACGTTGCGGTCGATGGATGAGCGGTACGTTTTTGGATTAGTTTCGACTTCAGAGCCTTCTGATACTTGCGATCATTTTTTAAGGAATCGAGTCGGGTAAGCTGCAAAAGTATTTAGATACCTTGCACACGTCAAGAGATGGTTCGACGTGTTGCTGCCCAGGATTAAGCCGTTGATGTACACGAATGGGGGATCGGTGTTGATGGTGAGAGAAAGAGAACGAGAGAGAGAGAGAGAGAGAGAGAGAGAGAGAGAGAGAGAGGGAGAGAGGGTGCGAGCGAAAGCGAGTGTGAGAGAGCGAGTGAGATAGAGAGAGCTAGAGAAAGAGCGAGCGAGAGAGAGATAGCTAGATAGGTAGAGAGAGCGAGACAGATCGAGACCGAGACAGACAGAGAGGGATCGAGACCGGGACAGAAAAAAGGAAGACAGAGATAGAGATCGAGAGAGAGAGAGAGTGAGAGAGAGAGAGAGAGAGAGAGCGATGCTACGCTGCAAACATCCATTTCCAGATCCAAATCGAGAACGAGTACGGCCTATGGGGCAAATGCGACAAGAACTATATGGGCTGGCTGCGGGATATCGTCTGGCACCACCTTGGCTCCGAAACCGTCCTTTTTACGAGTTGGTACTCAAAATACCATTGCTAGCCCGTGCTATTCCATGCCAAGCCCAAGTTTTTCAGCCGACCCACCCGATGCCGTGGAGTGTGGCAGCGTTGAGGGGGTGCTCCCCACCACCGATTTTGGCCCCCGCACCAATCGCTCTGATATCGAGAAGATCATGGAGGGACTGCGGAAGTATATTCCGAAGGGGAAAGGTATCATACACCTTTAAATCGAGGCCACCAGGTTAGATGTTCAAAGCCACGCCCCTTTTTAGGACCACTGGTGAATTTTGAGTACTACCCGGGTTGGATCACGAAATGGAACGAAACGGCGGAGCAGATTGACAAAGAGATGCCGCGCGATCAGGATATTGTTAATGGAGCCAAGTGAGTAGTGAGAGAGTGAGAGAAAGAGAGAGGGAGAGAGAGTGAGAGAGAGCATGCGAGAGAGAGACAGTGAGAGATAGAGGGGAAGAGAGATAGAGAGAGAGAGCGGAAAATAGTGTGAGAGAGAGACGAGAGAGAGAGAGAGAGAGAGAGAGAAAGACGAGAGAGACGAGAGGGAGAAATATCGAGATACCTTTTTCAGGTGGATGCGTGAATTGAACATCAGCTACAGTTTCTACATGGCCTACGGTGGTACGAATCCAGGGTATTGGAACGGAGCGCATGACGATTACCCGGTACGAATTTTAAGTTGCATTGTCAAGCTGCGTAGGTGCTCCAATCCTACGACTACGGTGCTCCGATACGCGAGGACGGCACGCTGCGCCCTCTGTGGTACGCGTTGAGAAGTGCCATTGACCGAGCGGCGGGAGGGTACAGTAACCATGTGTATTTTCAAGGATCCAAGACGTTACAGTCTCGATCGGCCTAGAACTAGAGCACCGTGGGCATTGACGGTGCCCGTCGTACAGGCTATCACGATACAACAGGTGATTGATCAGGTAGGTTTCTCGGTTTCAATCTTTGCCGTCTCCTTGCTCGCTTCGTCTCTCTCTCACTCTCTCTCTACCTCTCTCTCTCGCTCGCTCTCTCTCTCCCTCCCTCCTTCCCTCCCTCTCTCTCTCTCTCTCTCTCTCATTCTCTCTCTCGCTTTCCTTCTCGCAATCACCATCTCCTTTTCCAGCTCGCCGTCCTGGTCCCAACAAAGTGCGGCACCTTCGCGGATTGCGGACTCCCGTTCGGCACGCTGTGCTACCATAGCCGCTCTGGTCACACCTGTGAAATGCTGGCCGCACAGTCCTACGGCCAAACTTATTGTTACGGCGATGACTATTGGTGTGTCGAGAACACTGGACGGATCAACTATCCGTCGAAGAACTCGAAATGGGTAAGCGACGTTCCATTCGCTAGCCAATATCACTCACTCTATGTTCAAGGGGCTAACAAAGAGATCCTTTGCGTTGTTTCAGGGCACGGCCGTTGACGACAAGGAATTAGTCACGGCCGTTTTCACCGAGGCCAACATCCGGCTCCTCGGTGGCATGGGCCCAAGGCTAGGGGTAATTTAGGCATCGTTCAGCGCTAAATTGAAGGCTTGTCCAGAACTACGGCGCAGGGCTCTACCGCGGATACCTGAACTTGCCTTCCTTGTCGTCTGAAACCCCTGTGCACATCTCGTTCGAGAATTGGGGCCGTGGTGTCCTGTTCGTCAACGGGAACAACATCGGACGGTACTGGAGTATAGGGCCGCAGGTGGGTACGGTAGCGACGTTGAGGCGTATTTGACGTCGGCGCCTAGAATCCTCAAGGACTCTCATCTAAACCGTAAAACTCAAAAACTTCGCCCGGAAAGGCGAAAATCCGAGCAATTTCGAAATCTACACCCCCGTTTTAGTTGTCGATCTACGTCGACCCGAACTACCTGAAGTCGGGCAGCAATGAGATCATCTTCCTCGAGATGCTCGACGTTAATAGAGGTAGTTGGAAGGCAATTTTTGGCGTTCAACTGGGCAAGCTAGCAGTATCCTTTTTTGGAAAAGCATTTTTGTGCATTTGTTAGTGTTAGAAATTCCTAAATTACCTCTGCTTGTCCGCGCTCAAAGAGCAACCAAGATTTTAGGATTTTAGGAAGATGATTTTAACGAATTTAGGCTGCATCGGCGGCGCCTGCCACCTCAGCGTCTCCGGCAAGGCCACCTGGACCCACGAGCTGCGGCCATAATTTTGTGTTTCACTTGAATAAATTGGTGCTTATCGCATTTGTACAGTATTTTCATGCACAATTAACAAACTTGAACTTTATCAGCACAATAAAAGATTTTGTACGGTCAGCCCCTCAGCTTCCCGTTGGCCTTGTAGTCGTGCGGGATGGCGTAGCCGTGCTTCCGGTTCTTGGCTCTAAAATAGAATCCGAATGGAATAGGGCTGATTTAGACTTATTTAATTAGGGCTGAGTTAAGCTGTTTGAAAAACTACTATAAATTGAGACAGCTTACCAACAATCAGGGAAACAAGATACAGAAAAATTGCGAGTTCAATTTTCGCTTGAAAGCCTCGAAAACCTACAGAACTCCAAGGAGCATGACCGCGATGAGGAAGAGGGTACGGTAGAATGGCATATCCGAGTGTTTCAGGGGATAGAATCGGTAAAATCAGAGTGGTGAGTATTTATAAGATGGAAATGGCCGCTTGTGAGTTTCGCACAGGTGTTTTGCATGTCTATAGAGATTGGCGTCAAAATTCAGACGTTTATCCATTGAATTCTGGAAGTAAGGCGCTCATGCAATTTCAGACCTTTTGGCAGGCTGCCAAGAATCCCTGCTCGCTTGCCTCCGAAAGAATCTCTGCTAGCCTGCCCTTTCCTAAAGAATCTCTGCTAGCCTATCTCTTAAAACTTGACATGCTCGTACCTTTAACTCCTAGTAGCTCGACCCAGCCCGGAAAATCCCAGCGTCGAGAACACTCCTCCCAGGAGGGTGCAGAAGATGAGAGGGAGGGGCTAAGTTTCGTGGGATTCCGCTAGAGAACACTGACGGTAGATATCCGCATGAGAGAGTGGGAAGCTGAGAGAGACGGCAGAGAAAAATGGAGCAAGAGAGCGAGAGAGACGGAGAGATAAGGTATAGGGGGGAGATGGCAGAGTTTTTCGGGGCTCCTGGGGAGAGAGAGAGAGAGAGAGAGAGAGAGAGAGAGAGTGAGAGAGCGAGTTGGGGAGAGAGGGCGCAGAGAAGTATGAGAGAGTGCAGATGTACGAGAGACACCAAAGAGTCATACCCTCAACTCGGCTCCTCGCCAAGCCCCGCCCCCTTTTTCCCTTCGGGTTGTGTCCCATCCATTGATCGCCCCCCGCGCGCCGACACACACCAAGCAAAGCGCCCGCCCGCCTGCCCGGCCGTTTCAATGTTGTTCGCACTGGCTGCCAGCCGGTTGTCCCTGTTTTTTCACGGCTCCTCCCCCCTACGGGGCGTCACTTTATGGCCCCTTTAACCCCGCCCACCGGTTACGCAACCATATTCGAAACTAGAGACGGGATTAGCTTCCCGAAACGATTTTTTAGTTTGTCTTGGACGTTTTTGGACCTGGATCGGTCTTCCAAAATTTTTCCTAAAGATTCTCTGCTAGTTTGCTGCAAATGCTCTCAGCTAGTTTGCCGAATTTGTGCGGCTGTTTTTAAGGTCGCTTCCTCAAGAATCTCTGCTGGCCTGCCGTTGAATACCGAAATGATCTCTGCTAGATAATCGTGCCTTTTCTTTCCTAAAGAATCTCTGCTAGCCTGCCATGCCTTTAAATCCTGTCCTGCCACATTTCCCTTCAGCCACCAGCTGGCTGACCGCCAAAAAAATTGTTTGCACCTATTTTCGGGGCCGATAACGGCTGTGGGGTGGGTGGGGCTGTTGTTTGTTGTTTTGCGTAGTCGCGTGCGAACCTGTCCCCCGAAAAAAGCCTCGAAATACGACGGACAAAAGCCATTTCGGGCGCCAAGTTTGACCTCACTCGGAAGTCGGGCGCGGGAGGTGGCGGATGAGTCATGGACGCGTAAAAACTCGATATCGCTACTGGGCTCTCGGCTCTCTTTCTCTCTCTCTCGCTCTCTCTCTCTCTCTCTCTCTCTCTCTTGCTCTCTCTCTCTCTGTCTCTCTTTCTCTCTCTCACTCTCTATCTCGCTTTCTCTCTCGCTCTCTGTCTCTCTGTCTCTCTCTCCCTTTCTCGCTCTCTCTCTATCGCTCTCACTCACTCTCTCTCGTTCTTTCGCATGCTAGAAGAAATTCTTTAGGAAATGGCAGGCTAGCAGAGATTCTTGTGGACGCCTTACTCATTTTTCTCCTTTTTTCAATCCTTCAACGCCCAAGTAAAGTAACTCCTAATTTCAGTGGTCCAAATGCCACGTAGATGAAGCGCAAAGCGGACCGGATGGCCGCCGTAGATGTACTTCGGCCGCCCGAGCCGGTGGATACGGTATTTTTTTATACCGAAATTTTCCTAAATGGCCTCTGCTAACCTGCCAGCAAAGTTAAAAATATGCTTTAGACCGACGGCCCTCTGATCTACCAGGCCGCCGAGCCGGGCCCGTGCGTAAAGAGGAATCATGTGGAATCTGAGCCTGAGTATGGATGGGTGAAGAGCCCGGTGCAGCTGGACATGGACTCGTAAGTTGGGGGTAACTAGCAGAGAATCTTTAGGAAAGCACAGGCTAGCAGAGATTCTTTGGGAATTCGCCTCTTACAGTAGCCCCTTTGCCAGGCGCCTCATGCTCGCCAACATGCCGCCCCTCACCGACGCGATGAGATTCCGGTGCCCTGCCCTTCCCGTCAGGACCCGCTCCACCCCTGAATTCTCACTGGTGCTCGATCTGGACGAGACGCTGGTGCACTGCTCGCTGACGCCGCTGGCGGACGCGTCGCTGATGTTCCCCGTGACGTTTCAGAACAGTACTTATGAGGTGAGTATCGTCGGGCCGCATTAGCAGAGATTTTTGAGGAGAGGGCAGGCTAGCAGAGATCCTTTAGAAAAAGGCAGCCTAGCATTGACAATTGAGGAATCCGTTTTCCAGGTGTACGTCCGGATACGGCCGCATCTCCATGAATTCCTCGAGCGGCTGGCCCGTTCCTACGAGATCATCCTCTTCACCGCCAGCAAGCGGATATACGCCGATAAATTGATGGTATGCTACGCGGCAATACTGTGAACTTGCTGTTTTAGAACCTACTGGACCCTGGAAAGAAGCTAGTCCGGCATCGGCTATTCCGGGAGCATTGTGTCAGCGTTTTTGGGAATTATGTCAAGGTAAGTGATGGGTGATCAACAGGGCGAGCTAGCAAAGATTGTTTAGGAACAGGTAGGCTAGCAGGGATCATTTGCAAGCAAAAATCAAAGGGATCCTCAATTATCTCTGCTAGCCTTACCTTACAATCGATTACGGAATCTGTTCCTTTCAGGACCTCTCCATCCTCGGCCGAGATCTCTCCAAAACCATCATCATTGACAACTCCCCACAATCCTTTGCATACCAGGTAAATTTTCGGCATTTCTGGGCTGGATTTTCATAGATTTTCTGCCTTTCCAGCCCCTTTAAAACCCGATGCTTCAGATCGACAACGGCATCCCGATCGAGTCGTGGTTCCAAGACCAACGGGACACCGAGCTGCTGGCGCTGATACCGTTTTTGGAGTATATGGCCGGAAGGGTGAGTTCCTAAGGAATCTCGGCTAGCCTGCCCTTTCCTAAAGAATCTCTGCTAGCCTGCCCTTTCCTAAAGAAACTCTGCTAGCCTGCCCTTTCCTAAAGAATCTCTGCTAGCCTGCCCTTTCCTAAAGAATCTCTGCTAGCCTACCCTTTCCTAAAGAATCTCTGCTAGCCTGCCCTTTCCTAAAGAATCTCTGCTAGCCTGCCCTTTCCTAAAGAATCTCTGCTAGCCTGCCCTTTCCTAAAGAATCTCTGCTAGCCTACCCTTTCCTAAAGAATCTCTGCTAGCCTGCCCTTTCCTAAAGAATCTCTGCTAGCCTGCCCTTTCCTAAAGAATCTCTGCTAGCCTGCCCTTTCCTAAAGAATCTCTGCTAGCCTGGTTTCCTAAAGAACCCCTGCTAGCATGCCCTCTCAAAGATCCATTTTTTTCAGCAACACGACGTGCGTGACGTACTGCGGGATCGGTACCGTATCCGCGAGATGCTACCCCCGTCCGGCCAGGCGCTATCTTCAGAAGTGGAGACTTGAGAGGCGTTTTAAAGGAGTTGGGAAGGCAAAGAATAGGCCACGCCCCCTTTGGCAGGTTGCGAATGAGATTTCGGACTTCAATGGCCCTTTAAAATGTCCAATTCCCATTTTTTCCCCTTTATGCTGTGAATATAGGCGCCAAAATTGTGCTGTACCCAACGCAAAATCACCCCCTAATTAAAATCTAGTCTAAAAAGTTTTAGAGAGTAGACAGTAATATAGTGTATACCCTAAAGTACAGTACCCGCCCGAAAAAAATCATCAGGAATTTTTTTAGAAATGTGTTTTTATGTGTTTTTGTTTTATTTTTAAATATCCGAGATTTGTGATAGCTTGATTGTTTTTGGATTTATGAAAATTTGATGATTTCCATGGCTTTCCGCGTTTTAAAGGGACCGGCAAGGCAATCTTTTAGATTTTGGTATGTAAGCCCTGCCTTGCCGATCCCTTTAAACCTCGAATTTTCCTCCACCTATATGTACAAAAATTGCTTTTCTCCCCCTCTCTCACTCTATCTCTCTCTCTCTCTCTCTCTCTCTCTCTGCCTGTCTACCCCCGCTTCTCACCTGTCACCCTCCCTTTAAACCACTACGACACCACGAAAGACTCTCTCTATTTGGCATTTTTTCCGCTCCAAAATCTTACTTAATTTTGATAGGCTGGCGGCGTACTTTAGGCTTGGCTAAGGCTTAGACTTAGCTTAGGCTTAGCTTAGCCTAGGCTTAGGTCTGGCTTAGGTTAATTTAGGCTTGGCTTTAGCCTAGCTTAGGCTTAGCTTCGGCTTAGCTTAGGCTTAGCTTAGGCTTGGCTTAGACTTAGCTTCGCTTAGCTTAGGCTTAGCTTCAGCTTAGCTTAGGCTTGGCTTAGGCTTAGCTTAGGCTTAGCTTAGGCTTAGCTTAGGCTTAGCTTATACTTGGCTTAGCTTTGGCATGGGCTTAGCTTAGGCTTAGCTCAGGCTTAGGCTTGGCTGGGGCTAAAAATAGGCTTTGCATAGGCTTAGCTTAGGCTTAGCTTAGGATTAGCTTAGGCTTGGATTGGGCTTGGCTTAGGCTTAGCTTAGGCTTAGACCTAAGCTCAGCTTAGGCTTAGCTTAAGCTTAGCCTAGGTTTAAACCACCGCCAGCTTCCTTTTTCTTTGCTTTGTGCTGTTCTTACATAGCTTTCCCCCTGCACTGAATTTAGTCAACAACCCGCACCACACTGAAATGCCTTAACAAAATGTCTCGTTTCCGGATGTTTCCTCGATTTACTTTACTTGAATTTTATGCATTGGATTGTTTCGACAGTTGTGGATAAAGTTTTATCGTTGCAATTTCAAAACACATAGCTTTTTAAATACAGTAAAAATCAATTTTTAAAGCAATAAAATTCTAGAAACCCGTAAATGTACACATTACTAAAATACGCATAAAAAAGGAATTTTGGTAGCTTTTAAACGTCCATTTAGAGCAGTCATCAAATTTCTAAACTTATCATACAAAATATATATCTTGAGAGTCGGTTTTTCAGTGTTGAAAGTTCCTTTAAGAGAATACAATCATTAAAATTAGCTTAACCCTACTCATCCTCCATAAAATCAATTTTTGGGAGCACCACCGGGGCTGCGTCTCGAGTTTCGAGGTATCGACGAAGTGAGAACATGGTGGTTGTTTGGAGCGAGGCGGAAATCGGGCTGAAACGACAAATTTTAGAGGGCAGGCTGGCCGAGATTCTTTAGGAAAGGGCAGCTAGCAGAGATTCTTTAGGAAAGGGCAGACTAGCAGAGATTCTTTAGGAAAGGGCAGGCTAGCAGAGATTCTTTAGGAAAGGGCAGGCTAGCAGAGATTCTTTAGGAAAGGGCAGGCTAGCAGAGATTCTTTAGGAAAGGGCAGGCTAGCAGAGATTCTTTAGGAAAGGGCAGGCTAGCAGAGATTCTTTAGGAAAGGCAGAGACCTAGCAGAGACCATTTGATCACCGCTAAAAACCGACCTGGTATCAGCCACTGGCCTCAGCGTCGGTATATTCAAGTCGTACGGCGCGAGTATCTGCTCGGAATCGGTCCACTCGAAGCCAGAAACTTCGGATTGACTTGCTGGTGTAGCTTCGGCAGTTTGGCGAGCTTGGGTGGCTCCAAAACTCTGAGCAAGAGCTTGCTGGAGTTGAGGTGGAGTGGTTGAAGCTGACGGGAGCGATTGAAAACTGAAAATCGATAGAAAATTAGTTTTAAAGGGAGTGTGACAGTAGAAAGACCAGGAATGATTATGTAAAAACGCAAAAAACATCTACCTACCCGTTCGGGAACTGGAACGACGCCGGAAACGCAAAAGCTGGTTGAAAAATGGCGTTCAACTGTGCCTAGAAATTTGGCAGCCTAGCAGAGATTATTTAGGAAAGCTACCTGCAAGTTAAACGGATGAAACTGAGCCCGGCAAACCGGGGAATAAATTAGAAAACACCAGAAAAAGAATAAATAGAGTGCCATTGGGGAGGAGGACCGGCAAAGTGGGTGTCCGAAAGTGGTGAGCACGTTCTCGTGCTCATTTTCCTTTCTTTGCGATGATGCATTGTTCTTTTTTCGAGGGGAAACGATGGGAAATGATGCCTGAGGGGGAGGAATAGATTGGAGTTGCGATAGAGAGAAGAGGGGAGGCTAGCAGAGACTCTTTAGGAAATGGCAGACTAGCAGTGATTCTTTAGGAAAGGGCAGGGTAGTAGAAAACCTGGAAATTAGGCTCAAGGTTCATCTCTCTCTCTCTCTCTCTCTCTCTCTCTCTCTCTCTTTACCCCTCTCTCTTTCCACAATTATATCCATCTCCTCCCGTCTCCCATTATAGGAAGCCATTTCCGAATCGTCACCCCTCTCCACGTCCAATTTCCGATTCTGGCGCCTGACAGCTTCTGTCATTTTCGGATTCCGGAATCCTATCCTATAAGCGAGATTCAATACTATACGAGACGAATTTCAGGGTTTAAACATGGATTCTTAAGCGAGGTACCGCCTCCTGGGTGGCCTTGCGGTAAAAGTTGCCGAAAGGAAACTCGGGGAAGGGGATGCCGCAATTTGGCAACCCCTATAAATTGCCCATTTAGCGGGGAGGGGCCACCCACCGCTGTCGTTCCGGGAATTGCCATTGTACGCCCCCTTTAAAGGGGCCGACAGAGTGTTTTTTTTGTCTTTTTCACTTCGTCAAAGGTTTCGAAAAACTGTAGAGCTTCTCAAATGATCACCGCTAGCCTCTCCTAAAGAATATCTGCTAGCCTGCCCTTTCCTAAAAAATCCTTGCTAGCCTACCCCAAAATTCGATTTGTTTTCCGGGGTCCCAATTTCTGGATGGGTTGATGGGTTTCCCATTCCCCTTCTACCCTCCCCCCTAGAATGGCTTCCGAAGCCACTCATGCATCGTCGATTCTTGTGCCCTCTGGCTATAGACCTCCCCCCTGGAAGCCCCCAGTAAAAGGCTTTAAGCCCCCGAAATACCCATCCCCCCTGCTACCCTCATTTACTAGGCTACGGATGGGGCCTAATGCCGAGTAGGGTAGTGTGTTTTTCTCTAATTCTCTTGTTTCTGACCAAAATTGGACCTAGTGCCCATCCTAAAAGATCTCTGCTAGCTTGCCCTGGTCCACTACTTCCTCAAAGAATCTTTGCTAGCATGCCTGAAGGCGTCGGTACTTCAGGAAGTGCACCTTTCGTACAACTTCTCTTCCGCTAACCTTGGCTTCCGGCCTACCTCTGCTAGCTTGCCCGCACGTCGATTTCCTAAATTACCTCCGCTAGCCCGCCATCAGCCCTAAGACTACAATTCCAATCCCAAAAAATCTCTGCTAATTCCTAAAGAGTGTCTGCTAGCCTGTCCATTCCCAAATAAACACTGCTAGCCTGTCCTTCTTAAAGTATCGCTGCTAGCCTGCCCGCCCTCGCAACATTTCCGATTGACGCCTAAGCACCCGCCTCTGCCCTCACTCCCCTAAACGTGTTTGGAGGGGTCCCTTCCCGTCCCCTAAACGAAATGTGATCTTCTCCGGGACCCAACAACACTGCAGTGGTGAGACCAATTCGGGGGCAGTAGGTCCCGCAACATCGATTATTTTCAAAGGCGCAGCGGATTTCCAAAGAATCCCTGCTAGCCTGCTCTTTCCTAAAGAAACTTTGCTAGCCTGCCATTTGCTCAAATGATCACTGCTAGCCGCCGCCCACCACCTATTTATATGCGGGTTGTTGATCGGCTTATTGTCATCGTCCATGCCCAAATCCCTGAATACCCCCTGGAGGGCACTCACCCTAATTACTCGTGGCATCCCCGTATAACCCCCCACACGCATCAGAATCGAGGGCCATAGCCCTAGGCTGTCATCACCCACAGGCATTAGTATTTTCGTTTTCCTAAAGAATATCTGCTAGTCTGCCCTTCCTAAAGAATCGTTGCTAGATAGCCCTGAAAGAAGCTCAGCATCGCAAATACTGTTTCCTATTTGACATCTGAATACGCTCTTATCAAGTGCCACGGGCTTTTGGGGGAGGGGCAAAAAACTCTTTAATCGCCGCCTTTCAAACCAGTTAGTTGGAAAGTGGGAATCGGGTGTCTTCATTTCGTGAAGTTACTTCTATGAAAATACCTCCGTGGGACCCGAAATGGAGGTAAGTAGATTGGCAGGCTAGCAGTGATGCTTTAGGAAAGGGCATGCTAGCAGTGATTTTTTGCGGAGAACTCCTCCCCTTGACTTCCCAGCCCTGTTAAGTGCTTCCGATTTATTCCATCTAAAAAGATGATATAAATGCATAAACGTTAATAGGCAGGCTAGCAGTGATTCTTTGCGAAAAATTGCTTCTCTTAACTTTCCAATGCCTTTAAATCATCCAACCAGATACCAAGCCTATCCCGTACCCGTTGATAATTGTGTATGGCCCGGGTTGGGTTGAGCTGTCGGGACCGCTGTGTCAACTCGCTGTATTCATACAAACGGACAGAGAGACCGACCGACGGACAGGCATAGAAATTCCGAATAGGACACACGGCATAGAGGAAGAGGGAGACTGAAAAAGGGGACCGCTAGACTGACTGGCCATACATTGATCGCCACACTGGGTATCGTTATTTTTGGATATACTGGGGGGCAGGCTAGCAGAGATTCTTTAGGAAAGGGCAGGCTAGCAGAGATTCTTTAGGAAAGGGCAGGCTAGCAGAGATTCTTTAGGAAAGGGCAGGCTAGCAGAGATTCTTTAGGAGAGGGCAGGCTAGCAGAGATTCTTTAGGAAAGGGCAGGCTAGCAGAGATTCTTTAGGAAAGGGCAGGCTAGCAGAGATTCTTTAGGAAAGGGCAGGCTAGCAGAGATTCTTTAGGAAAGGGCAGGCTAGCAAAGATTCTTTAGGAAAGGGCAGGCTAGCAGAGATTCTTTAGGAAAGGGCAGGCTAGCAGAGATTCTTTAGGAAAGGGCAGGCTAGCAGAGATTCTTTAGGAAAGGGCAGGCTAGCAAAGATTCTTTAGGAAAGGGCAGGCTAGCAGAGATTCTTTAGGAAAGGGCAGGCTAGCAGAGATTCTTTAGGAAAGGGCAGGCTAGCAGAGATTCTTTAGGAAAGGGCAGGCTAGCAAAGATTCTTTAGGAAAGGGCAGGCTAGCAGAGATTCTTTAGGAAAGGGCAGGCTAGCAGAGATTCTTTAGGAAAGGGCAGGCTAGCAGAGATTCTTTAGGAAAGGGCAGGCTAGCAGAGATTCTTTAGGAAAGGGCAGGCTAGCAGAGATTCTTTAGGAAAGGGCAGGCTAGCAGAGATTCTTTAGGAAAGGGCAGGCTAGCAGAGATTCTTTAGGAAAGGGCAGGCTAGCAGAGATTCTTTAGGAAAGGGCAGGCTAGCAGAGGTCATTTGGGAAAATATTGGCCCCGTTTTGAATCCATAATGGCCTCGATATTGTTTGTTTGCCAAACACTCGAAACGGACCCACATATTCAGTCGTTTCATCCCCCAATTCGAGTACACTCCACACCTCCGAACAGCCCCCCAAAATGATCTAATTTCGGTTGGCATTTCAGACGACTCCCTCATTTTCTAAACGATCTCTGCTGGTTTTCCCTTTCCTAAAGGGTCTCTGCCAACCTGCCCTGGCCCGTCGGAAATTCGCTCATTTCTGAATACCCTCTGATTACTCGGGGCTGGGGCGGCCAGGGTCGGCTGTAATATGGCCTCGCTGCCCTCCGGGTGGTCACAATTTGCTTCGAAACGGGCTTTTCGTTCCTCTCTCTCTCTCTCTCTCTCTCTCTCTCTCTCTCTCTCTCTCTCTCTCTCTCTCTCTCTCCCGCGGTGGATGCCCCCAGGTTACTGGCCACCCGGTCGGGTTTCCCTAAAATTTGGAAGCCGTGTCCTGTTTGTTGTTGTTATTTTAGCAAGACTAAAACAAGCACACAAGGTTCCCAAAAAATCTCTGTTAGTCTGCCCTTTCCTAAAGAATCTTTGCTAGCCTCCCCTTCCTAAAGAATCTCTGCTAGCCTGCCCTTTCCTAAAGAATCTCTGCTAGCCTGCCCTTTCCTAAAGAATCTCTGCTAGCCTGCCCTTTCCTAAGGAATCTCTGCTAGCCTGCCCTTTCCTAAAGAATCTCTGCTAGCCTGCCCATTCCTAAAGAATCTCTGCTAGCCTGCCCTTTCCTAAAGAATCGCTGCTAGCCTGCCTTTTCCTAAGAAATCTCTGCCAGCCTCCCCATCCTAAAGAATCACTGCTGATCTTTTTCAAGGTGCCGAGAATTCAGAGCCGACCCTTTATTTTCCCAAATGACCTCTGCTCGCTTCCCGGTTGCTTATTTTAGTTTTAGACACCATTTTGAATCTGATAAGCCCAAAGCAAACCTGTAAACACGGAAAAAGAAAGTGCTCGACTTGTTTTTAGCGCCCAAAATTTTCGTTGGGGGCCAGTTAACTGATACGGGGTTCAGAGTTTCAAGTAATTACCAGTTTTTTTTTGTGGTTAGCGGCAAGGACAGGCAGTGTTTTAAGGCTTTTCCTCTTTTTTAGGCCTCCCCAAAAGCCTAAGGGGCGCTAACAGAGACCATTTGTGGAATCTGGTATGACGCGGCTCATGAAATCGCCTATTTTTCATCCTTTTTTTGGGGGCGTGCAGCTGGCCGGGTAGGGTGGACGAGGGTAGGGGCTGTAAATGGGCGCATTTTTTGTGTCTCCCTCCCTCTCTCTCTCTCTCTCTCTCTCTCTCTCTCTCTCTCTCTCTCTAGCTGACACCCCCGAAACGGACCCCAGCTAATTTGCATGCCCATTCGCGGGCCCGTTGTTTATTTTTGAGGTCGACGACGGCATGGGCTACGCGGCAATCCTTTGTCCGAAAACATGGGGTTAGAGCACGAAATTGTTTTCCTTACAAAAGCTCTGCTAGCTCACCCTATTTTCTGCTCAATTACCATGCCCATTTTTCAGAATGGCTTCTCCAGAAGAGGTCGAGGCCCAGAAGCAGAAGTTGTTGGTAAACCAGGAAAATCCGTAAGTCTTCGCAAAGCCATAATCACTTTGTAACTCCCTCTTTTAAGGCTTAGAGCTAGGAATTCTAGTAAAATCGAATGTCACGCTCCCTTTAAAAATTGAAACTTCCAGAAACACCCTGGAATTCTATAATGCGCGCTCTCGCGTCTATCACGATGATGAGGAGGAGAAGGTGTGCTTCTACTTCGACTACACCAAGGAGGGCGCTAGCCGGGAGATTATCAATTGGCAACGGCTTAAAGAACTCGTAAGTAAGATCCATTACTCTTAAAAACCTTCCCGACGTACGGTACTTGGTTCTAAAGGAGCGAGGAAGCCAAAAGTGTCTTTTCAGAAAGACCAAAAGAAGTGGGGCGTCATCCGGCATCCGATGGTGTTGAATTATGTTAATGAGAGACTGTTGGGTAAGTTTTTCGAGGTTTTTTCGGTTTCCTAAAGAACCTCTGCTAGCCTGCCCTTTCCTAAAGAATCTCTGCTAGCCTGCCCTTTCCTAAAGAATCTCTGCTAGCCTGCCCTTTCCTAAAGAATCTCTGCTAGCCTGCCCTTTCCTAAAGAATCTCTGCTAGCCTGCCCTTTCCTGAAGAATCTCTGCTAGCCTGCCCTTTCCTAAAGAATCTCTGCTAGCCTGCCCTTTCCTAAAGAATCTCTGCTAGCCTGCCCTTTCCTGAAGAATCTCTGCTAGCCTGCCCTTTCCTAAAGAATCTCTGCTAGCCTGCCCTTTCCTAAAGAATCTCTGCTAGCCTGCCCTTTCCTAAAGAATCTCTGCTAGCCTGCCCTTTCCTAAAGAATCTCTGCTAGCCTGCCCTTTCCTAAAGAATCTCTGCTAGCCTGCCCTTTCCTGAAGAATCTCTGCTAGTCCTCTAACCAGCCCTTCGTTTCAGATATGTCCAGTTGGTACACATTCCACATCATTGCCTACTTCTCCTTCCTCCTCCTTCTCTCTTGGCACGTCTTCTCGAGATCGTTCTACAAGGACCTCCTCATCACGGCCTATCTGGCATTTTTCGTGTTTATGATGGTAAGAGGGATATCAAATGAACAAAGTTCGATCAAGCCGTCAAATCGTAATTCATCGATTTTGTAAGCTCCAAGACCTGCTTTTGAACCCGTTTCGCGTGCAATTTTCCCAGCTACGCGACGATCCAAATAACAGGAAATCCGGACAGCAATTCGGATCGGGGCTCGCTATTTGTCATGGACTAAAGGGGACCGGAAATTAGCATCTGGCGACCAGGGCGGGACCGACTGGCCACGAGCACGGGTCTGGAAAGGGCTTGATGCCTTCTAGGGTCCTTTAAAACCGGTTAAAAAATTGAAGGATGAAAAATAAAGTACCTACCGGAGATCGAGGTACCTATGGCTTCAACGGCCCTTTAAAACGCAGTACCACGTTTTTTTCAGTTCGTCAAGACCGCCATGAAGGTCCAGATCTCGACCGGCGTGTCCAAGTGGTCAGCTGTTGCCCTGTTCTTCAACTTTCTCACCTACCTCGTCACGTTTGCGTATGTTTGGCTGCCCACGCTGTTCAGATACGATGATTATCACCCGGAAGTTAAGGTAAGTAGCATAAATTCTTTAGGAAAGGGCAGGCTAGCAGAGATTCTTTAGGAAAGGGCAGGCTAGCAGAGATTCTTTAGGAAAGGGCAGGCTAGCAGAGATTCTTTAGGAAAGGGCAGGCTAGCAGAGATTCTTTAGGAAAGGGCAGGCTAGCAGAGATTCTTTAGGAAAGGGCAGGCTAGCAGAGATTCTTTAGGAAAGGGCAGGCTAGCAGAGATTCTTTAGGAAAGGGCAGGCTAGCAGAGATTCTTTAGGAAAGGGCAGGCTAGCAGAGATTCTTTAGGAAAGGGCAGGCTAGCAGAAATTCTTTAGGAAAGGGCAGGCTAGCAGAGATTCTTTAGGAAAGGGCAGGCTAGCAGAAATTCTTTAGGAAAGGGCAGGCTAGCAGAGATTCTTTAGGAAAGGGCAGGCTAGCAGAGATTCTTTAGGAAAGGGCAGGCTAGCAGAAATTCTTTAGGAAAGGGCAGGCTAGCAGAGATTCTTTAGGAAAGGGCAGGCTAGCAGAGATTCTTTAGGAAAGGGCAGGCTAGCAGAAATTCTTTAGGAAAGGGCAGGCTAGCAGAGATTCTTTAGGAAAGGGCAGGCTAGCAGAGATTCTTTAGGAAAGGGCAGGCTAGCAGAAATTCTTTAGGAAAGGGCAGGCTAGCAGAGATTCTTTAGGAAAGGGCAGGCTAGCAGAGATTCTTTAGGAAAGGGCAGGCTAGCAGAGATTCTTTAGGAAAGGGCAGGCTAGCAGAGATTCTTTAGGAAAGGGCAGGCTAGCAGAAATTCTTTAGGAAAGGGCAGGCTAGCAGAGATTCTTTAGGAAAGGGCAGGCTAGCAGAAATTCTTTAGGAAAGGGCAGGCTAGCAGAGATTCTTTAGGAAAGGGCAGGCTAGCAGAGATTCTTTAGGAAAGGGCAGGCTAGCAGAGATTCTTTAGGAAAGGGCAGGCTAGCAGAGATTCTTGAGGAAAGGGCAGGCTAGCAGAGATTCTTTGAAAAACGACCTCCAATTCCAGCACGTCGTCCTCTGGTTTCTCCCGATCGTGGCCATCATCTCAGCCTGGGTCAACTTCCTGTACATTCTGCGCCAAAGCCCCTACGGCATCTACATATTTATGATGGTCAGGATCCTGCGATCGTTTGGACATGTGAGTCGAGCATCAGCTTTCTCAAGCTCGGCATACTTTCAGATCGCAACAATCTGGATCCCGACGTTGATCGCGTTTTCCTTTGCCTTCCATCTGATCATGAGGGATTCTGGAATCGAGCCTTGGATTAGCGTGGAGAGGGTGAGTAGCAGAGATTCTTTAGGAGCATCCAAGCCTAAGCTTTAGAATAAGCTTGAGTTTAAGACTAACAACATGCTACGGTAGATGACCATTTTTCAGGACACCAACTCGACGATGGTGCAGAAGCTGTTTGTCGTCCTTCAGGCGATTACTAAGACGTCGACGATGATGATTGGAGAGGTAGATACCGCTTGGTTTCTCTCTGTCTCTTTCTCTCTCTCTCTCTCTCTCTCTCTCTCTCTCGCTCTCTCTCTCCATCTACCACATCCAATATTTTTCAGGTTGATGCCAACGACATCCTCGGCACTCGCCAGTGGATTCCCTCGATCCTCGTACTCGCCTTTGAGATCATCACCGTCATCCTGCTGATGAACTTGATGGTGTCGCTGGCAGTTGGAGACGTCAGTGACCTCAGGAACTCTGCTCAGGACAAGTTGCTCAAGATTAAGGTAGGAGAGCGAGAGATAGCGAGAGAGACATAGAGATATAGAGAGAAAGAGCGAGAGAGAGACAGAGAGAGAGAGAGAGAGAGAGAGAGAGAGAAAGAGGAGAAAGAGGCGCAGCTAAACATTAACTTTCAGGTCAGCTCTGTCATCGAGGCCCTACAATTCAGCCAGGTCCTTCCGCAAACCCTTCCGGACAGCTGTAAGTTGGAGTGTAGCGTTCTCTTCTCTCTCTCTCTCTCGCTCTCTCCAACCCTAAATCCCAGGGCTGCTTCATAAACGCAAAACCAACAATGTGTTGATCGTCGAGCGGGACGGGCACTATTTTACGCTGATGAGGTCAAAGAATGCTTTCCGGAACGCTACGGTTGACAGACGCCCCGCTTCCGAATTGAATGACCATGTGAGTTGACCAAGAAGTTCAGAAGCCTCAAGAGCGGCTAGGGCAGGCTAGCAGAGACAATTTAGGAAGTGCTTTCCCGGAAAAGCTATCAAATTTTAGAAATACCGCCTGGACTTCACGAATCCGCGGATGCGGGTGCGGATTCGTAGGGAACTGCTGGCCGGACGTCACCAGATGGTTCACTTGGAGGATTGCCAGGTTCGCGATCTCTTTCCCTCTCTCTCTCTCTCTCTCTCTCTCTCTCTCTCTCTCTCTCTCTCTCTCTCTTCTCTCTCTCTCTCTCTCTATCTATCTATCTATCTCTTTCTCTCTCTTTCGCTTTCTCTTGCCCTCTCTCTGTATCGCTCCTTGTCCAGATTGTCTTCAAAGAAGCGCCCGATTCCGGCATCCCGAACTGGCAGCCAGAAGCCGACGAGGCCAAGCCAAGTCATGATAGCCGTGATGGATGGCAGAGGCGGTATTTTGGCCCTTAATCCTTTAACGAAAGTTGCTGTTTTTAGGTACGCAAAATGGTTGATCGGACTGGACTGGACCGGATATTTGGATCTCTAGAAGTCGAAACACTACCTCTCCCCTCGTCACACTGCCCCTTAAGAATTCTCAGTGCAATAAACGCTCATGGATTTCGACTTTTGACCAGGAAAACCAACAAACAAAATATGGAAAAGGTCACGAGGTCGTCAAACATCGAAACCAGAAAAAACGGAGATTCAAAATACCCTGCCAAAATCCCGATAATGGAAAATACCGACAGCTGTGACCTTTGCAGCGAGAATGCCGACAAGCTGATTATTATTATCACGATTTGAATGGTATGCTGTCGGCATTTTGAATTTCGGCATCCTGCTGGTCGGCATTTTGACTGTCGATATTTTATTTCAAGACGCTACCACACGAAATCCTGGATGGATCTTTCCCCTAATTTTCTCTGCTAGCCTGCCCATCGGGGTTTTGAGCTCCTCGTGGTGAGCCGGAACCAACGAACCCCCAAAAAGCGTATAAACACCGGTAAATGTTCGGATCTCGATGAAGGTAGTGACTCACTATCTTACACCCCCCGGGGAAATCTCGTGACGATCCCCCCGGGCCAATCGACAGTTGCCAAAACGGCAGTGCGGACAAAACGGGAGGGAATTTGGGCCGGGAACTATTTTTTCGATGCAAGATATTGGCCGCAGCGTTGTCAAAAGTGGAATTTCACATCTCCAAACTCCTACTTCTGGCTTTTCCATAGCACATTTAGCTATGGAAAGGTGAATTTATACCACCGTAACTTTTCCCATCCACTTTTCTTAGCTCACCGTTTCCCCCCTATTTTCTGATCCAGAAAATCAATGGTTTCGTACGAAAAACCGTGTGAAAAACCGGCTTCGCGACGCTCGGCCTGATAAGCGCCATGAATCTTGTGGCTGTAGCAGATACCGTAAGTCTTAGGGGGCGGGCCACCCCTGCTGCCCACCAATCCCGATAAAATGTTGCAAGAAAATTTTTTCCATAAAGCTGGTCGGGCAGTTCATTCGTGGTTTTTTCAGCTACCTCTCTCCCCTTAACTCATTTTAAACTGGGCTATCCTAGCCTGGCTACAGTAATCCTAAAAGGGGCATAAATAAATTCGGGGAAAGCCAATGGCATTTAGCCAGTTTTTGCAACAAACGAAACAAATCGCTGCAAAAGTTTTCAGAATGTTAGGACAAATACTGTAGCCAGGCTGGCCGTTGACCGGCGCACTTTTAATCCTTCCATGAATTTAAATATGAGGGCCTTCTTCTAATATAACTCTGGGTCTTTTATTTCTATTTCTAATAGTGATTTAATTTTTGCGATCTCACCGATTTTGTTATCTTACTATATCTTATCTTACTATATATAAAAAAATAGTGTTTGTGTGTGTGTGTGTGTGTGCATTTGCATGCAACTTCCGTCCGTATGTTCCAGTCGTATCTCAATAGAGGAAGAAGTTAAGGGCATGTGTGATACGTCATTAGGTGCGTAATGGTCATGACACGAATGCACACCCATCAGATTTTTCAAAATCAGCTGTTTTCGACATTAAAAATAGGTTTTTGTCAAAATCTCGCTCGGCCTCTTTGTTAGGAATCAATTTGCATACGCCGGAAGTGAAGAGAGCCTATATAAAGACGGGAGGGCGAGTGATTTTCATTTTTTGTTCGGGGCAGGCGGGTGTGATAATGCCAAGTAGGGCCATCATGGGGCCTAGACGGGGCCAGGGTTGAAAAGGCGCGAAGCGGCTTTTCAACCCTGGTGTTCTTTAATAGGGTAAAATAACGTGCATCGGTCGCCACCAATTTTACACTGCACAAAAATATTTTGCATGCTAAGGCATAGCCGTAAACCCGTCAAAATTTGCACTTTCATCGCTGGATTTTTCTTTTCTATTTCGGAGGACCTTAACGGGGGTATGTAAGGGATCAACCAGACTTTTTAATCGAAAGTTGTTGCCTTTAGATGGACTAGGACGCGTTATACAAAACGTAAAAAAATAAAACACGCCGGATTTGACCGCCTTACATCAAATCGGTCCCTAAATTTGCCCAGAGGTGTATCCGACGCACCACAACCAGAGACTGACAGCCACATGGTTCTAGGAATTTTTGAGTTATAACTAAAACACTGTACGCACTTGAGAGACAAAACCATAACGAAATCTTGTCGAAACATCGATTAAGCACCAATAGTTTCGAGTTAGCCTTCATCCCACTTATGCAAGCTAGAACCAATCCAATCAAAATCATCTCTCGAACATAATCCGAAAAAATAAAAATAGAATAGATCTGTCGAAATTAGATGCCGGGTGTTGCTTTCACGAAAAGTATCTGGGGGCCGAATTGCTTGTTCGATTGCGGGGCGACCCCGGGCGGCCGGCGGGTGCCCTAAAACCGTTTTTTAAGGCGATTGGGAGGGCTTGTCGCCCATCACTCCGACACGTTTTTATGATCCGGGGCGCGAAAAGCCCTGATAAACACATGTTGTGGAAAACTTGATGAGGAGCCGGGGAGCAGGAAAATTTTTAAATGAGACGCGGGGAAGGTCGATAAAAACGCACGTCGATGGGGGATTGGAAGTGCTTCGGGTCGTCCCAAAAGTTTCCTAGCTTGTGCTCGAGCGTTTTGCCATTTTCCGCAAATGCTCACTGCTGCGTTGCATAGCTTGATTTAGTAGAATTGATTTTGCTGTTGTATTGAGTTACTCTTGCCAACCGGGTACGATACGTTTTTCAGGATCATGGCCGATCCAGCACGGCGTCCGCTCATGCCACAGCCGGCCGTCGCGTTGGTTTAACGAATTTGTCTAAAAACTGCACCCGTCTTTTGGCACATCGAAAATCTTTCGCGCCCCACTGCAACGCCGTTTTTGCTAAAACGCGCGTTCGCAGAATTTATGCACAGCCGCAAATGAGTTATTACGCATGCTCCATCGATTTTTACGTAAATAAGCGCTGACGTAGCCTGTTTGCGTAGCGTTTTAAAGAAAATACGCTCGGGTCAACTTAATCACGCCTTATGAATTGATTTTATCAAAAAAAGTTTCAGGCCGCCGAATGCGGCCAATGGAGCGGCCAATGGAGCTGTAGAGCCGTAAGTTTTGAAAAAAAAGCTCGGCTCAATCGTTCGGAGGATCCGATCCATGTTGCTCCCAAAACACCTCTGCCAAACTTCCTTTACCAAATTTTTTTAAGATCCGGCCTTGCTACCGTAATCCTGTCGAGTTTCGAAAAAGCCTCATCGGCCTGTTGAGCTCCTGGGGGTGCCGGGCGCCCCTAAAATTTGATAGGAGCTATCCAGCTGCGCCGAAAAAAAAGATAAATATGGCCACCAGCGCCTATATATTTAGTCGTCTCTTGCTTACTTCTGCTAGCGGCTAACACGTCGTAAACCGGGTTAACGAATCCCGGAGCGCATCTAGCCGACCGTCGGGGGAAATGCCAAAAACACCCTTCCTAAGAAATTGTCCGAAGGCCGCACGTTTAGCAACACGTTGGAGTACTACGACAATCGAACGACGCTGGGCGCAAATCCACGGCGCTACGAGTTCAACTACATCCCCGGAGAGGCCGATGGCGCTAACGCCACTGCTCTAGAGAGAGTTGGAAACGATTACGGCGTGATCGACTGGAGAACGCTGAGGAAATTGGTCAGTTGCTGATGAAAAAATTTGGTTGTCTGTTTTTTATAGGTAAGGCTCCAGATAACCCCCCCCCCCTCAGCCGGCCCCCAACTTTTGTATCTCGGTTCCCTGTTTATCTACAGGTGTGTAAAGTATACCAAAATGTTCGTCTTGCTGTGGCGAGTATTTTGGTATACTTTACACACCTGTAGATGAACAGGGAGCCGAGATACGGTAGGTGGGGGTCGGCTGGGGGGGTTTATCTGGAGTTTAGCCTTTTTATACGCAGGATAGAGAGAGAGACAGAGAGAGAGAGAGAGAGAGCGAGAGAGAGACAGAGAGAGCGATAGATAGAGAGAGCAATTTCAGAAAGATGAAAAGAACTGGGCATTGATTAAACACCCGATGGTGTTGAACTACGTAAACGAACGACTCCTGGGTAAGTTTTCGAAGATATTTCAAATTGCTTAAAGTTGTCTTTGCTAAGCGAGAGCGCGCAGTGGCGAAGTAATGGTCCCGCAAGCACCCATGATCAACCTTAGCGAAAGACAAAACCATTCCCAGAATGCGCCGTCTGGTACACCCTCCATATCATCATCTACTTCATCTTCTTGGTGGTGCTATCGTGGCACGTCTACTGGAAGACGCTCTTCAAAGCGATTATTATCAGCATCTTCGTGATTTTTCTCTTTTTCATAACCGTAAGCCTTGGATCAGCGAATTCTTCAATAAATCCCGCTAAAGACCGTCAAAGCGGTGAGAAAGGCGCAAATCGAGGAAAGCTGTTCCGGTTGGGCAGTGGCGGGCCTGGTCCTGAATTACGCGACATATATCACCACCGGGTGCTACGTTTGGCTGCCGGTCGCCTTCGAGTCCAACGACTTTCACATGGAGATCAAGGTGGCGGCGAAAACGATGAAGCACCTCCAGGCCTTAAAAAACAGCGGGGAACCCGGAGCCAATGAGATTTCTGGGTAGCCCGGCTTAACTCAAGATACCTAGAACGTCATCATGCGCATCCTGCCGATATTGACGATCATCTCGGCCTGGGGCAACTTCCTCTACGTCCTTCGAAAGAGCCCCTACGGCATCTATACCTTCATGATGGCCCGAATTTTCTGGTCTTTTGCCAAGGTAAGTGCTAAATAAAGCCCTGAACTTTGCGAAACCGCGGTCGTCGCCCTCATTTCGAATGTCATTATTCTCTAAGCCCATACTCCGGAAAAAAAATTGTTTTGTTTTGTCCGTTTTGTTTTGCCAAACTATTTTTTTCCGGTCTGCACAATTTGGGTGCCGACCCTCGTCACGTTTGCGCTTTCCTTCCATCTGCTGATGCGTGAAACTGTGGAGACGCCATGGTCAATGGTTGAGAAGGACCAGGAGGTACGCGGGAAAGTGTCTTTCTCTCTCTCGCTCTCTCTCTCTCGCTCTCTTACTCGCTCTCTCTCTCTCTCTCTCTCTTTCTCTTGCTGCCAAGTCTAACCCACCCTATTTTAGGGTAAGAATACCACATCATCGGTTCCGACGCTAATCATCGTCGTGCGCGCCATCGCCAAGACGTTGAGTATGATGATTGGAGAGGTAATGAGGGCACTACCTCTCAATATCAGCTAATTCCTCCGCTTTTTCAGCTCGATGCGAATACCATCCTCGAAACCAAACAATGGCTGCCAGCCCTGGTCGTTGTGGTCTTCGAGGTCGTGGCCGTGATTCTGCTCATGAACCTGATGGTGTCGCTAGCCGTTGGAGACGTCAGCGATCTGAGAGACTCGGCGCTGGATATGATGCTTCAGATTAAGGTGGGCAAGGCCTATTAGTTTCAGAAAATTGACTGTGACGTAATGTTTCGGTTCTTGAGGAAAGGTGACAGTCTAGCAGGGATTCTTTAGGAAAGGGCAGGCTAGCAGAGATTCTTTAGGAAAGGGCAGGCTAGCAGAGATTCTTTAGGAAAGGGCAGGCTAGCAGAGATTCTTTAGGAAAGGGCAGGCTAGCAGAGATTCTTTAGGAAAGGGCAGGCTAGCAGAGATCCTTTAGGAAAGGGCAGGCTAGCAGAGGTTCTTTAGGAAAGGGCAGGCTAGCAGAGATTCTTTAGGAAAGGGCAGGCTAGCAGAGATTCTTTAGGAAAGGGCAGGCTAGCAGAGATTCTTTAGGAAAGGGCAGGCTAGCAGAGATTCTTTAGGAAAGGGCAGGCTAGCAGAGATTCTTTAGGAAAGGGCAGGCTAGCAGAGATTCTTTAGGAAAGGGCAGGCTAGCAGAGATTCTTTAGGAAAGGGCAGGCTAGCAGAGATTCTTTAGGAAAGGGCAGGCTAGCAGAGATCCTTTAGGAAAGGGCAGGCTAGCAGAGATCCTTTAGGAAAGGGCAGGCTAGCAGAGGTTCTTTAGGAAAGGGCAGGCTAGCAGAGATTCTTTAGGAAAGGGCAGGCTAGCAGAGATTCTTTAGGAAAGGGCAGGCTAGCAGAGATTCTTTAGGAAAGGGCAGGCTAGCAGAGATTCTTTAGGAAAGGGCAGGCTAGCAGAGATTCTTTAGGAAAGGGCAGGCTAGCAGAGATTCTTTAGGAAAGGGCAGGCTAGCAGAGATTCTTTAGGAAAGGGAGGGCTAGCAGAGATTCTTTAGGAAAGGGCAGGCTAGCAGAGATTCTTTAGGAAAGGGAGGGCTAGCAGAGATTCTTTAGGAAAGGGCAGGCTAGCAGAGATTCTTTAGGAAAGGGAGGGCTAGCAGAGATTCTTTAGGAAAGGGCAGGCTAGCAGAGATTCTTTAGGAAAGGGAGGGCTAGCAGAGATTCTTTAGGAAAGGGAGGGCTAGCAGAGATTCTTTAGGAAAGGGCAGGCTGGCAGAAATTTTTTCTTCCGCTTCCAGGTCAGCTACGTCATCGAGGCTCTCCAGATCAGCGTGCTTTGTAAATGCCGCGTCCCAGTGGCCTGTGAGTGAGAGAGAGAGAGAGAGAGAGAGAGAGAGGATGAGAGAGAGAGAAAGAGAGGGAGAGAGAGAGAAAGACGCTCCGTTTAATGGCGAAATTTTAGGGCATCTTTACAAAAACCCGACCAACGCCGTCTTGGTGATTGAAGGCGATGGGGGATATTTTACCGTGAAAGAAGCAAAAGCTCCCTACACCAATCCAGATGGTCTGTGGACACGGTCAGCGGTCAACGGCCTGCTTACCCCGTTCCTTATTTCAGTTATGCGAAATGGCTGATCGGCCTGGATTTGGTCGGATATCTCCCGGAAGCGTAAGAAAGACTCGGCCGTTTCGCAAATTTCCATTTTTTGCAGTCTTCCAGAAGCCCAGCTACTTCGCGCCATCCGGCTATCCCTTCCGCCAACTCCCCTCAAAGCTGACGCAAGCTCTTCTCCATAGCAGCTGCCTATATGGTCCCTGAATTGTCCCATATCTACCTCCATCTATCCCTCAGTTATCGCTTCACTGCCACCAAATTCTATGTGCAAACATATATAACATATAACATATACATATAGTTTTATTTTCCAAATGCTCCCTGCCACCTGCACGAATATTCTAAAATTCTCCCGAGCTTCTACTACGTAAATGACAGCCCTGGAAACGAGTTCTGATCCTCATCTGCCCAATTGGGGATGCCAACTGTTTTGGCATTGGCTTGGGAGGAGCGAGAGAGATAGAGAGAGAGAGAGAGAGAGAGAGGGAGAGAGAGAGGGAGAGAGAGAGCACGTCAGGACACACTTGGCATCCAGACAAGTTGTCTTGTTTCCCCTTCGGGTGTTGCTTGTAGGGGATGATGTTTTTGGCTTTTGGCACCCTGTTTCGAGCTAGAGAGAGCGCGAGAGAGACTGAGAGATTGAAAGAGAGAGAGAGAGAGAGAGAGAGAGAGAGAGAGAGAGAGACGTCCAACGACCAGTGCTAGTTTGCCCTGATCTTCGGCTCGGTCTACAACGACATCTACATTCACAACTACAATTCCGAGAGCCCCGTCGTGTTTTTCGTTCCGCCCCATTCCCCTGAACACCCACCCGCTCCCAGGTGTTATCTGTAGCGGGTCGGAATGTGCCCCCCCCCCTTCCCCGGGCACTTTCTCCTCCTCGATTCAAGCCTGGGACGGGTTCGGGCAAGAGAATGAGAGACACAGCGAAGACTAGCGAGTAACGGTCGGTGCCCCATCCCATTTGCATGTCTAGGAGCGCGCGCAACTGTACGACACGCACCTTTTGACATGGGTGGGCAGAGCCTTGAAAGGAAAACCGCAGCTTTTGTGCTGTCAGGGCTTGTACTTTCGCTATTTGGCAGGTTTCCAGGGGTGAAAGGAGGTGGCAGACTAGCAGAGATTCTTCAGGAAAGGGCAGGCTAGCAGAGATTCTTGAGGAAAGGGCAGGCTAGCAGAGATTCTTTAGGAAAGGGCAGGCTAGCAGAGATTCTTGAGGAAAGGGCAGGCTAGCAGACAGTCTTCAGGAAAGGGCAGACTAGCAGTGATTCTTGAGGAAAGGGCAGGCTAGCAGACATTCTTCAGGAAAGGGCAGGCTAGCAGTGATTCTTTAGGAACCCAGACGTTCACGACCCCCCTAAATTGCGCCACCCACCCTACCTTTCACCACCCGTAAATGCATCTGTTTAGAGCCAGTTTTTCTCGTGTACGAGTCACACCCTTCTTTCCCCCCTTCAAGGTGACAAAATGGGTGGTATTTGCGAGGGGGAGAAGCGACGAGTCAAGCCCTCGGGGGCACACCCGAAATGAAGCCCAATTTCCTTGCCTCGTCGGCACAACCGAACCGTCCAGAGGAATTGGGAGTTGGCAGACGCTCAAAAAACCCCGGGTATGCCTAATTCGGCCTTCACGAAAAATCGTCAAGCTGGTGATGACGGGAACTTTGTTGGAAACGGGGAGGCGGAACGAGGCGACCTCGGAGTGAACTTTAAGGGAATTGGCATACTGGTGGTGTCTAAAATCGGGCAAGCTAGCAGAGATTCTTTAGAAAAGAGAAAACTAGCAGTGATTCTTTAGGAAAAAGTTGGCTAGCAGAGATTCTTTAGGAAAGGGCAGGCTAGCAGAGATTCTTTAGGAGAGGGCAGGCTAGCAGAGATTCTTTAGGAAAGGGCAGGCTAGCAGAGATTCTTTAGGAAAGGGCAGGCTAGCAGATATTCTTTAGGAAAGGGCAGGCTAGCAGAGATTCTTTAGGAGAGGGCAGGCTAGCAGATATTCTTTAGGAAAGGGCAGGCTAGCAGAGATTCTTTAGGAGAGGGCAGGCTAGCAGAGATTCGTTAGAAAAGGGCAGGCTAGCAGAGATTCGTTAGGGCGCAGACGGGCAGAGTTTCTTCAAGACATCCAGATTTTTTCCATGATTTCCTCACAATCAGTAGTGCATTTTTTCCACCCCTCCGATGCCTAGAACAAGGGGAGTAAATCGTCTCTGTCATCCCTGTCATTTCGACTCCCTTTTTTAGGGTTGTCTCTCTCTCCTCTCGCTTCAAAGCTTCATGACTCAATCAGCCATCCGTCATCTCGCCCCGGGCTTTCGACTGTGGTGGGCTTGGAGGGAGGACAAAGCTCTGCACTTTCTCTCTCTCTCTCTCTCTCTCTCTCTCTCTCTCTCTCTCGCTTTCGCTCTCTCTCGCTCTCTCTCTCTCTCACTGCCCCCAAAATGTCCTTGTTGGGAAGGCTGCAGGGCACGTTCTGGAGAAGCTGTAACTACGCCATTACCCAACCCTGTACGACAGGTCAAATTCGAGGGCTTCCGGCTGACCGGCAAAGTGGGGAAGGGTTTGCGGTTTGCCAGATGCCCGGAATTATTGGCTAAAGGTATCTGGGAGTTTTAAAAGCTTACCCAAGCCGAATCCCCAGTAACCTCTGCTAGCCTGCCCTTTCCTAAAGAATCTCTGCTAGCCTGCCCTTTCCTAAAGAATCTCTGCTAGCCTGCCCTTTCCTAAAGAATCTCTGCTAGCCTGCCCTCTGATCAGCTGATAAAATCGCCAGGAATCAGCTATGCGCGGAAACGGAAAGTTCTCGGAAAAAATTTTCTTCACTAAGAGACCACTCCCTCCCCCAAATTGAGGGTCATTTGCCGGGAATCAGACAAAACAGGCTGGGCATTGTGTACTGTAATCAGAGAGCGAGAGATAGAGAGAGAAAGGAGAGAGAGCGAGAGAGAGAGAAAGAGAGAGAGAGAGGGAGCAGAAACAGTAGTTTTCTCAGGTTTCCCCGAGGTGTCTCAGCGGGTTCCAGAAGCTCCGCCTCCTCTGGCGAGGGTATAAAGCTCGGGGAACCTGGCGAAGACCATGACTGTTTCAATCCCTCCCCTCTCCACCAATTCCTTGATCTAACGCTAGAAAATGTTCGAGGAGAAGCTCCTTGTGGGCATCGCGAGCACTTGCTCGGCTTTGGCCATCTGCGCCACCCTCATCGTCATCCCCAGCTTGTACAACGAGATCAACGAGGTATGGTGTTTCTCGATTTTTGGGACCGGGAAGCTAGCATAGATTCTTTAGGAAATGGCAGGCTAGCAGAGATTCTTTAGGAAAGGGCAGGCTAGCAGAGATTCTTTAGGAAATTCCTAATTTTCCCATTTCCAGGTCCACAACGCCGTCCTCGATGGCGTCAACGTCTTCCGCGTGGAGACCGACTCGGCCTGGACCCAGATGATGGACATCCAGATCGTCGTCACCCCGCCGTCCAAGCCCAGGTACTGTCACAGCGCCTTTAAAAGTTTGAAGCAATCTCGCGTTGAAAATTTTAGGTTTTAACGGTTGATCAATACCATTCCCGCGTTTCAGAGAGAACCCCTTCAACTCCATCTTCCGTCAGAAGCGTCAAAACTTTGCCGGACTTCCGGCCTGGTGCCAGTGCGAGCCGACGAAGCCGCAGTGCCCGCCCGGACCGCCTGGACCTCCTGGAGAGCCCGGACAGCCTGGACAGCCTGGACCACCTGGTAGGTGTTTTGATGGATAGGGCAGGCTAGCAGAGATTCTTTGGCAAAAAAAAACAGAGCAACTGAGGTTCTTTAAAAATATTCAACGATGTTCATCTACCATCACTGCTAAATTTCCCTTCAGGAGCCCCCGGTGACGACAACAAGCAGACGTACGCCCCGCTCACCTGCCCGCCCCAAGACACCGCCTGCATCAAGTGCCCTCAGGGCCCGCCTGGACCCGCTGGACCCGACGGAAACCAGGTAGATGGCAGCAAAGGCCTAAGTCTGAGCCTGGGCCTAAGCCTGAACTTGCCGAACTTGACGCCCAATCAAAAATCCGCTGTGACGCTCCCTTTGAACCAAATTTTCAGGGACCCGCCGGCCCCGACGGACAACCCGGACCTGCCGGAAACCCCGGCAACGACGGCCAGCCCGGCCCCGCCGGCCCGGCCGGAGATTCCGGAGCCCCCGGCCAGCCTGGAGGCCCTGGACAGCCAGGAGCCCCCGGTAAAGATGGACAACGCGGAAGGGGACAGCCCGGACAGAAGGGACCCGCTGGACAGCCTGGACCACAGGGACAACCTGGACAGAATGGAAACGATGGACAGCCCGGAGCCCCTGGACCTCAGGTATGTGGCGGAGAGGGAGGGAGAGAGAGAGAGAGAGAGAGAGAGAGAGAGAGAGAGAGAAAGGGAGAGAGAGGGAGAGAGAGGGAGAGAGATTACAGAATTCAGACGAGCTAGCAGAGATTCTTGAGGAAAGGACAGGCTATTAGAGCATCAATACCTCTCATTTTCAGGGACCCCCCGGCCCGGCCGGCAGCCCCGGAAACGCCGGTGGAGATGGACACCCCGGTGGCCCTGGAGGCCCCGGACTCCCCGGAACCGATGCGGCCTACTGCCCTTGCCCACCTCGCTCGGCCGTGTTCGTCAACCGCTTCGCCAAGAAGCACTAGAACGGATGCGAAGAGAGCTAATCGCTTCGATAAAGAATTTACAAGCAATATATCGACAATATATCGACAAAAGTTCAAATAAAAATACCAAAAACTTCTTAAAGAATCTCTGCTAGCCTGCCCTTTCCTAAAGAATCTCTGCTAGCCTGCCCTTTCCTAAAGAATCTCTGCTAGCCTGCCCTTTCCTAAAGAATCTCTGCTAGCCTGCCCTTTCCTAAAGAATCTCTGCTAGCCTGCCCTTTCCTAAAGAATCTCTGCTAGCCTGCCCTTTCCTAAAGAATCTCTGCTAGCCTGCCCTTTCCTAAAGAATCTCTGCTAGCCTGCCCTTTCTAAACAGTTGAAGAAAAAGGCAGAGAGCAGAGACCATTTGGGATTAAAGGGTGCGTGCCCCTAAAGTGAAGGGCAGTCTAGCCGAGAGCCTTCAGGAAAGCATTCAGTAGGACTAGCAGAACTTCTTTACGAAATGGCAGGCTAGCAGAGAACGCTTTCTCAAGTCTGAAATTTTTTCCTGATCCCGCATAATTTATCTACCTCCTTGAGCTCGAGCTCGATCTCCTGTCCGCTTGACCGCTTCCCGCCACTTCCCCACCTCACCCCATGCATCACAAATAGCCGCGCCCCGAGCAGGCGCACAAAATTTCGCTCGCCTTTTCCGCGCCGTTGTCTCAGCAATGCAAAAGTTCGTTCTTCTTGTCCGGGGGGCCCTCTGTGACGCCCCCAGTGGCCAAAAAAGTGGGCCCCCCAAAATGGGCCCTCTGTCAATGGAGTGAGAAATGGCCTCTCCATCCATTCGCTTCCAAGCCCCGCGCATTGATCTCGGCTCGATTTTTTGAAATCTTTGGATTAGGTTTTATAGCCGATTTTTCTATAAAAAAATTAGTAGTAACTATTAATAATTTATTTTATTCCAAATAACAATGACAAAAAAAATTGCTTTTGTGATATTTATGGAAAAACTGAAGCTAAGCCGAAGCCTAAGCTCTAGCATAAGCTTATCCGTTTTAGTGAGCCTCAGGCTAACCTAAGCCCGAGCCTAAGAATCGGGGTAATTAACCGCAAACTTGGGTAATTGAACCGGGCTCCGCCGCGCTTTCCCAATGGCCCCCCACCTGGCCCACTATGTGGACAGATAGTCCAAGCCTCTCCACCTCAATTCGTCAGTCGGTTCACCCCAACCTTCTGACAAATGGGTGTCAGGGCTCCCCTTAATGCCTGAAAATGGGTGTAATGGCTCCCCTAAATGCCTAGAGAAAAGCTACGGCTTCTGAACTGCTTGAAAAGCTTCGGCTTCGCAGTATAAAAGTACTGGCTTGGCTAGGTGTTCTACGTAGTCCAAATGCCTAAGCAACCGGTTGGTAAGGCTGCAGCCACAGGCGCGGCACTTACAAAAAAGCCTGGCCCATACTCGTGGTGGCCAAAAAGGCTAATTTCCCTCCAATTTTCGCATTGTGCCCCCACCCCCCCCCCCCACAGTGCTTTTCCCCTGGCCCCGTCCCCCTCCCCTCTCCCCCTTCCCCCCTCCCCAAAACCCCCCCAACCCCCCCGCCCCCCCCCCCAATCCCCCAAACCCCCAATCTCCCAAACCCCAAAAACTCTGTCCACACTGTGGACATACATGACAGACATGGCAAACGGCCGGGCCGCCGGCTTTTTTCGGCCGGAAAAATTAGCTTGCGGCCGAGCCGCGCGGCTTGGCCGGAGCTTCCGGTCCGGCCCCGGCTTTTTTATGTTTTGAGGCCGGAGCCCCGGCCAAGCCGCCGGCTTTTGAAAAGCCGGAAAGCCGGACCCAAATGAGATTTTCGCGTTTCCGGTACGCAAATTGCGGATTCAATCAATAATTAGCTTTATGGCAAGAGAAAAACCACCCCACCATAGAAATTTGGGCATTTCCATTCACAATTTTGCATAGGATTCACGGATTCTCACGTAAATGAACAACTTCCGGTTTCCCGGCTCGGCCGGAACGGCTTGGCCGGGCCGAAACCAAAAGCCGGCTGGGCCGGGAAGCCGGGTTTCCGGAAGTAAGTCATTAACGCGGCTCGTATGGGGCCGGGTTTTTATGGAAATTGGGCCGGCGGCTCGGCCGTGCGGCTAGGCCGGCCGGGATTGCCATGTCTGGTCCACAGGACGATTGGGCAACTGCAGCGTGCTCACCGCAGTCGATTACCCGGGGTACCGCGAGCGTTTTCGGAAATTCCACTTCTTCCACGTGCCCTTCCCTTGTTAGAACCTTTAAAAGTGTCATTTGGCACGTCACGTAATTCTCAAGACCTAGTAAAAGCCTATAGTCTGTTTTTTGCGATTCCCAGTTCCTTTCAAATCGCCGGAATGCATCATTTGGAGCGTCCCGTCGTTGTCGAGGGCTAGTAGGAGCCGAATGTCGATTTTTTTTACTTTCTGGCTCCTTTAAAAATTTAAAATTCGTAATTTGGAGCGTCGCGTAGTTGCCGAGGTCTAGTTCAGGCGAAACGTCTCGATTTATCTGCTTGCCAGTCCCTTGAAACCCTCTCAAAATCGTCCGGAACCAACAAAAAGCCTCGCCCACTCTTGGCCTATTGATCTGGGCTCGTCCCATCTTTTGGGGTGCCTCATTTTTGGCGGCTTTTTGCGGGGTTTTAAGCGACGGAAAGAGGGCTTTTTCTGGGGGTTCCGGAGGGCCATATCTGAGCTGCTTTTTGCCGCTTTTGCGGGCAGCAGGGGGCTAGAGACCCCGGCGCGCATTCTGATGGGCGGGCGACGTCGAGGCGGACGAGTAGTCGAGAAAGAGGCACAACCAATTGCATTTTAGGAGTCTCCCCCTCCTTTTTGGACGGCTATGCTTTTGGCACCCATCCCCTGGCGGGATGGCCGGGGGTAATTTTGGGGTGACTTCCACGCCTGCTACTCCCCCCGGCTCTGGAACTCCCTAAAGCGAGTTACGTCCCGGAAAAGTGAAAATATTCCGGGCTTTTTGCCTGATTTTTGGGTTTAAAGGGATTCGGAAGGCAGAAAAAAATTGTGGACTGCTAGTGGGTTCAGGAATCCGAAATCTAGCAGAAATCGTTATGGCTTCTGAGGCTTTGGCAAATTTGGGACTGAATTCTGCATCCACCGTGGCTACCTACAATTTACGTATCCCGACATTTACGTAACTTTAAAAAGAGAGAAAGAGTTGTTAGATTACGCGATTTATTACCTACCTACCTACGTCCGTCGACGTGGTTCTCTCCACATAGAACAATATCCTGATCAAAACACCTGCCCTAATATATCCATTTTTTGTCTGAACTCAATTAGTGCTGTCGCTCCATTTAGTGGAGTTTCTAATCCGTCCCCGCACTCGCTCCGGAAATGCGATTCCGCCCCGCAGCCGCAGAGATTCCATTTTGTGGTCAGCGATCCTGGGCTTTTTTGGCTTCACCTCTAGGTTTTTCGAGTCATACGGCTTCATTTTTTTGGAAGCAAATGGAATTTGTTTCGATTTCTTTCCTCTTTCTCTATTTTTGGTGCTTTTTCGTTTGTCTTTGTTTGGAGTAAAATTTGGTTGTTTTGTTAGTAAAATTAACCTTTGGTTAATTTGTTTCATTTCACTTTTTTGTCTTTTTTCTTTCTCTCTCACGCTCCCTCTCTCTCTCTCTCGCTCTCTCTCTCTCTCTCTCGCTCTCTCTCTAGCTCTCTTCGCTTTCTCTCTCCCGCTCGCTTTCTCTCTCTCTCTGTCTGCTTTAAATACGAACTCTAAGTAATCTAGGGAATTCCCCGCATGCGAGCCGATGATCGTTGGCGATTGTCATCGGCTGAAGGTGTCGTCCCATCGGCGCATGAACCCCGCGAAGACTATGAGGGAACCGCGAAGCGGCGGGTTGCGGATCGGCAGTTAGAGTAAGGTCGAAGCGCAGAGCATGCTAGCAGGGATTCTTTAGGAAAGGGCAGGCTATCAGATATCATTTAGTGCGACTCTTTGACTTCCCAGCCCCTTGAATTCACTTCCGGCCCCCTCAAATTCCCTCTACATTGTGTCTTGGCTGCTGATTTATTTTTGCGCGTTCCCGGGCGTTGGAAAAAGAAATGGGGGGGGGGGTGAGCCTGATGAATATTTACCCCAGCGGGGCAGAGGGAAGAAAATGGATTTTCAAAGGGATATTTTTTGCTCTTTCTCTCTCTTTCTCTCTCTCTCTCTCCCCTCTCTCTCTCTCTCTCTCTCTCTCTCTCTCTCTCTTTCTCGCGAGGAGAATTGGGAATCGAGGGTAATTCTTCAGCAACCTTCTCAATCTTCTGGATGTTTAGGTGCGAGGAGAGTCGATCGGCTGGATGTAGCCCGTTGGTGAGGCGAAGGAATAAAGGTGAGTTCCCAAAAAAACTCTGCTAGCCTGCCCTTGTTTTTCTGAGTGACGCACAAACTGCAGAAGCGGAAGACGCAGTTATGAATTTATGCGGCAAGAGACAGAGAGAGAGAGAGAGAGAAAGATTGTGAATTATACGTCAGCCCATATAGATCACTATCGAGCGATCGTCAGTCCCCCGTCATTCCCTTCCTTCTCCTTTCTTCCTTTCTGGTGCCCTCTTTGCGTCAGCGCATAACAATGCGAAATATTTCATTCGTTCCCACTTTGCAGACTTATTGTTTTAATTTACCGTAACAAATTACTAGTTGGCCGATTCGGCAGGCTAGCAGAGATTCTTTAGGAGAGGGCAAGCTGGCAGAGATTCTTTAGGAAAGGGCACGCCGGCAGAGATCTTTCCCGAACACACAACTAGCCGAGATTATTTAGGAAAATTTACAAACTGTGGCAAGCTAGCAAAGGTCATTGTGGAAACCCTAGAGAATTCTAGAGGTCCTAAATCGCACCGGTTCGTCAATTCGGAGCCCCGGGGAACGCCGGAAATATGCCGAGGCAATACTAGAGTGGCCCTGGAGTGTTCTCCGTTTTTTGCCCGTTCAGGAAAGGTCCACAAAGTGCAGAGAGAGAGAGAGAGAGAGAGAGAGAGAGAGAGGGAGAGAAAGAGATCTGCCGTGTTTTTTTTTGGGGGATTGGATGGGGATGGAGAGTAATTTCATTCTCACATCTCCTCGTGCTCTTCTCACTCGCTCACACCTCTCCCTTCTGCTTCCATTATCTCTATTCCCTGTCCTCCCGAATGGATGTGTACACCCCCGCGTATCTCCCCTACGTCTTCCAGACGTACGCCGGGTTGCTGTAGGTTTTAAAGGGGTTGGCTAGGCTTGGGAAGCCTGCGGATGTTTCAATTTTTATCGAAATATACCGAGAAATTACTTGAATTTCTAGATTTTAGCTATATTGTCGAAATCCTGGCTAAATTCTGCGTATCTTGAAGCTTCAAATTGGCCAATTTTACCGGAAACGCATTGGAATTTGGTGTATTTCGTAGCCTTGCGCCTATTCCTTTGACATCTTAAAGAGGCCGTCTCTCCAAGCCGAGGCAGGCTAGCAAAGAACTTTGAGGAAAAGCTAGCGAAAAAATTATGGATGCTTTCCAGGCGCCGGCCTCTTCGGATGCCGTGCTTCCTTCGAGTCCTCCTACTCGCTAGCTTATCCTATTAGCTGCGAGAGTGTGGGTACGTTAGTTTCGGAATCTGCACGGTGGCTCCTCTGCCTTACACGTCCCTTTAAAATCCATTTTTTAGCCGAAATGTCACCAAAAACACGTCGAAAACGGTTGTGGAAGACGCTGAGTATCGTCTCGCCATTCAGGTATGCTTTCCCAAAGAATCGCTGTTAGCCTGCCCTTTCCTAAAGAATCTCTGCTAGCTTGCCCTTTCCTAAAGAATCTCCGCTAGCCTGCTTTTTTAGTTCTCGAAAATGCAAGAAAGTGGCAGCAGATGACGTGACGCCAGTTGCTGAACAGCCGAGACTACCAAGCCTACCACAGCCTACGGTAATTGGAGCATTTTCCAGGATAATTTATGAGTTTAGGTCCCTCAGCGAAGACCGCAAAGCATCGGGATACCAGCTGAGGTGGGTCTTCCTTACTTAGTTCCTGAATCTGGCTGTCACCTTCCCTTTAAGTTGGTTTTTATGGCCCATCCGGCTACGGCAGTGACACCCCCTTGAAACCAATTCTAAGGCAAATTTGAGGTGTCACGCTCCCTTTAGTCTATTTTCACTGAAATCTGGATGTCGCCACCGCTTTAAAACCACCCCGATCCCTTTAAACCAGATTTTTTGCATGTCTTGATGCCCTTAAAACCAGTTCTAGTGCAAATTCAGGTGTCACGTTTCCTTTAAGCTTATTTCTCGACTCTCGCCGTTTCTCTCTCTCTCTATCGCTCTCTCTCTATCGCTCTCTCTCTATAGCTCTCTCTCGCTCTCTCTCTCTCTCTCTCTCTCTCTCTCCTTTTTTTTTGTCTCCGCCCCTTTAAAGTTCGTTTTTGTCTCATCGGGTTGTCACGCCCCCTTTAAAACGACGTTTTTCCTTAATTTTACGATTTCGAGGCCATTTTTACCCTAAAAACGATATTTTGAGTCGCTCGGGGCCCCCTGCAGCTGCCACCAAAAATATTTTGACTGAGCAAGCCCCCGGGAGAGCGAGGCCCGAAATGATGACGAGCGATGCCCCAAAAAAAATTTTGGCCGGCCAGCCTGAACTGTTCGCCAGGTTTTGCCCCCCGTAAAATATTCGGGTTCTCGCTGCGGGACCCCTGACCCAAAAATTGGCCCCAAAAAATCGGTCGATATCGACGGAACTCTGGGGATATTCTGGCGCGGATTGCCCTTTGAAAGACGCCGACTTGGCTATAAGTCGTGGGAGGATTTTTCTCAGGAGACTGTCGGAAATTCCGGATACTACTATTTACGCAAGGGATACGTTACAGTACGTAACGATTCGTTACACTACTACGGTCCCCTGCTTTTGTAGTACGCGACGATAGTACTTACGTAGAAACTACGTTACCTTGCTCTGTATCGCGGGGCTCGCTACGGTACGACAGAGTACGCGACGCTACTCTCGACGACCAACATTACGCTACAGTACTATCCACGACGTCTTTTTGGCCACTACCTACAACGCTATTTTCGTTTTCTTTTACGCTACGCTCCTATACTCAACCTGTCCGGCTACGCCACAATACTCTGAACACCAGCCATGGGAATCTTTGGAAATTGGAACAACAAGGTCGAGTCGGCATTAAATGGAGCGTGCCGCCAATTCTGCCACTTCCCAGTCCCATTAAAATGCGATCAGCTGCTCGGCCCCAGCATGGGGGAGCTTATGAAAATTCGGGAAAAGCCGGAAAAAAGGGCCAGCGAACCGGACCGGCAGGCGAATTGTTGTTTTTGGATCAATATTGGGAAGGCGGACAGTGGCCGGGGGTATTTGCCTTTTTGGCTGGACGGAGCGGGTTTTGATATATTTTCCTAGATTGTTTTATACTTCCTAAAATTGCTCTAGGTTTCCAGTTCTATGCCTTACAACATACCTTAAAAATTACCCGAATTGTTTCAGGCAAGCCTAAACGATGTCAGAACCCGTTAAAAATCTTTATTCTGTACAAAATTCTATTTTTTTGGAAACTTGCCGACGCTTTTTCCGCTTCTTCTAGCTTTTTTGTAGATAGGTCTGAAGCGGAAAAGCTAGAAACAGCGCCGACTCTTTCCCACATCCCCGGTGTCGTCCCCGGCAATTCGGCGCCTCTCGGAATGGCCCTAAAACACATAGGAAATTCTCAAAAGCTAGATGATGAAGCAGAAAACAGGAAGGAGAGAGAGAGAGAGAGAGAGAGAGAGAGAGAGAGAGAGAGATAATGAGAGAGAGGCAGAGCAAGAGAGACAGAGAGAGAGAGACAGAGAGAGGGGAGGGAGGGAGATAATGACAGAGAGGCAGAGCAAGAGAGACAGAGAGAGAGAGAGAGAGAGAGAGAGAGAGAGAGAGAGAGCAAAAGAGAGACGGAAAGGATAGTCTACCCCTTCCTAAGGAATCTCTGCTAGCCTGTGATTTCCACAGGAAACTCTGCTAGCTTGCCCCCTCAAGTTCAAACGGACAGTCTTGAGCCCCCATTCAAGTCCTCCCCTCCCAGAAGCGCCTTTTTCTATCGAAAATCCATGGAATCTGTGGGCATGAAATCGTGGGCAGAGGGGCCAGGCTGCAGCCTTTTTCTTGCCACACACCCCCGCCAGGACACTCCACGTCTAATTTCAATTCGGGGGGTGTTATTTTGAGCTTTTTTGGCGTAAAAACGCTTTTCCCTTTCTGTCTCTCTCGCTCTCTCTCTCTCGCTCTGTCTCTAGCTCTCACCCCTCCATATCCAGGAGCATGATCCGTAGCCTGATGAAAAAGATTTCCGCCGAGAAAGGGGATGGCCAAGCGTCGGAGGATGAGGTTTTTCATTTTTAGGCAGCTAGAATTGAGGCCGTCCAGTCACCATCCCTTTAAAATTCTAATTCATTGGGTTTAGGTATCACTGGAAGCTGGTGTCGACTATTCCCTTCACTACGTGACATTCCTCGTACGGATACGGCTGAAAGAGGGCATTGGGCTGGCCGTGAGGGATGCGTCAGGTTTGTTTTTTGGGCTTTTCACTGCGTCTCTCTAGTCTCTCTCTATTCTGGAGCCAAAAAATCTGCAAAAACTGTCTTCACAGGTCCTTTAAACAACCGATTTATGTAGAAACTCATTCTTACGTCGCAATCGATTACGCAATGTAAAACAGTGCGAGTTGCGTGACGCGGCGCGGCAAGACCTATATTCCAGCGTCAAAAAAGCCCTATTTAACCTCTAAAAACCCATTAATACGTCGTAATCGTTTAGACCAGGCAAAGGCGGCAGAAGTAGAGACATAAGTTCAACGTCCCTTTAAAACCGCCAAACTTTGTAGCCCGTAGGATGCGTCTGGTCCCCGTGTCAACCACCCTAGGAATCATCCAACGACAGCGTAGATCTACATTTCCATAGCTTCTACCTTTGTTTAGCTTACCGTAGCCCCTGCCGATAGACTTGCGGGTCCCTTTAAATCCGTAGATTTAGGCAGCAGCGACCCCTATGTCCGATTCAAGTACAAGGAAAGGATCGTCTACAAGAGTAATACGATATTTAAGGTATGCTAGCAGAGATTCTTTGGGAAAGGGAAGGCTAGCAGAGATCATTTGCTCGTTTCAGAATCTGAATCCGGTATGGGATGAAGAATTTTCGATGCTGGTGGATGATATCACGAGCCCGATCGTGATAGAGGTGAGAGAGAGAGCGAGAGAGAGAAGAGAGAGAGAGAGAGAGAGAGAGAGAGAGAGAAAGAGAGGGCAAGTGAGATGAGAGAGAGAGCAGCCACTTCTAGGTCTACGACTACGACCGTTTCTGCACTGATGACTTCATGGGCTCTGCCCAGCTCGATCTCAGCCAGCTGAAGCTTTTTCAGTGGGTTTCAGGCAAGGGCAGGCTAGCATAGATTCTTTGGGCAATTCTCGGGGGCTTGGCAGGCTAGCAGAGATTCTTTAGGAACGGGCCAGCTAGCAGAGATCATTTGAAAACTCCGAAAATTCCGAATTTCAGGGACGTCTCAGAAATCGACGAGTAAGGGTTAGAGCCGGCTTGAAACCACTTTTCTGTTGTTAAACTATCATTTTCTAGATGTTATAGAGAAAATTAACGAGTTTTAATGCCTATTTTAGGCCTAAAGAATTGACGCTACCTCTCACCTCGGTTGGAGCGCCGCCCGGGACGTGTTCAGAGGTAAGTAACGTAGTAGAATTGATAGATACCTTACCAAATACCTAAATTTGTTAAAATAAAGTAGATATAACTTCAATACAGTAATCCTGAACGTGAAAATTTGAAAAAATCAAGAGAAAATGGCAGAACTCGATTGAATTCGAAGCGAATCGCTCTATATTTCAGGCAATTGAGCGCGTCACCCCTAATTTTAGACATAACAAAGTCGGCGGGGCTGATCCCCCGTGAATTTGTGCAATTATTACGCTTTTAATCGATTAATTTATGATTTAAAAGCTTGAATTTATTAAGAGCAGTTAAAACTACTTTTTTAAGGGTGAAGAACTCGGGCAGATCGCTCTCTCGCTATCGATTATGCCACAAACACAAGAAGAGAAAGAACAGGTAGCATTTGAACTTTCTCTCTCTCTCTCTCTCTCTCTCTCTCTTTCAATCTCTCTCTCTTTCAATCTCTCTCACTATCTCTTTCTGTCTCTCTCTCTCTCATTCACTTCATGACTAGCGAATAATACTCCGTTTAGTTCCTTCAAAAGTCACGAGGCGGTGTGCTGTCATCACAAGAAGTCAAGGCGCAGCGGCGTGAGTTTTCGGTGCCTTCTAAACGTTTCACGGCGTAATCGATTACCTCAAACCGTTAGGCTCTTGTTTAATGGCGTAATCGATTATAGAGATAGTAGACCCTCAGAATTAATTGGCGTAATCGATTAACCCTTTCTTTATCCGGTGAATTTTGTAGTGTAATCGGTTCAACGCCGCCCAGTGTTCGGCTTTTTTATCGCGTAATAGCTTACCTGCGGCGCGCATATAACATTTGATAGCGTAATCTATCCCATCAGCCCTCGATTCGCCCTATTTCATAGCGTAATCGCTTTTCTATGTCCTAAAAAGCCTCTTAATTCCATAACGTAATCAATTACCTCATCGGCTCCAGATTTCTCCCTTCTCTTCCTCCGACCGGGTAATACTCAGGGTTTTGCACCGCTTTTTTGCCAATTTTCGAATTTTTCAAACCACAAAAATTCAAATTTAAATTCTTTTTCAGTTGTCCAAATCTGGAGCTCGGTCGTCAATGTGGTTCTCGTCGAGGCGAAGGGCTTACAGGTACATTACAGACCAATTTACATGACGTAATCGGTTTAGCTCTAGCAGGGGGAATGCTAGCAACGACCATTTGGGAACATAGCCGAGATTTTGTGGCTCTTAAAGGTACCGTAACTTTTCAGGCGACCGCTCCCGGAGCCCCAGATCCGTACTGCAAGTTCAAGCTCGGCCAGGAGAAGTACAAGAGCAAGGTGGGTATGAAAGGATACTCTAAAGGAGTCGGGAAGCTACGAATCTATACGAGCTTGCTGTCACCAAGCCTTTAAAGTTTAAATGCCTTTCTAGGTCATCTCCAGAACCGGCGACCCCAAGTGGATCGAGCAGTTCGACCTCCACATTTTTGAGGGAGGAGCAGAGATGTTGGAGCTGAGCTGTCACGACAAGAGGACGAGCACTTGTATCGGGAGGTAGGGAAAGAGAGAGAGAGAGAGAGAGAGAGAGAGAGAGAGTGAGTGAAAGAGAGAGAGAGAAAGAGGGATCGAGAGGGAGAGATCGAGGAGATTTTTCCAAGAGTTTCTGCTATGCTGCACCTTCCTAAAGCATCTCTGCTAGCCTGCCCTTTCCAGAACCTCAATCGACCTGACAGCCGTCGAACGCGACACCACCGTCCAGCAGTGGCATACCGTTTATTCTGTTGAGGAAGAAGCACCATGTGGAAAAGTTCTGCTACTGGTAAGTTCCATCTTCCCATTTTCTTTACAACCATTTGTTTGTGGATAACCATCTCCGGCAGTCAGTCCACAGATACGGTCGTAGACTTGGCGGAGTTCAACCAAAACGACGTCCGCCACGCCATCGTCCAGAAGTTTGTGCGTTGGTTGATGTTGTTCTAGCTATATATTGAGCTCGAGCTCGGGATCTCTCTCTCCCTCTTTCTCTCTCTCTCAAAATCTGCTCTTCCAGGAACTCCGCTACAGTCATCAATGCCTCAAAGAAGTCGGTCATTTGACCGTCAAAGGTAACTAGCAGAGTTTCTTGGGTAAATTCCCGAAGTTCCCAGTGTCTCCGTCCCTTTAAAACGTCCTATTCCAGTCTTTCGGGCCGAGAACCTGATCGCCAAGGATCTGGGCGGAAAGTCCGACCCGTTCGCTGTGTTGGAATTAGTAAGCTTCCGTACTTCCGGTGGTAATCTTGGTTTCTAGGTGAACACCCGCTTGCAGACGCACACCGAGTACAAGACGTTATCACCGCACTGGAACAAGCTTTTCATATTGTGGGTCGTCGGCTTTGAAACGAAAGGCGGGCTAGCAGAGATTCTTTAGGAAAGGGCAGGCTAGCAGAGATTCTTTAGGAATGGGCAGGCTAGCAGAGATTCTTTAGGAAAGGGCAGGCTAGCAGAGATTCTTTAGGAAAGGGGAGGCTAGCAGAGATTCTTTAGGAAAGGGCAGGCTAGCAGAGATTCTTTAGGAAAGGGCAGGCTAGCAGAGATTCTTTAGGAAAGGGCAGGCTAGCAGAGATTCTTTAGGAATGGGCAGCCTAGCAGGGATTCTTTGGGAACCCATATTTCTCCTTCAGCTCTGTCCGCGACATCCACACATGCCTTGAAGTCACGGTCTACGACGAGGACCCAAACAACAAATTCGAATTCCTAGGCCGGGTCTCGATCCCGTTGATTACGGTAGAATACTGTAGCCATTCTGCCACTACGTAAACCGTACAGATCCGAAATTGCGAGAAGAAATGGTTCGCCCTCAAGGATAAAAAGCTGATGAATCGAGTGCGGGGGGACATTCTGTTGGAGCTGGACCTTATTTGGAATCCGGTAAGGGGATACGGCATATTACGAGGTGTACGTTACAGTACAGGTTTACAGTACCCTGTAAAACACGTAAATTCCAGATTCGGGCAGCGATTCGTACATTCAACCCCAGGGAGCAGAAGTACATCCAGCCAGAGCAGAAATTCAAGCCGGCCCAATTTAAGGCGGTGGTGATTGAGTTAAAGGTATCGTTTCGTTATCTCTAACTCTTTCTCTCTCTCTCTCTCTCTCTCGCTCTCGCTAATTTTACCTATTAGGATTTTGCCATGTCGGTCATCGAGTACAAGGACTACATCTACAGTTGTTTCGATTGGGAATCGAGGAGCCGGAGCTTATTCGCGTTTTTGGTAGGTCTTTCCCCAAAGAATCTCTGCTAGCCTGCCCTTTCCTAAAGAATCTCTGCTAGCCTGCCCTTTCCTAAAGAATCTCTGCTAGCCTGCCCTTTCCTAAAGAATCTCTGCTAGCCTGCCCTTTCCTAAAGAATCTCTGCTAGCCTGCCCTTTCCTAAAGAATCTCTGCTAGCCTGCCCTTTCCTAAAGAATCTCTGCCAGCCTACGCTCCATTTTCAGCTCTTCATCATCACCGTCTACAACTTCCAGCTCCACCATGCTCCAATGGTCATTTTACTCCTATTCCTGAAGGTACGGTAATCTCGACACCTTTTAAAGGGAGTGTGACAGCAGAAAATACGCCATTTTCTAGGGCTACGTCTACAGGCGCATCGCGGACGGTCTCAGCCATGGAAAACGATGGGAGGAACGAGGGCTGTCGGCTGGTGGGAACTCGGTGGATGAGGACGACGAAGGAGAACTGATTACACCTACGAAACAGAAGGCAGAGGTACGTTCAGGCCTATGGACGGGCTACAGTACGCTTTAGGCAAGTTCCTCGCTGCGGGACACCTTCTTCTCGGTGCAGGAGACGCTGCAAGTAGTTCAAGGAGTGCTCGTGTTCATCAACGAGTTGCTGCAGAGGATCAAGAAGTAGGAGAAGCTCAAGAATCTCTGCCAGCCTCCCCATTCCCTAAAGAATCTCTGCTAACCTCCCTTTTCAGCACCTTCAACTTCACAAACCCGTGGCTCTCCTGGCTAGCTGTCGTCGTCCTTACCGTAGCCACCGGTCTACTGTACCTCGTCCCCCTCCGCTGGATCATCATGGTCTGGGGTACGGTATTTTTCTGCTAGCTACGGTACCTGGTCCATCTTTTAGGCATCAATAAGTTCACCAAAAAACTGCGCAATCCGCACTATGTCGACAACAACGAGCTGCTGGACTATTTGTCCCGAGTGCCGAGTGACACGGAAATTGTGGGTTTCTAAGGATTTTTTTAATGAAGTGTCGCTCCCCCTTTAACCAGGTTTTTAGGGGGGTTTTAAAGGGCTGCCGACGGCATGTGTCGATCCCCCCCTCATCAACAAATTGGCAAGTAGCCAACAGGGGAGAGAGCGCGCCCAGGGGAGAGGCGCAGAGACATTTTCTTTTCCGCGCGTAATCGATTGACTATGCCGTCGGCATCCCTATAAGGGGGCTGGGAACCGAAAAACTGGACTAAAAACTATAAAACAATTTTAGCAACAATGGCGCGAGCTGCCCGTCGAGCCGAAGAAGCAAGCGAAGGAGAAGACTTCGAAATAATTTATTTTCTTGTTGACTTTGTAGATTTTCTAGAGCCTAAGCTTCAGTCTAAGCCAGGCCTAAGCCAAGCCTAAGCATAAGCCGAAGCTAAGCCTAAGCCTAAATGCCTAGCCCTAAACTAAGCCTAAGCTAAGCCTAAGCTAAACCAAGCCCAAGCTTAAGACCAAGCCTAAGCTTCGCCAAGCCTAAGTAGAAGCCCAAGCTAAGCCTACGCCCAAGCCTAACCTACGCCTAAGCTAAGCCTAAGCTAAGCCTACGCTAAGCCTACGCTAAAACCAAGCCTAAGCCCATCGGCATTCCATTTCTCGACCAAAAACTCCCCCCAAAAATGCCTTTCTCATGATGATACGTTCCAGTGCAATACTACGTGCGCAAATGTGATAGCCAGTCGTTTTTCACCCCACCATTCGACGATATTTGCTTTAAATTGTTTTTCTCCTTATTTATTATGTATTTCTGCCTTCCCGGTTCCTTTACAAGCATTAATAGCATCGAAATTGATTTTTTTGCGCTTTTTTAAAACTTGCCCTCCACTTTCCCCCGCCACTTACCCGCCCGTACCGGTGTTCCAGCAGCCCAACTGTGTTGTTCGCTTACGATATGTTTCTATATTTATTTATTGTGGTTTGATAAAGGTTTTAAAGTACGTAATTTACACTTTAAAACGTCATAACCGCTTTATTCGGATTTTTCAAGGTTTATTTCGTCAAAAAACGTAATAAAAATGTTTCTAAACGTTCTAAAATGTTTGTTCCATCGTCGAAAAAGATTGCTAGCTTTGCAAAACTATATAATCAACGTATTTAGCGTTTATAAAGTCTCTAAATGGTTTAATTGACTCAATGTGAATCTTTGCCATAAAAAGAAGCAAGAAAAAATATTAAAAAATGGTCGTGAAAGCTCTATGTTTCTTTCTAAACGTCGTAAGTATTGTATTTCGTTTTTATCAACCTTTATGACGTGGTAATACGCAAGAAAAACGTTTCAAAACATAAAAAACGTTCCCTGGCATCGATTGTTTACCATCAAAAAGTGCATCCCGGCCGGCTATGACTCGTCGTTTCCCGCGGCCAGACAAACAATCACCCGGTTTCTTCTGTTCCCATTTTCAGATCTTTTATTACTATTTTACATCCAGATTTTACAGTATAAATTAGAGTACAAAACTTTACATTTCCTTGATTTCAATCCCGAAAATTTACCCCGGAAAATGAAACCCTAAAATCATTGTTTTTTACGCCTGGAACATGTGCATTCGCCTGTTGAAAGGTTCGGCCGGTTTTCAGGGCCTTTTCTTGCCAAAATTTCACCAGAAAATTTAGAAAAGGTTTTTCATACTTTCTATTGGTTTCTATTTCCTTGGCTCCACGAGGCTCCTTTTGACACTAGTCGGGCCGGGCAATGAATTATGCTGCGTAATCGAATGTTTCAAAGTTATATACTTTAAAAAAAGGTTTCAATGCTTATAACTTTTTAAAAATTCCGGTTTTAAGCTCATTTTTGGTCGGAAAAGAAAGAAGACACCTTGAGGAACCGTTCCCCTACGTTTTACAGCTGCTTTAGCGTTTATAGACTTTAGAAAATCCACTATGCGTTCTAACTTTGTAAAATTGATATCTTTCAGCCTAATTTGGGGCGTTAAACTAAGGAAAAGCTTCAAGAAACGCCTCTCTAGTGATTACGCCACAATTGTCACGCTAGTGCACTGATAGGCGGTCCAGGGATGTTTTTGAAATCTACGATTTCAGCCGTGTTCCTGTTGGCCGTCGGGTCGATCTCGTCGTGTCTGCGCCTCGTGTTGCCCCAAACGCTGTTCCGTTCTCTCGGTAGGGGCTCTTTCCCCTTTCCTCTTTCTTGTCACGACGACGAGATGACTCATTTTACATTTCGTAAGGCAATCCCCTGGCCGTCCCCTTGGACTTTTTTGTTGCCCTTTATAGCCGTCGAAACCCGGTTCTCGCCCCTGGGATCGATCCTCGTCCGTTCCTTTATTTGCTTTACTGATCGGCTGCGCTGGTTTTGGCCGTATTTTAAGGGGTGAAAACTCTTTTAAAGGCCTTGATATAGGGGAAAATCCTTTTTTTCCGGGTTTTTTAGTGGGTAGAAAGCGTAGTTTGTAGAGCTCTAGATTTTCAGCATCCTGATTTTTAAATCCATTTTTCTATTATCGCGAAGTTTTAACGTTTTTTTTAAAGCGAAAACTGCATCTATTGTAAAAATATTCACTGGTTTTAAGCTCCTTCTCGTGCATAGAAAGTGTAGTTTAAAAAGGCTGTGTTTTTTCTTTCTGAATTCAGCTCGATTTTCGATTATTTTTTGTGTATCACTTCTATTTTTTTTTGCAGAAACCCGCTACCTGGATGCGCAGGTGAAGGCCCGACTTTGCACGAGACGCTGGACGTTGGTATTTGAAAATATTAAATAGCTTTACATTTTTTTTCCTAGAAAATGCGGGCCAACATAGCGGTGCCGGCCGCGCTGACGTTTGCCGTGGTGGACGCGATTTTGTCGACGCTTCCGCTCGGCCTCTACCACGCCGGATGGAGCTTTGACGCCAATCTCATTTACAAGTGCGTTGTTTTTGATCGAATTGTTAAAATATCTGTTTTAAGCGCATTTTTATTGGCTCTAAAACTCTGAAATTTTGCGATTATTTTGGGGGTATTTTCGGCAACTCTAACAACCGTGAAAACAAGTCTTTTAAAAGACCAAAAAATCTTCTTCTAACTTTTTACGCTTATTTTTTGGTCCTAAAAACTCGAGCTTTTTCAGGTATCTCTTCTTCATCGACGGCTACGACTTTTTCACCGATCCCGTCGATTTTGCCGCGCTCTCGCTCGTCAGGATCATTGTTTTGGTGGGTTTTCCTGAATTTTCGTTAAAAGAAACTGATATTTCCATCAGAAACCGTATAAAAACACACTCTAAAAACTTTATCGATCGGAAAATCTAGACAAAGTAAAATACAGACGAAAATCCGATTCATCGCGTTCCAAAAAAAGGGGTTTTCGTGGATAAATCGATAAAAATCACAATTTTTACTGCTTGCCCGTTAAAAAATTCTCTAAAAATTTGGCCCTATTTAGCTCGATATATAAAGTTTTTATTTTTTTTTTTTAGAGGAATCGATGAATTGAGATTTTTATTGAACTTTTTTGTGAAAATAATCTGCCCCATTCCAGGTCGCCGGCTCGTTCCTGTGGCTGTTCAAGAAAAATGAGCTGATCCGCATGCTGACGATGCCCGTCCTCGGCGTGGCCATACTTTGCTACAGCTGGGTGCTGGTGAGTGGAAATTACCATTTTTCTAGTAATTTATAGCGTAAACTGCTTCTAAAGTATCGTTAAAAATCGTCCACTTTTCAGGTAAAACTCCTCGCGCTGTCCGAAAATTCGGAAGCAATCGCCTGGCCGGGCGTCTGGCTCTCCATCGTCCTGACGACGTTGTGCTCCGCCGGGATGGTGTTGATTTGGTAAGTCTTCATTAGATCTATCGTTTTTTCTAAAGGTACTTTAAAATTTGAAGCTTTTGAAGCCGCATTTCTGGTCTAAGCCTCGAAAGCTTGCTTTTTTCCTCGGACCAGCTTTTACCTGAAATCTAGAGCTTTTCACCTCTATTTCCGGGCCAATTTTTGAAGTCGATTTTTGCAGGTACTTCGTCCTCGCCGCCAACCACATCCCCTACGAGCGGCTCGTCGAGTTGGCCGAGGGCACGACGACGGCAAGCAGTACAACGGCCAATGGCGCGGAGACTACGCGTGGGTATTTTGAAGCGATTGTTTTATTCAATAAAATCAGTTTTTTGAGGGGTTTAATTTGTTTTATTAATTTTTATTAAGACTATTTTGCGACGTTTTAAAGTTATAAAAATTAACAAAAAGCTAAAAACTTCTTTTTTTCAGCCGAAGACCCCGAAAAGCGGCTCTCCACCCTCGCCCACATCAAGCGTCTGCTGGCGTATTGCGGAAACGAGTGGCAATGGTTCTCCACCGGATTCGGGTTCTTGCTCATTTATTCAGCAGGTGAGACTCACTCTCTTTCTCCACTCTCTCTCTCTCTCTCTCACTCTCTCTCTCGCTCTCACTCTCGCTCTCCCTCGCTCTCACTCTCTCTCTCTCACACTCTCTCTCTCTCTCTCTCTCTCTCTCTCTCTCTATCCCCATTTTTCAGCTCGCGTCTTCATCCCCTTCTACACGGGTCAAGTCATCGCCACCATCGTCCAGATCAAGACCATCTCCGAGTTGATGCACTCGGTGCTGATCATGAGCGGCCTCACCCTCGTTTCGTAAGTTTTCTGGCTTCAAAACCCGATTTTCCCCGCTTGTTCAGCACCCTGTTCGGCGGCCTCCGCGGCGCGTGCTTCGACTACGCGAGCGCGCGCGTCAACCGGCAGATCCGGCTGGACCTGTTCCGCTCGTTGGCCCACCAGGACATTGCCTTCTTTGACGTCACAAAATCAGGTAATTTAAAGAATGGATTTTTAGGTTTAAATAATTCATTATAGTTTTTTAACAGCTTTAAGATTAAAAGCTACAATTAAGGATATTTTTAGCTGAATTTTTAAAAGATCTATTTTTTTAATAGTTGTATTTTCCGTTTTTCCAGGCGAAATGATCTCCCGCCTCACCTCGGACTGCCAGACGATGGCCAGCACGGTGGCCGTCAACCTGAACGTGTTTTTGAGGAATGGCGTCATGTTGATTGGTGCGTTTTGAGAGCAGGAAAACTTTTTCAACGAGTTCAAGGAGTTCAAACGAAAATTCAACAGTTTGGCAACCTTTTAGCGTGTTTTACATGTTTTAGAAGTTCAAAGCCACTCTTTTATGGGCTATGGAATTACTCGACGAGTTCGAGCAGTTCGGAAATTAAACTTAAATGTATTTTGAATTTGACAATGAAAAATTCTAAGAATTCCCACTGATTTTTCAGGTTGTTTGGTAAAAGTTCAAAAGAGTTCGACGAGTTCAAAGAACTTTATCTTTTGTAACCTGAACCTCCCTTTCCAGGCGCCCTCGGCTTCATGTTCGCCCTCTCGTGGCGCCTCGCCCTCGTCACGTTCATAGCCATCCCCATCGTCGGCTTCATCACCAAGTGGTACGGCGCCTACTATGATGTGAGTTTTTTATTTCAGTTTCGAACTACGAAATCTTTTAGAAACTGTCGGAGCGCACGCAGGAGACGATCGCCAAGGCGAACCAGATGGCCGAGGAGGTGCTGTCGACGATGCGGACAGTTCGGTGGGTTCTGAATTTTTAGTTTTATCTTGTCTTTTTTTCCAGCTCGTTCGCGTGCGAGGACCGCGAGGTGAAGCGCTTCAAGGACCACATCGACACTACGCTTGCCGTCAACAAGAAAAAGTGAGCGGAATTTGGTAGCGTAATTAGTTGTGGAATTTCGGGATTCTTTTCCGTTTTTTTGCAATTTCTGTTTCTAGTGAAAACTACTGTAGCTTTGCCCTAAAAATTCGCTAATTCACGGTTTTTGAGATTTTTCAAGCGCACTGTGCTGAACTGCTCGAAAACGTCGGTTCCTAAGGGGGGTTTTTGCTCGACTGTCGCTTTAAAGAGACGAGCAAAACTAAATTCATATGCAAAAAAAATCGGGGTAGGCTAGCAGAGATTCTTTAGGAAAGGGCAGGCTAGCAGAGATTTTAGGAAAGGGCAGAATGGCAAATATTTGTTTCTTTCAGAGCCTGGGCCTATCTCGGCTACTCGTGGTGCAACGAGTTTTGCGACAACGCCATCCTCGTCGCCGTCCTGTTCTATGGCGGTCATCTCGTGCTCTCTGGTAATCTACAGTCTACAAATCAGTTTCTAACTATTTTTTCTAGGCCACCTCTCCACCGAGAACCTGATCAAGTTCCTGATGTACCAGATGCAGCTCGGCGAGAATCTTTATGTAAGTTGTTTTCTAACGGAATTGGTATATTTTCGTGTTTTCAGAACATTGGCTACGTGATGACGGGTCTGATGGAGAGTGTCGGGGCGAGTCGCAAGGTTTTCGAGTATATGAATCGGTCGGTTTTTGATGCAGCTATACTTTTTACTCCTATAAAGCTCTGTTTTTCGTTCGTCTGTCTTCTACCGAAATTCGTTAAGTTTATAAATGTTTAGAAGCGCATTTTATTTTATTTTCATGATTTTTGAACTTTTCAGGCTATTTTTGGTCATTTCCGGGGTTTCCTGATTTTACTATCGGATTTTTTAGCTTTTTTCCTCCGAATTTCGATTTTAAAGTGTCTAACTTTCAAAATGTCGATATTGCTAATGGCGAAATTATAATATCGAAATTCATAGCGTCAAAATTTCGAAATTTCCATAAACCAGTTTGTCAAAAAAATTTCGACATTTTGAAAATCCATACGAAATCTACAGCACAAAAGCGGCTAATCTTGCCTTGCCCGTCCCTTTAAAATTTTGCGTACCGTTTTTTCTAAATTTCCGCTTCCAGATTCCCGGCCATCCCGTTTGACGGTGTCCAGCGACCACAGGTCAGCGGTGCCGTCACCCTGGAGAACGTCTCGTTCACCTACCCCAGTCGCCCCAACAACCCTGTCCTCAAGGTAGATTTTTACCGTCGAAAATTACTGTTTTTTTTGCAGGACTTTGACCTGAAGATTGCCGCCGGCGAGACGGTGGCGCTGGTCGGACCGTCGGGTTCGTTCTTTGCGTTTTAAATCGATTTTTAGCGGCTTATTTCATGTATTTTTTAGGTGGTGGAAAGTCGTCGGTCGTCTCCCTGATACAGCACTTCTACGAGCCGACGAAGGGCCGTGTACTGCTCGACGGGATCCCCATCAAGGACATCAGCCATTGGTGGTATCATCAACGGGTAGGTTTCTGTCTCTCTCTCTCTCTCTCTCTCTCTCGCCCCCATCTCTCTCTCTCTCTCTCTCTCTCTCTCTCTCTCTCTCTGTTTCTCTGTCTCTCACTCTCTGGCAATGCCTCTCTTTCTCTCGTTCTCTCTTAATATCGCCCTTTCTCTCGCTTCTCTCTCTGTCTCTCTTTCTCTCTCTCGCTCTCTCTCTCGACTTGTCGCTTTTCACTACCTCGAAATATATACCGTTTCTTTAGATCTCCCTCGTCGCCCAAGAACCCGTCCTCTACGACGGCTCCGTCCGCTACAACATCCTCTACGGCTGCGACTGGGCCACCGAGGAGGATATGCAACACGCCGCCAAGACGGCCAACGTCCACTCGTTTGTCGAACGCCTCGAACAGGGCTACGACACCAACTGCGGCGAGAAGGGCGTCCAAATGTCTGGTCAGTCGTTTTTTTCTCGGGTTTTTTTCGGAGACTACGATGTATGCCTATTAACGCCTCGCTTTCTAGGTGGTCAGAAGCAGCGAATCGCCATCGCCCGGGCCCTCGTCCGCAACCCGGCCGTCCTCATCCTCGATGAAGCGACGTCGGCTTTGGATGCGGAGAGCGAAGCGCTCGTTCAGGATGCGCTGAGCAAGTAAGAAATTTCTCCGTTTTCCTAAAGAATCCCTGCTAGCTAGCCCTTTCCTAAAAATCTGTGCTAGCCTCCCCATTTGCCAAAGAATCTCTGCTAGGCTGCCCTTTCCTAAAGAATCTCTGCTAGGCTGCCCTTTCCTAAAAAAATCTCTGCTAGCCTGCTAATATTTCCTGTTTTCAGATGTGCCAAGGAGCGCACGGTGCTGATCATCGCCCACCGCCTCTCCACGATCGAGAAGGCCGACCGCATTTGTGTGCTCGAGGGCGGCACGTTGGTCCAGGTGCGCGCTTTTTTTTTGCTGTTATTTTTATCTTTAGTAGTTCGTAATTTTATCTTTCATTTTAGTCTGGCAACCACCGCGAGCTGATGCGCGACCGGGACGGCTTGTACGCGGCGTTGGTGAAGAGACAGGTGAGGATTTTTGTGGAATTATGGAAATTGGGAATCAATAGAATCACAACAATTTTTAAATTTTCATTTTAAAAACTTTTAACTTAAAAATTTTTCGTTGAAATTTTGGTCGAAAATCGACCATTTTGTTGTCGAAAAATCGGCCATGTTTTTTGGTTTTTGATTAAAGTTTAAGCACAGAAAAACATTTTAGAATAGCTGCGCCTATTTATATGAGAAAAACGGTATCCTTAGAACCGTTGCCACCCCCCGATAATGGGAAAGAACCTTTTATTTTTCTACAAGATTTTTAGCTAGTTGTCGTTAAGCTGGACATACAAAATAAAACTATTTATAAAATTTTTATATTCTTGAAAATTAGAAAAAATGAGAAACGCCATGTTTCATGCTTTGGTTTATTTTTCTTTTTAGCTCCTCGCCGTCGCCAGCTCTCCAACTCACAGTCCCATCCAGCCGAGCCCTCTCGCCCAGATGATCGCCGACGAGGAGCAGCAGGAGAAGCTCGTCGAAATTCCGCCCTCCACCACCACCGAAAAGCCATTTTAGGCATAGATTTTTGGGAATTGTTTTTTCACGCTCACCCACCCACTCTTGCATAGTCATTTTTTTGTGTGTCTGGTCAAACGATGAGCATAACTGCCCCCCTTGATTTCGATACCTGTAACGTACCTTACAGCCTAGCCGGTCGGACTCCAGATACCCCCCCAGCCGACCTCCAACTCTTGTATCTCGGCTCCCTGTTCATCTACAGGCGTGTAAAGTACACCAAAATACTCGCCAGATCAAGACGAACATTTTGGTATACATGACACACCTGTAGATGCACAGCGAGCCGAGATACAAAAGTTGGGCGCCGGCTGGGCGGGGGTTATCTGCAGTTCAGCCGCCTAGCCTCCTAGAAATGTGACCACCATAAAATTCGGGTCTTTTCTCCCACTTCTCCTCCTACCAATATTAATGCGTGTCGCACACGTGTATACTCGTAATGTGTAAAGTAATGCTATCCGATCGATCCCCTACCCTGCTCTCGCCCCCCGAGCTTGTGATTCCGATTTCCGACGTTTTGTTGTGTATTTTTTTCCCTTGTGCTCTTGTCGTTGCAATAAAAAATTTAAAATTGCGAGGTTTAATACGCTACAAACTGTTTTATTTACGGTGAGAACTACAGATTATAATTGGCGATTTCCGGAAACTACAAAATACAAACATGTTATAGATATTTCCATGCCGTAATCGTTTATGGCAGCGATTTAGAAGTCGTAATTAATTAAGAAGGAGTAGAATTACATGGCGTAAGCGTTAATAGCATAGAACCAGGGTTGAAAAACCGCTTCGCGGCTTTTCAACCCTGGCCCCGTCCAGGACCTGTGAAGGTCCTTAATTTGCATGTTTCTTCCTGAAATCTAGCAAGAAAAAAAAGTGAAAAACGGCTCCTCCGTCCCTTTATATAGGCTCTTCCTACTTCCGGCGTATGCTAATTTCCCCTAACAAACAGGGTTTTACAAAAACCTATTTTTAATAGCGAAAACCGCAATTTTTCAAAATTTTTATGTGTGTGCAGTCGATTCCGGACCATTCTAAACCTATTGTCGTTTCTTCCCTATCCAAAAAACCCTTCCCCGAGGCTGTAGGAGCGGAACATCCTAACGGAAGTGCATGCAAATATACACACACACACACAAACACTATTTTTTTATATATAGTAGGATAGGATAACGTGTCGTAAGCGTTAAAAACTTTAATTAAATTTTGTAAGCTTTAAAAGGTTTTCGAATTAGATGTCGTAAGCTTTAAAAAGTTCACGTTTCTTTTACTGTCTGTCTCTCTCTCAGTCTCTCTCACTCTCTATCACTCGCTCTCTCTCTCTCTCTCTCTCTCTCTCTCTCTCTTTGCCTTTCCCTCGCTCTGTCGATTTTTCTTTCGTTGCATATCTACGTCTAACGGTCGATTCTGTGCGTTTCTCCCACTCTCTCTCTCTCTCTCTCTCTCCCTCTCTATCTCTCGCTCTCTCCCACTCATCGCACAAACCGATTATGCCACCAGCCACTGGCGGCAGCCGCCTGGCGTGCCTGTTCGTCTGTCTGTCCGTCTGTTTGTCTGTCCATTTCACCGTCCTTCCACCCTCTGACTTCTCTGTCCTCTCCCCGTCCGCCCCACTCTCTCCCCACCCTCTGTGGCGTTTGGCGTGCCGCGTACATGGCTTGGCCGATCCCGTGCATGCCCCGCCCGACCATCTCCCGCTTACGATATGAATAGTAGTTGGGCACTTTTTAGGGGCTATAGATTATGCCATGGATTTGGGATTTTCGCATCTATAAGCGGAAGCTGTTGCTTTTTCAAAATCCAGACGCATCGGGGATTGATAAGCGCTAATCGCCGGCTATCAAGCATATAACCATTGCTGGGACGGGGTTTTCAAACGTTAAAAGGCTAGGTAATGGTTAGAAAAAATTATAATACTTGTTTATTTGAAATAATAATGGTTTGAATGAATTTCTGAGGTTCATGTCTACTTTAAAAACTAAAAAAATCGCGGTTTATAAATATAACTTATTTAAAACTTGTAAACTATCATAATAAGCGTATAGTCGATGAAACAATAGTTTTTATAGATTTTTACCCTTTTTTTCTGTGCAGAAACTAAATTTGGGTTCGAGCTGGCTATTAACTAATTGTTTCCGATTTTTATACGCTATTTTTTGATTCCTATGTATTTTATATGATCTATAAACAAATATTAAAGTTTTAGATCAATGCTTTAGTCAAATAAAGCTGTTTTAATAGCTTTTCGACATCAGGAATTAATTTTTAGTAATATTTTGCGTTTTATTTTGCTATTTTCTATACCTTTTAACTTATTTTAAGCAGCTGTTTCTTTTGCGTGTATTTTAAATTTATATAACTTTCAAAAAATTCGTATCTTTCAGCAATCCCCCCGCTGCCCCAGCCACATGGCGTCGACTTCCCGAGAGTTTCGGGAGGGCGACCTCGTCTGGGCCAAGATGAAGGGCTACCCACCATGGCCGGCCAAGGTTTGAGTTTTTACATCTGGCAATTACTTACCAATTTTAGGTACTCCCGTTCGACTTTGACGCCGTGATGCCCGGGCGCCTAAAAGTGCTCTTCTTCGGCACGAAGGAGACGGCGTTCCTCAAGACCAACGAGCTGTACGACTACAAGGAGTTCCGCGGCCAGTTCGAGATCCCGAGGAAGCACAAGGTAAATTTTATATTTGAAATGAAAAAAACGTATGTTTTTGACTGAACTTAATCGTTGTTTAGGACTTCAAAGAGGCCGTCGAAGAGGTGCGGATCGAGGCCGGATTTGCCGTGCCGACCATCGGCAAGCACGAGGTGAAAATCGAGCCCGAGGACCCGGCGGTGCCCTCCACTTCTAGTGAGTTTTAGAAAGTTAAGAACTTGTTAAAATGATGAAGGACTTATTCTAAAGCTAAAAATTTCTATTATAGCTTATCTCGAGCCTAGTATAGCCTAGTATTAACCAAAGAATAAGAAAAATTACATTGCATCGCTAAAAACCAATTATTAGCGGGTCGGAAACGTCTCAACTCTTCCAAACTGTTTTTTGACGCGTTCGTCGGCGAGCAGCAACGGAAACGGGCGCTCAGCGATGGGAGCTCGAGCAGTAAAAAGTTGGTTTCAGGATTTTCAAGCTTTGATAGCTAATTTTCTGCTTAAATCGATGATTCTAGGACCCGATCTCGTACGGACAGCGTCGCCTCGTTCCTGAAACATTTGAGAAAGGTAAATCGGCTCTTAAAAGGCTAAATTTGGTTTTGTAGAAACGACGACTCGGGAGTGAAAGCTCTGGGGGCAGCAAGCAGAAGCAGCTGATGATTTCCGGTGGTTTTAACGAGAAGGATATACTGGAGAATTATTTGGCGGTAGGTTTTTAGGAATCAATGAAGTTCTGCGCTCAAAAATCAGCTCTATCCGACTTTTAGCCGCTCAACGAGCTGCCGATACTCGAGGGCGAGCTGGGCTTCAGCGAGGTCGACACGAAAAGCAAGAAATCTGGGAGGTTCGGCCAGTTTCCGGAGCGTTAAAGTGAATTCTCTAGGTCTCGCTGCTCGTCCAACTTCATCACCGAGCTCTCGTTAACGATAGCCAGGCAACGCCAGGATAGCGGATCGAATAATGGCCGGAATCGGTGGGTTTTCGTTTAGAGGACTTCGTGGTAGAAAAATCGGCCCAAATCACGAATCGAAATTTTTTCTGGCTTTGAGATGTCGAAATTTCGCTTATCGACGTTTCTATACTCTTTTTTTACTATTTATCGAGCAAAAAATGTAGACATTTTCCTTAAGAAACCAAAAAAAAGATTTTCGAGAAACGTTTCGAATTTTCACAAACCTTTCCAAGTTTTTTTGCTACTTTTTTGACCACGGAATCCCGACAAAATAGGGAAAATGCCGAAAAAACGCAGGTTTTTACTGGAAATATAGCTAATTGTTATAAAAAGCTATTAAAATACTCGAAATTACATTACTAGGCTTTGCTGGTTTCTACGTTATGTGAAAAGTTTTGGCATGGAATTCTGGCGGGAAATTGCTATCGATATCTCTAATCCGGATTTCCCAACCCGGTTTTATTACTGAAATCCGGAAAACCCTGTTTTATTAAAGCACGGAAAGCACGCCGCGAAGCCAGTCGCGAAACGGAAACGGGCACCACCACACGGTGGCCCCCAGGTGGATACGGTGTCGTGTTGTCTATTGTGCAAAAAAATGAAAATATGGGATTTTTTTAGAGCGGATGAATTTAAAAACAAGCATTTTTAGAACTCGCACAATTTCCGGCATCTCCGAAATCTACGAGGACATTCTGGGTGGGAATTCCAAGTTTTTACCCGAAGCCTTCCTCGACATGGTCAACGAGTATTCATCGGGGGAAGAGGTTGGGTTTAGATTTGAAGCTATTTTAAACGATCAGGCGTTAAATTGCTTAAATAAACTATAATAAAACGCTCAGAAATAATAATATTTAATTACTATGACTTCAGGACGGCCCTGCAACCCCGGAGGGCCCCTCCCAAATGCCGACCATCCAGAAGCGGTGCTCGGACTGTGACTGCGCCTGTGCCCTTTATGGCGTCAAGTGGAGGTGAGCGGAATTTAGGGAATTTTTCTGCGTGCGAAAAACGATTACCTCATGGAATTCAGCTTTTATCCTACGTTACGACATCTAATTAGAGCACGTTTGAACGATTACGCCATAGAATTCCGGCCTTACGCGCCTTGTAATTCTGTAAAATTTGTGGCAGAATCCTCAAAATCCTTCTCTTTTATGCCTAATTTCATTTATAGATGCACGAACAAGGGCTGCCTAAAGTGGAACGGTATCGCCGAGGGCTACCTAACTGATGTGAACGGCTCGTCGACGACGACGACGACGGGCCGGACGACACGAGGGCGATTAAATTCGGGGCGTGTCGATGATGAAGCCATGCGGTAAGGGATGTAAAATCTATCAGTTAGAGTCGAAAAGTTGCTGCACGCCGTTTTATGAATTTTAGCAACCTGCAAAAAACGTAGAAAATCGCAATCATAATCTGACCACCAATAGAAAATTGCGCTAGAAAAATTGGGGGAAATCGTAGGGAACTGAAATGAATTTTGAAAATTGTTAAAAACAAGAAAGAATGTAAGCAGTACTGAAAAAGGAAAACTGTAAACCGTAGGAAAAGATCTGCGTAAAATTTCGTCATGTCGGGCTTTTTTTATGAACGCCGGGGGTGGTCGATCATAGAGCGGCGGGCCAGGCGTTCGCAGAATTTCGAACGCTTGGAAATTAGCTTTTTAGGGGTTTTTACGGTATTTTATCGTATTTTTCGTTCGATTAAAGTGGATTTCTGCTTTTCAGGCTTTAATACTACTCTGATACATCGTTTATCGTCTTTTTCAGCGCCGCCCAAGCGATAATGTCCCCGGCGAGTCGTCGATCGAGCGAGAGCACGACAAGCGCCTTGTTACATAAATGGAAAAAACCAAAGGTACGTTGTTGGAATCGATTCGGAATTTCTACGCAATATTTTTTTAATTTATAAAATATAAAATTAACTTCATTTATTTTACGTCTTTTTAGCCGAAAAAGTCGACGGCTTTAACGCTGGACAACCTCGATGCGCAGATACCGCAGTCGCCGGAGAAGTCGTCGATGGTCAATGTGAAGCTCGAGGTATGAATTGTTAGATTTCGGTTTTAAATTTTAGTTTTTTTTAGCCTGACGACATCAAGCCGACGCTGTCGAAACGAGGGGTAAGTTTTCGGGATTTTTTGCGAGCTTTGTCGGCTTTTGACTGAATTTTTCGACTACACGAAATGAAATAATTTTTGTAATTTCAGCGCTCCCCGATCAAGAGCAAGAACCGCGACTACTACCCGCACGCACGAATAAAACAGGAAGAGCCGACCACCGGGCGAGGGCGAGAAAATAGAAGAAAAGTTGATGTAAGTTGGGGCCCGTACGTAGGAGTACTTTTTCGTACTAATTACACTTCCGTGCGTTTCGTACTGTTCCGTAGCTCCGAAAGAATTTTTGCAGTTCTTTTGCATTATCGGGGGGGGGGGATTTCCAGAAATGCCTAGTAGCGTAATATCCTCAGTTTTTTATTAAAATTTAGCTGTTTTTGTCGAAAGTCGGCGTTTTTTATAGAAAATCTAGATTTTTGTGTGTTTCCGAATTTAAATAATTTCTAATAATTTTTTGGTCCTAATCATAGTTTTTAAGCCCTCGTTTTTAGCGCCTGAGCCCCGAGCGCAACAGCCCGAATGCGAAGCGACCGCCCGGGAGACCGTCGACAAAACCCAAGCCCGATCCCACCCAGCAGCTGCCCGTTAAAATTAAAACATAGTACGTTTTTGTCCGCGAAATTCCACGATCGTCAATTGTAGCAAAGTGGAAAAGACGCCGCCGATTGGGCCGAGCGGGGCCCGTGAATGCATCTTCTGCAAGGGGCAGGTCAGGCCGCAGATGTGTGGCGGCAGCAAGCATCGGTGAGTTTTTGGTAGTTTTTAGCCAAGAAATCAGATATTTCCAGTAATATACGGTATTTAGCAAAATATAATCCCTTTTAATAGCATTTTGCACACTTTTTTTTTAATCTAAAAAGGACACAAAATACGGAATTTTCGACAATTTTTGATTTTTTGGTCAAAAATTCACCAAAAAGAACACGAGAGCTTAAAAGTTTTGAAGTTGCCGTATTTTTAAGAGTATTTTTGTGAATTTTCTAGCAATAAAATCTGCTAAAAGCAGTGTTAAACTATATTTTATTGTATTAAGAACTAGCTGTAGGCGAGAAAATACAAAATTAATCCCCCCCCCCCGCTAACAGTCCAGTGCTTCCTTTTTGCCGACGGACCTTGACCATCCCTTTAAAAGTGGTGTGCATTATAATAACTCTTTCCAGGTGGCGATGCGTCGACAAGAAATGCCGAAAGTGGTACGGCTGGGTGCGGGCGAACGAGGTCGTGCCCGAGGTGTACGGCAAGAAGCGGAACGTCGACGACAAGGACGGCAGTGCTGACGATGGGAAACGAGATCCGGATGATCCATCGGTACGGCGCTTCTTAAAAATGTTTAAATTCTAACTTTTAATCATTAGTTTTTATTAAATTTTGCCATTTTTCATCACAGATTCCTGATTTTTGAAAAACTTCTGAAATTCTTCGTTTTTAATTTTTTTAGAGTTTTAAAAATTTTTCAAAAGTTAAATTCATAATTTCCAAGCCGTTTAGCTTAAAAACGTTTAAAATTACCTTCTTTTTAGCACAACAACCGCCAAAATCACACGAAAGAGTTCGCGATGAAGATCCGCCTCCGCAACTCCATGAAAAAGGGCATGATCTTCAAGGACGAGGCGGCGCGGATACAGCGGAAATACGCGAAGAAACGCGGCGACGCCGACGCCGAGTTCTTCTACAGGAGAGATCGTGAGTTTCCCGGGTTTTTCGTGCCTTACGTAACCGATTCAGCCCCGTCCCCACTCACCGAACGCCAGATGGGCTACCACGCATCGTCGATGGAGCGTCGCTCGCGCTGGTGGACCGGGGAGAAGCGGAAGGCGGATGCGAGTCCTGTCAGGGCATTTAAGTAGGTTTTTCATGGGTTTTTGGTAGCGTATAGAGGTGTAGTGCGTATTTTTTCGACGTAAAGAGGTGTATCTCGTAGTGCTACATACAGTTATTTTGTCTAGAGGTATATTACTGAGTTTTTCGCATAATTTTGGCGTTCAGAGGTGTAGTGCGTACTTTTGTTGGCGTAAAGAGGTGTATCTCGTAGTTTTTGTTCCGTTTTTAAGCGTTCCGGGGTGTAAAGCGTACTTTTTCTGATATTTACCGCTTCTAGGACGGCTTCAAGTAGTTTTTCAAGCAAATTAGCGTTCAGAAATGTAGTACATACCTTTTAATGCCGTCCAGGGGTGTATCTCGTGGTATTTTACGTAATTGTAGCGTCTAGGGGTGTCCTATGTAATTTCTGAATGATTAGCGTCCAGGGGTGTACTGGGTAGCTTTTCTTTACGGAGTGAGGTGTATCACGTAGTTTCTCTTTTCTGTATGGCGTACGGAGACGTAAAGGGTAGTCTGAAAAATTTTTGAGGCGTCGGCCAAGGGTGCATTACGTAGCTTTTCGCATCATTGTAGCGTACAGCGGTGTATTACGTAGTTTTTAACCAATTAGCAGCGTTCGCAGGGGGTCTCACCACGTGTTTTCCCTCGTTCTAGCGTGTGCAGGCGTATCGCGTAGTTCTTAAATTTTTTTCGAGTCGTCCAGTGGTGTACCACGTAGTTTTTCGCAGAACGGTAGCGTCCAGAGGTGTGTTGCGTAGTTTTTAAGAATCGCCCAGCGTAGTTTTTGAAATTTTGCAGCGTGCAGGGTATCGCCTAGTTTTTGACATTTTTGCGGCGTCGTCCAGGGGTGTATCGCGTAGTTTTTAGTAGTTTTTCAAACTTTTTTCGCGTACAGAGGTGCAGGGGCGTAGCCAGAAAAAAATTTCGGGGGGGGGGCCCCAAAAAATTTTTCCAAAAAACTCAAAACATTGCCAAAAAAACAGCGCCGCAGGCAAAAATTTTTGAAAAAAAAGGTTGCATAGCTCTACAAATAGCCGTAAAAACGTGAAAAAATAACGCCGCAGGCAGCAAAATTTTTGAGAAAATCAAAATCATAAGGGTCCCCCCTTATGAAATTTTCTGGCCCCGGCCGATTTCGGGGGGCCCGGGCCCCCGGGGCCTGTATTACGCTACGTCCCTGCAGAGGTGTATCCCGTACTTTTCTTTCTCATGGCTGTACGGAGGTGTATCCCGTTTTTCTCTACAAATTCCGTTTCAGAACCGGCGTCAACGACGTGGCGGCCACATTCCGGATCATGGCGCATGCGATGCGCTCGGCGGCCGTGACGCGCGCCGACGAGCCGGGCACGGTCGCCGGCACGCTCGACCTGCTGATGGACTCGCTGATCGCGTCGTTCCCCGCCCTCTTCAGCCTGCTGCAGAAATTGCCAAAGGTTTGTAAATGGTTTTCTTGCTTTTTCAGCTTTACAAAGTATCGATTAAATTCGATTAAGTTTGTCGTTAAACAGCCTTTTCTTTAATATATATTTTTTCCTGTTTTTTTTTAACGTTAAAAAGTATCTATTTATGACAATCTAAACCTTCTTTTTCCAGATGAAACAAGACGACGCGGTGATGCAAAAAATCTGGAACGCCTCCGCCGTCCACACGCCAATTTTCCAATAGTCAGCGCCCCGAGTTTCTAAAATTTCGAAATATATATACTGTATTTTCTGTTGTGAGTGTACTCTACCGATTTTCTCTATGCATTTTTGACTCCCCTACCCCACCCTCCTTACATTTTGCTCCACTGATCTCGCTGGCCTTCCCTGGACGCCGCACCTTATTTTCGCTTTTTCCCCCTCGAATTTACACGCTCTAACTGCCCGATTTTACATATTTTAACTATTTAAAATCATATTAAACCTCGAAAATTTGCAGCCATTAAAATTGGGGTACTTTTGCGTTATCGGGGGGTAGCCCTTTTTCGTAAAAACAGTTTAGAAACACTTCCTCAATTTATATTCGAAAATTGGGCCCTTAGAAACCCCCGATAATGCCAAAGTACCTTATACGATATACTTAGTGTTTCCTCGCTGAAATTAGAGCCCGATTTAGACGCCCTATAACTATAGAAAATGTACCTATTGTTGTACCGATTGTTTTTTTGGCATAATCCACGTCCTCGAGATTGATCACCTGACCCTTGAGGATTGGACCATCGATATATGATGCTATTTTTTAGATTTTGAATATTGCCTAGAAGAGATACCTCAGTGTTATTCGCGTGCGTCTATATACATGTCTATATATTAAACCGAATACTCACCCCCTACCCACCCGTTGTTGTCCATTCATTGTTATCGCTAATAAACAAGTGGCTTTATCACGATTTGGAGGTCTCTGAACCCGGAAATGGCACCTCAACCAGTTACGCTATTGAAAGAGCTTCAAGTTGTTGTAATCTGATGATTTTACAGTATTTTCAGGGATTTTACAAATTTTTAGAGCCTTCCGGCTGCACGTAAAGTTAATAAGGTCCTTTCCCATTATCGGGGGGGGGGGGGGGGGGCTACTTTTTTAAGGATTCATTTCTTACAAACATAAATACCCGGAGTGTTTCTAAACTTTTTTATTATTCCTAAACGTAAAAACTTTAAACGTTTAGTAGAAAAATATCAGGAATATCGATTTTCGACCAAAATTTCAACCAAATTAGTTAATATAGTTTATCATTTTATTCTACTAAAAACACTTTCTATTAAGCTGCTAGTCATTTCTAGGCTTATAGATAATGCGAAATAACCGCTAATAACCTACAAAACGAAAGTACGAAACGCTACAAGTTACGCTACAACCAGCGAGAGCAGAAAAGAATCTGGCTACTGGCGAGGAAATAGAGAAAAACATTGTGGGGCGAACAAAGATAACTCACAAGGAGATGGTCTCAGCTGGGAATCGAATTCGGATTTGAAAATTTGCACACTTATAGAGCTCGACGAGACAAATCGATTGGTGTAACTTTCAGCTGCTGATACAATAACCACGCCGAGTTATAAGCATTTTAAGTTTATGCATACATTTTGCAATATTTTCGCCGTAGCTTCATAGGCCTTCCCCGCCTCTTCCATCACCATGGTCTGGTGGCCTAGTGGTGTAGTAGGCGGGCTCCGGGGAATCTAACGAGGGTTCGAACCCGCTCACGATTTTTATTTTTTGCTTTTTCGTCCGAAGGTTCCTCTTTGCTTTCTGAAGGCCTTGAATAGCTTTTTACGCATTATTTTAACTCATCTGATGCGCAGACAACATAACTTCACCGTAAAAAATTTTTCTTACTGGGCATGGAGCCCTTGTCCAACAACCTATGACTATCCTTCCCAAAAAAAATTTCGCTTATGAAAATTTTTGTTCGGATAACACACCATTTACAATAAATTACGTTTACTCCTCGATTTTTCATATACTTTGAATTTTCAATTTATTTTGGGATCTGCATAGTCCTTTCGGGTAAAAAAATCTAATTTTTTTTCAAAGAGATTTTTTTAGCCATTTCTCACCAGAGGATTTAAAATAATGCGTAAAAAGCTATTCAAGGCCTTCAGAAAGCAAAGAGGAACCTTCGGACGAAAAAGCAAAAAAATAAAAATCGTGAGCGGGTTCGAACCCTCGTTAGATTCCCCGGAGCCCGCCTACTACACCACTAGGCCACCAGACCATGGTGATGGAAGAGGCGGGGAAGGCCTATGAAGCTACGGCGAAAATATTGCAAAATGTATGCATAAACTTAAAATGCTTATAACTCGGCGTGGTTATTGTATCAGCAGCTGAAAGTTACACCAATCGATTTGTCTAGCTCTATAAGTGTGCAAATTTTCAAATCCGAATTCGATTCCCAGCTGAGACCATCACCTTGTCAGCACTTTGTACACCTTAAAGGGCACGTTCAGGGACGTTTTTTTGGAAAAAAGCAAAGGTTTTTGCCGCGGCCGGGGGTCGAACCCGGGCCCCCCGCTCGGCAGGCGCGGATGGATACCAGTCAACCACAGCTACAACCTGGCGAGGGGCGCCCCACGCCGCAAAGGAGGGGAATGGCCTGTCACAGCACGGGCAGGCCGTGCGCGCGGTCCCTACGTCCATAGGGTGTATACGTTGGACAGAGTATACGGCCCCTCCCTGAACGTGCGCTTTAAAAGAGAGAGAGAGAGAGAGAGAGAGAGAGAGAGAGAGAGCGAGAGAGAGAGAGAACCTTTCCGGATTACGCCATACAATTCCGAGCCGCAGAACCACCCGGGTGACCGCCTTGTTCCCCCAAAATCCCCGGGCAACCACCCGGCTGGCTGGCATTTGAACTGGAGATGCACCGCTTTTTCGTTTGACGTTTTTCGTATTTCATTTTCCATTTGAACCTGAAAATCGTTGATTTTAATTACTAAAGACCCCCATAATTTATTTAAGCTAATTAATCTTCTTTGATAGCCACAAAAACTAATAAAACGATAGAAAGTTACGACAACTGCCGTGTTCTCCTAATTTTCCGGGGCCTGTAACCGCTGATACAGCTTTACGACTCTACCTTTACAGGGTGCCCGACGGGATGGGATGGTGGGGCGAGATTTCTTGAATTCGCCGGAGCTCGAAGCCGCTTCTAAGCACCCGGAAACTTAACGCGGGGTAAGCGATTTCTTAAAATAAATTCTACGTGAAAGAAATTGTATTTTTTTTTACGTTTTTGCCTTGTCTTGCCGTCCTGGGTCGTCCTGGAATCGTGGCATTCAAAATATAAAGTTGCCATTGAGTCACGACTGTTTGGAAAACATAGAAACGCCGTAGTTTTCCTATTTTTATAAAGTTTCAGGAAAAAAAAGAAATTTTAGTCCGTTACGCTACGCCACTGTACGCTAGAGTACTCAGAACGAAAATCGTCAATAGGAAAGTTTCGTAGCGCACCTCGATTTTCGCCGCGTAATTTCACAAATTTGATTTTTTTAATAAATTTAATCAATTTTAATATAATTTGTTGTTTATTTTTCTCGCAAAGCCTTTACGCCACTGTACGCCACAGTACACCGTACGAAAAGTGTCAATAGGAAAGTTGTGTTTAGGCTGGAATTTCGTCGCGTAATTTCGAACTTTATTTTTAAATTAATTTTAGAAAATCTTTATTGACGTTTAAAATAGTTGATTTTCCATTGTATGGTGCTTGGCTCATTATCACTTTGCAAGCATTTTGAGAAAAGGAACCCTCGCGACCCCCCAGGCCCCGCCACCGTCTAAGCAGCTTAGTGGCGGCGTTTACCTCGCTGTCACCCAGTCAACGCCAGCCGCCGCTGCCCCCCACCCAAACAGCAAATAATTGCGTGATCCCCGGCGTGGATTCGGCTAATTTTTTGCCATATTTCGTAGGAAATCGTTTCCTTTTTTCTCTGGAGATTTTGGAAACTTGCCAATCTTGTTTTAGGTACTTTCGATGATTTTGGCGGCTTTTCCCTAGCCATCAAATCGAAACAGCAAAGAATTGGGGGTGGGCCCGCGATGGATTTGGTTAATTTTTGTCAGTACTGGGAGCCAAGCATCTCTTTTTCCCTCTCTCTGGATCCTTCCCGCGCTTTCAGACGATTTTCAGGTTATTTATATCACCTCGCCGGTTTTTCTCACCCATTGAATCCATGTCAAGCCCTAAACGTCAATATTCGCATTCGATTCCGGCTGCTGGCGGCTCCCAGGCCATCCCGTTGGGGGTGGTTGTGTCCCCTTGCTCGCAGGCGGCGTTAAAAAACCAATAAACTTGCCACCTGCACACGGTCGCGCTCGCAGCTTGATAAAATCAGGCGGCGCCCTGGACCGGAATTTCCGCTTGTTGATTTCAGTTTTTATAGGTTTCTCCATTTCGACTTGTTTTTGTGTTTTTAGACGCTCTAATCCCAATTTTTCAGGGCGATGCCGCGGACGCGGTCAACGGATGGTCTACGCCCTTTTCTGCTCACCGTCAAGGATCGACCCAAGCACGAGCACCACCGGCGAGGCAATGGGGTAAATTTTGCGTATTTTATGGGGTTTTTCTATAAAGATTCTTCTCCTTTCCTTGTTTTAATGCCCGATTTTTTTTGAAAAGAGCTTAGATTTGAATTGAGGCGTTTTTCTTGTTGGAAAGCCAATTAGAACCTCTTATTTTTCGAGTCGACTTTTATTCTGGGCTTCCCTTTTGACGAGTTTAACACAAATCCCGATTTTTAGACTTTCAAAAACGCTCAGGCAGGCTTTTTGATAATGGCTAATCCCGTTAACTTTCCCCATCGGCATTTTGCGCAAGAATTTAAGCAGATCTTTCGTAAGAATTCGGCTATTCCTACCCCGTTTTTACAGACTTTTAGTGAATCAAAACGCTCAGCGCCCGACATGCTCAGTTATTCATGCCGGTGTTCGATTTCCAATATCAGCTTTTCGCATTCCCCGGGTCACTGACCGCCATTATCCCCCAGTTCTTCTTCGCTGAACGGTTTTGTCATGGTTTTCCTGGGTTGTTGTTCGCCATTTAAAGTTAAGATTACGATTTTTAGCACATTTCAAACCTATATCTACGCAATTCGCGCCCACGAAACCCTATGAAGCTAAGTAGCAATTCCTTCTCCTTTCGTTTTGATATGTAGACGATTTTGATCTGAAACTGATGGCGGAATTTTGGAGTGTAGATAATTAAATAGAATATTCTAAATAGATATTTCAAACGCTTCGTCAACTGAAAGTCACAACTCCTCCTCCTCCGCCTCCTTCCCACCGCCGAAAAAACAACCCCTCCTCATTCCCAAGGAGGCACCCATATGTTGTGCTCCAAGGAAAAAGAAGTGCTGTCGGAGAGGGCGGTCAGCGGGCCAACCGGTTCCGCGTCGACCCCCCACTAACTTTCGACCGATTTCACCCCGTTGCCGCCGTTTTTGGAGCCTGACACTCGACGCGATTGGGGTCATGGATCTGGCGTTTGAATGCTTTTGCGTCTTCTTTTCGATTAGACAATGGCGCTACAGATTTCCCGAGATTCATCGGGTTTTCTTCGTTATTTTCGCTTTCGTAGAAATCCGCGTTTTTTATTGATGTAAAGACATTCCACGGAATGCGTTATTTTTGGTTTCACAAAAATTTCTTGCTGGCAGCCCTGTTTCGAGCAATTTCGAGCTCGCTACGTCCTTTGGAGAAATATGGCCTACTTTGGAGCCTACGATAGCGTAGGAGACGATACGGGAGCGCGTTATTTTTACCCTCTTGGCTTCCATGTTGCTTTTTGCAAATTTTACTCTTTCCAGAGTAGGCTTGGAATTTTTGAGTTAATTTAATGTTCGATTTTTGTATATTTTTCATTTTTGAGTTAGGGTAGTTCGATGATGGAAGTATTATTTAGATGTTTTAGGCCTCCCGGATTTCGTTCTAGAATTCTTAAGAGTTTTTAGAGTTGACAGGTTATTTTTTTGACGAAACTCTGTTTAGAAATTGGAGTAGAATATTTTGGGGCCCCCTTTTATAAAGTCTCTACGGCATGCATTTTCCGCTCTAGAGTTTTAGCTTCAATTTCCCAAAATCTCCCATCAGGTGCCCCACATCATCACCGTTTCCTAATTTATCGGCGGAACGCTGGACTGCGGCGCCAGCGGCACCACGTTGCGTCTGTTTTGGGGAGCAGCAGGGCCCCCGATAAGGTTCCACCAATGCCGGCCCGGAATTGATTGATTATCGGCCGCTTTTGATCATTGCTTCTGAACCGACAGGCCAAGCTCTGAACCTAGTGATTTATAGCGTCACCTACATTCTGGGTTTTACCAAGTTCCGCTTCAATTTACTCCGAAAAGGGGGGTTGTGACGAACGCACAACCTAGCCTGCGACCGCCGTCACCCAAATTTAATCAAGGGCAAAAACAACAAGCGCTCCGAGAGCACTGGACTTGTCCTTAACTTTGGCAAAGCGCTGGCCGGTCTTGTGATTAAAAGGTTTGCTTCTATGTTTTTATTTCGACCTTAATTAGCTATTTTTATGGGTTCTTTTGCAATACCGGTGGGGGCAACTTTTCTACGATTTTTGCGATTATGGGTTCTTTTGCATTATCGATGGGGGAAACTTTTTATAATTTTTGCAGTTATAGGAACGGTCAAGGAGCGCGTTATTTTCACCCTATTCGCTTCCATTTTGCTTTTTTTGTATATTTTTCATTTTTGAGTAAAGGTAGATCGATAATGAAATTATTTGTATGTTTCAGGCCTCCCGGATTTTGTTCTAGGATTCTTAAGAGTTTTTAGGGAGATATTTTTGAGCGTTTTTCGAGTTTCTTCGCGTTATCGGGTTAGATGGAGCAGGTTAACCGATAATAAAATTCTTTTTAATTTATTTTAAGTATGATAATGATACCGTTATTTTACTGCCACTTTCCTGGCCTAACCTGTTGATTTAGGCGTAGAAATCCGTAGTTTTAAGGCACTAATACTTATTTAGACAACCCAGCGTCACTTTTCAGTCACATTTTCCCCTCGGCGCAACACCCAGCAGCTCTACTTTAGCGTAAACTTGTTGTCGTTTTGACTGGAGGCAAGAAACGGGGTTAACCTTTTTGCTTGCCTGCTCCCCGGGCGCCCGGCTCACATATTGGCCTATTGGGCTCATTTGGGCGCGAAGCCGGGGCGGGACATTTGATATTTGCGGGACGTGACACCACCCCCAGGGCCCCGGAGCTCTATTTCTTTCCCTACCGCCCACCCCCCAATTTCTCCGAGAGGGACGCGGATGAGAAGCCGCGATGTTGCCCTCGTCGCGTAACGAAGCGCTAGGTCGGGTGGACCTTGGACTTTTTTTGGGGCTTGGATTTTTTGGATTTTTTAGGATGGGGTTTTAGATGGTTTTTTTACTCTTTTTTTTTGCATTTTTGCCTATTTGCTGTTTCCCTATGGTTTTCCAAACTAGCGTAGTTTATTATTCGTAAAATTTATTTTTCTGAATTTCTCGGCATTGAGATTTTTCCATATTATCGTCATTTGGATCATTAGGATTTTACGAAATCTTGACGGCTACGGTAGACATGCCGATAAGCCTGATTTTTGGAATAACTGGTTTGCGAAAGTTCATAATTCGAAACTAAAAGCATTTTTATATTGATTTATACAGTAACTAAAATTTCAAAAATTTGAGAAATTGAGAGATTTGTGAAAAATTTCATTAAAATTGTTTTAAGCGAAAAGTTCTAGTTTTAGAGCGCCAACTCCTCTTTTTTTACCAGGGGCCGGTTGCTGCTAAACCATCCCGGCATAGCCTTGAATCCTACGCCTCGATTTCGGCCGCCCGACTTAGCGGCAAAAGTTGTTTGTTGTCGTCCTGAGAGTGCGAGGATGACTGTGTCCACCCCCCTCGAATCGTCGGCTCTCTCCTCCCCCCAAATCATTTGCCCTGCCTCTCGACGTTTTGGCCGAGCAAACCGCCGCCCATCGTCGTCAACTTGTGCCCGGCGTGTTCAGCTATTCTGTTTGTGCGGGGTCTCTCTCGCTCTCTCTTCGCTCTCTCTCTCTCTCTCTCTCTCTCTCTCTCTCTCTCTTTCTTTCTCTCTCTTCCGGTATCAGATCGGCCGACTAACGAGCTCCTCCGTCCCTTTTGGAGTTTGCCGCTTTTCGGAAACGGCGCCAAAAAGACGTGGAACGCTTTTCCCTTATTTGAGTGCAGGTCCCAATTCCTGTCTGTTTTAAAGAGATTTTAACACTAATTTTTTGGAATTTAATTGTCTCTAGTTTCCAGTTTCCTATAGACACCTCAGCAACGCCGGATTTATTCCCGACGATCCAGCTGTTTTTTCGTCGCCCCTCCTCCGCAGAATTGAGCGCCTCCCCAATTCATTTGCTTTGTCTTTCCCAGGTCCCCGAATTTGGGGGCTATCATCGATTTTTTTCGGGGGTGAAGTCGATCCAGCAATTTTTTTTTCGGAAGAAGCTATCGATTGCTTTTTTCAGCTTTGGATTGATGTCGGGAGGTGAAATTCGATCCTTGTTTTCCTTCGCTCATGCTTGTGCTCATTTTTTCCGAGTAGACGAGGAAGAGCCTCAATCATAGCACTGAACAACAACCCCATTTTTTATTAAAATAGCTTTTTAAGCTAAAATAAAATTAAAGACTTTTTGCTCCCCAAATTAACGTACAAATTAGCTTTCGGTTAAGAAGATGTTGTGTCAGGATGTTGACATGAGGCGAAAATTTTAAACTTTATTTTAGAGCAGATTTGGAGCTTTTCGTGTAACATTAATCTTATGATCTTTTTTTGTATTTTTCACTTTTTAAAGAAGCCAAGTGGGTAATGAAATTATTTGAACTTTGCGGACCTTAAGTTTCTTGTGGAAATCCGGTGTCATCATCCCTTTAAAGGAGCAGGGAAGTGTTGCGTGTAGCCACGCGGAACAGTTGCGTGTAGCTGAGAAAATACTGGAATCTGCCTTGACCGTCCCTTTCAAGAATTTTTGTACATCTCCTAGATCCGCGACGCGCATAAAATGTGCAGTTCCGCATCGCGCTCGCATTGCCCCGGGGACCGCAATAGATGATCGAATGGATGCGCGAGGCGGAGTTGAGCCGTATTTGATCGTGGAGATGGAGGGGGGAGGCTTTTGGCCTTTCCCCCCGACCACTACCCATTTCCCCCATATCATTCACACGCACACGCACACCGGCTCGCCAAGCGGTATGTCGAGACTGACATACACGGACGGACAGACAGACATACACACACTCATCCCCCCGCTCACCACCCATGCACAGACCATATCGGGAAACGAGGGGAGAGCCGGTCGTCGGCCACAGTCGGCCACAATCATTGATCCTGTTTGGTTTTGGTATTTAGCCTATTTATTTCTAGATGTAATTTCAAGGCTGCCCAGTCCCTTTAAATCGTAAATCTTGTTTTCCAATCTTTGAATCTTTGAAGAAGTAGTGCTAGAAATTTTATAATAATGAGTAGCAGTTTAAGATCGGAATTTGGAGCGATTCGGACTTGCGTTCAACTTTAACGGAGTGATATTACCTAGATTACGCGCTCAAAAACAGCCCTATCCCGTTAAATTCAGAATTCTGTTTTCTATGGGATTAAATAACGTTCTTTTTGTTGCCCGAAACTTCGCGAAAAATAAGCAAAAACAATTTATCGTTTTCCTAATTCTCTATGACTAGCCTGTTGTCCCCGCCGATGATGTCTGGTGGGTGAAGCCCCATTTTGTCTGAGCTGCCGTTGACCCTCTCCCGCCCTCGCCTGGCAACCAAAATAGGCGCCCGGTTTTTTGCCATGATGTTGTCGTGCCTAAAATTTAGAAATTTAAATTTTTAGTGTTTTTAAGCTTGTTTCTGTTCTAGAGTTTTGTTGACGAGCTCGGACGGACCAGCCCTTCAAATCCGCTTTTTTTGCAGCCCTAACGAGGCCACTTTACGCTAGACGTAACGAACTACGTGCTGGAGGCGGTGATGATTAGGCTAGAAGCTTTAACGCTATTTTTTGGAGCAAGTAGATTTTCTACCGAGGAGCTCGAGCTGCACAGTTCAACATGCTGCGCTTTCTAGAGCTTTAAAAAATTTTGTTTTGAATCTTAGTCTTTAAATTTTCCGTTTTTTGTATGGGGGCAACTTTTTCAACAAGTTCATATATATATACTTTATTCAGTAGTTGAATAAGAGTGGGGAGTAGGCAATGTGTGGTGCCACTGGTTCAGAGGTTGTATAACATGCGGAAACAAACGGGGGAGGGAAGAAAAGATCACAGAAATTGGGACAGGTCCATTTTTTCTAAAGTTACACGAAAGCTCTTTGCATTTCCCAATTGACCTTCTTTGAAGACCCTAGGCGGGAGCTTATTCCAGGTTTTCGCAACTCTACGCGAGAAGAAAGAACGGGGGGAAACCTTGCTTACTATGGATTCTCTTCACTTGAAAAGCATGGGAATTCCTTATCGGACGATTTGTGCATTCTGCTGTACAAATCAAAAAAATATGCGAGTAATAACCTAGAAGCCCGTTAAAACCGTTTTTTCTATTTCAACAAGTTCGAGCTGTACAAGCCTCAAAAATCCTCCATTCGTAAAATTTTTGCAACCTGTACAACCACGACATTTTCTTCGATGAAGTGCCGGCAGCGAGACTCGGCGCGACCGATTGTTTTCCCTGCGGCGCCACTTGAATAAGCGCTGCTTTCGGCGCGGCTCTCGTCGGCGACACTGTACACCCCCATGTCCCCTCGTCGTATCCCAAACTCGGGGGTTTCACTCCCACCGGCTAATCTGCCCGCGCGGGTTTCACGTAGTGGTTATTATGCCGTCATGGTTAGAGTAGAGAAAGGGAGAGGGGTAGAGAGACAGAGAGAGAGAGCGAGAGAGAGGGATAGAATGTATTTTTAGGTATTTGACGCGGCTTTAATTTCAGAAAATTCGGATTCCATTTTTGATAACTTCCCTCGCGATTTTGCCCTTATTTACTGAATGTCGATAGTGCACCGTGATTGTAAAATCCAGCGGAATTTTTAGTGCCTTTAATAAGGATCCTTTGAATTTTGGATTTATACTTTTTCGGTAATTAAATCAATCAACACCTCGTTTTTCAGCACCAACACGAGCGGGTTCGACTGTGCGCGCACGACCCGCTGCACACATCTGGGTCGTCAGCCCCAGACGGCGGTCCCCGGTCGAGCCCGATACGACCGAGCAGTGCACAGCGATTAGGTATGACTTCGGGTATACCTTACAATAATTCCAATTTCCAGCTGGTGGTCGCCCGGTCTCCCACTCGCTCACCGACGTCGAGCTACAGCCCATAGCGCGTGGGGCGCCCAGAAGACGTTCGTTTTTTTACGAAATAATTGCACGTTGAAAATTACATTGTAAAAATAAAAATATCCGGATTGCTTTTACAACAGAATTTTCGAAATTTTCTAAGCACCGAAATTCGAATTTTCGGGAGTAGCGAAAATAGCTTGTTAAAATTTACAAATATTTTTTTCTAGATGCAAATTTTGAAGCGTCGGAATTTGGAATTATCTTAGGAAATCTATCAAAGTTTATGAAAATTTTTGGGAGAATAGCGAAAAATAGCGTTTCAAAATTTCCATATGTCAGTTTTTCCAGATTCTGACATCGCCATGGGACCCCCGATCTTCAACCGCAATGCCAATGCGGTGCGCGATGTGGAGGTTTCGCTACTGTCAATTTTTAAGCCTCCGCTTTTCCAGAGATCAGAATGCACGCGCCCCTCACAATCCCAGCAGCCCTCCACCTCATCGGCGCAAGAGCCCGAGCGCAAGCGGAAGTGGCAGCTGCACCAGGGGCGGAATCGCTTCTTCTGTGATGGCAAGGTGTGTACGGTTTGATGTCGGCATCCCGACAATCATAATGTCGAAATTCTGAATTAGAAATGGTCAAAAAGTTGCATTTCCGGAGATTTGACGCTGTGATATTTTGGCATTCTCACATTTCGTTATTTTGTGAATTGTCGACGTTTTAAAATTGCCAACCTTGTGAACTGTCGGCATCCCGAAATTTTGCTAATCTTCAATTTCATCATTCTAAAACGTTGACGTTTTCAATTTCTGTGTGAAATGGCCCTTTAAATAATGCCTATATTTTCAGTTGGTCACCTCGCGGCAAAACGGCGTCTTCGTCTTCACCATCTTTGCCATCTCCACGTCGCTGACGCTATTCTTTATTTTTGAGTGGGTTTTCGGTGGATTTATAGTTGCGAAAGTCGCGTTTCTGGTAAATTTGATGACGTTTTATTGATCGTATTTTATTCCTTGCTTTTTCGTTTTCATCGAATTTTTCAATGGAGTTGAATCGAACACGCGATGAAATTCGGACGAACGAAAGCGCCTATTTACGCCCATTTTCAGAGCCAAAACTACTTGGATTCTACAACCCTTTAATTCCTATTTCCCAGGGGCCCGTTCCTCTGCAAAGAAGTGTCGGTGGCCGTGCCGATCGTCGTCGCCCTGCTCTCCATATTCAACATCATCAATTTGTTCAGGTAACGATTTTCCTGCTCTCAAAAATTGTAGTTTAGAGTCTCGTTCATGGACCCCGGCATCATCCCGCGGGCCACGAATCTCGAGGTGATCGAGGACGAGCGCCTGCAGCGGCTAGACAGAGCGACGGCCGAGGATGCGGCTCGCGGCATGCAGCGCACCAAGCAGGTCATGCTCGGCGGCCAGATGATAAAGTTTGTGGCATTTTTCGGGGGGCTAAAGGCTTTTTTCTAGGTTGAAATACTGTACGACGTGCCGCATCTTTCGGCCGCCACGCGCCTCCCATTGCTCGGTGTGCGACAACTGCGTCGCCAACTTTGACCATCATTGTAAGTGATTTCTGGGTTTTTTGGGGCTTTTGCAATATCGGGGGGGGGGCGGGGAGGCTTTTAAGTGGAAAAACAATAAAAACCTTACAAAAATAATATTTGACGTGGAAAAACAATGAAAAACTTAGACAATTTTTTGTGGAAATTTTGGACGAAAATCGAATTTTCTTGTCAAAAATCTATATTTTTGTACGTTTTGTAAAATCTCTACGTTTAGGAATAGTAAAAAATATTTAAAAACACGTGTTCTATTTATGTTACAAAAAATTGGATTCTTAGAAAAAGTTGCCCCCCCCCCCCCCCGGTAATGCAAAAGAAACCGTTTTACATTTTCGGTTTTTTTGGTATAACGTCCCTTTTCAGGCCCCTGGGTGGGTAACTGCGTCGGGTTGCGCAACTACCGCTACTTCTACTTCTTCGTCATCTCCCTCGTGCTGTTGATGTTCATCTTTGCCGCCTGCTGCATCACGCACATCGTTATGGGTAAGTTCGGCTGTTTGTTCCTGGCTATATGCTGATTTTAGAGATCAAGCGACACCGGGGGCAGTTCATCGATGCTGTGCGTGTGACGCCAATTTCATTGGTGAGTTTTCCTAGGTATTTTTTGTGGTTAGAAACGCCCGCGACACGCAGCGCGCTTGTAGCTTTTCCTGCGTGATAGCGTTGCAAATTACGGATCGTAATCGATTACGGCATGAAAGCAAAAATATCCAAAAATCTGTTCCTTTACTTCCGCGTCCCTTTAAAATCCTTCCAGTTTCAAATTCCATTTTCCAGGTGCTGTGCTGCATCTTGGTCCCGGCGGCGTTCACGGTGATCGGCCTCTCCGGCTTCCACACCTACCTGATCGCGCGCAACACGACGACCAATGAGGATGTGGGTTTTCGGAGGGTTACGGTAGAAAGTCCGGGTTTTAGATGAAGGGCACGTTCAAGCGACGGCCCAACGTCAAGAACCCCTTCAACACCGGCTCCATCTGCAAGAATTTCTGCGTGCGGTTGTGCACGGCTGACGCGCCGAGGTTTGTAATTTGTGTACTTCTAAAGAGGAGGAGCAGGTTCCCTAAGAATCGCTGCTAGCCTACCCGATTTTGAGGTTATAAAATGATGAGAAAATTTTGAAGCTTTAAGACTAAGGATTTTCCATTTTAAATAGGTTTTTATTGTTTTTCTAATCTAGAAAAACTTGAAACGCATAAAGAATCTTTGCTAGCATGCCTTTTTCTTTTGATTTTTTAAATTCTGCTTTTTAGTATGCTGGATGCGACTGGCTGGGCCGACGAGCACCCTGGGCTGCAGCTCGATGTCACAAAGTCGCCTGCCAACGGGCGATCGCCGGCAGCGCCTGGGCGCGGACGCGACAATGGGTACGGTTTTTCGCGTTTAAAGGGTCCTACAAGGCAGGTTGATGACTTTCGTGGGTTTGGATTTTGCCGCGACACGCAACGCGCACGTCGCGTGAGCCAGATTAACAGGTTGTCATCCATTACGGGATGGAAGGGTAGACTTCCGCGTTGCGCGTTGAGGTCGCGGTTAAATCCGGCAAAACGCCAAAAAACCCGACAGCCCTAATACCGACAGGAAAAATCCCAACATCCATGATACCGACAGCCGAAATTCCGATATCCCAAGATGTAGAATTACTGCTTAAAAGAAAGTAGGTAGCGTTTAGAGATGCAGCATCCGCCTTGTCGAGATTTTGGTTTTCGAGATTTTATCTTGTCGGTATTTTGGTTGCCAAGATTCTGGCTGTCGGGATTTTGATTGCCGAGATTTTGGTTGTCGGGATTTTAGCTCGGAAAATTTTGGATGTCGGGATTATGCCTGAAACTCGCCAAATCGATAGTTAACATAATGCTTACTTTAAAGGGACAGTATTTTTCAAATTATGTGTATTCCGAGGCTGTACTAATTCCTCCATTTTCAGAATCTTCACCGTCACCATCGACAACGAGACGGGGCTGCGGGTGTGAAGGGGCGTCGCGTCTACACCCCTATTCGACCATTACCATGTTTATGTGTTTGTTGCTATATTTGTTTGTCTGTCCACATATTGCCATTCCTCCACTCCGGGTCTTATACTTCCTCGGTCCCCTCGATTCTGTCACCTCCCACCCTCTACTTGCCAAATTATATTTCATTTCCGTTGGACTGCTGCCGAAATTCCCCAATCGTCTCCGCTAATCGCCCCCTCACCTGGTGCCTCATTTGCATATCCACACGACAGACACTGGGGGGTTGTTGTCGGGCACTTGCGGCCGAAATTTTGAATTTAATTTTTGCTGAAAACTAGCTAATATTAGCTTATATTTTTGATTTAAAAACCTAGATATTTTAGAGAGACTAATAGAGACCATGAAAGGGACAAGAAAAGCATGGATTTTGCTATCTATCGATTCAGGATAACTATGCCTTGCCGGTCCCTTTAGACTTTAAAACGCTCGTTCTGGCACTTGCTACGTATGCGCGTCAATTTACGGAGCCGTAACTAGGCGCTCGCGTAGCATCTGGATTTTTTAGGAACAAAATGCGCATAAAATGATTTCGTCATTTTGTATAACAGTAGTTTTATAGTGTCAAAATGGATACCAAATCGGTCCGCAAGTGTCTGTCTGACCCCCCAGTTTCCCACACACCCGGGTGCTATACTAGAAATTGACTCGTGTTTCCGCCCCTCCGTTTCTCCCCCGCCCTGTTGCCAACCTCCTTCTTCTTGTTGCTGCTGTTCTGCTGTCCCCCCACTCCTCGTTGCCGTCGTGTACACCCTTTATTTTGATATACCACAATAAATTCTTGGATCAATTTTACGTGGCGGGAAATCACAAGGCAAGAAACGTGAGATCGACGACTGATTTATTGCGACGCGGGAGGAGAATTGTACGAGTAAGTGGAGTAATTTTCTTTTAGGCGGAATTCACTTGTTAAAGTGAAACGTCTCGCGCCACAGCCGCGTCTCCTTGCGCGCCCCGCCCAAGTTGTTGGTGTACGAGAAGAGGGACAGGACGTTGTCCCGCGCCACGCCCACCATCCGCCCGCGGTCAGTGGAGGAGCTGCTGCTCCAGACGAAGCGCTTCTGCAATGGGTGATGCGATGAGATGCAGGTGCATTTTTGAGCGGGATTTAAAAAGTTAAATTTCGGGGAACTTCAAAAGCATTTAAGCGGTATTTTCATGCGTCCTAAAAACTAGGATGTCCTCCTGAGCCCCTGCTAGTTTGCCCCGGGTTTTTTTGTAAATTCCTGAAACTTTCGCAAGATCCAAAAATACTGGAAAAAGCATATTAACTTTTTTCCGATCCCTGAAAGTTCCTACAAAATCACTGTTAGCCGGAAGTGAACTTTTAAGATAGTGAAAACTGGCAATCGCTCCAGAATCTTTGCTAGTTTTCCTTTCCGATTTTGGCTGGTCAATATTACCTACCTTCTCGTTAAGGGGATAGTTGTAGATGACGCGCAAGTCTTCGGCGATGCGGGCCTCGATTATACAGCTAGAATCAGGGTTGGTCATTTTGCGTCCCGTCCCCGTCCGTCCGCGTCCGGACGGGGACGCGGGACCGTCACCCTAATTTGCATAAAATTAGGGGACGGACGGGGACGCGTCCGGGAAGGGACGGACGGACAGACGGGGGACGGGGTGACGGTCAGCGTCACCCCGTCCCCGATGCAAATACCGAAATGCAAATGGCTTTCCTACCAGTAATTATTTCGGGTCTCCTTCTCGTTTCTTTAGGGGAGTCATAAATACATGCAACTCAGACCAAGATGTAAGTTCTACCTAGATGGCGTCGGCGCTGCAGATAATCACCATTTTTTCGGAATTTGCTAAAGAGCTTAAAAATTCGAGATATTCGAGTTAGAAAGCAATTGGTTACTTACTCTACGTGCTAGGTTATAAGCACTTGATCGTAATCATGCTATCCACGTTTTGTACCTTGCTCTGCGAAATTCTAAACCCAGCCGATGCGTGATTTGAATGCCATTACTTTATCCCCGTAATTTGCATCGGGGACGGGGACGCTGCCCCGTCACCGTCCGTCCCCACCGTCCCCGTCCCGTCCCCGTCTGTCCCCATTTCGGGATGCAAATTAGGGGACGGGGACGCGTCCCCGTCCCCGTCCGTCCCGTCCGTCCCTGAACAACCCTGGCTAGAATCAACTTGTTTGCGTAAGTCTGCTTAGTCTTACTGCTGAACTGTCGTGCAGTGATATAGCCAGAGGTGTTCGCCGTTTAGCCAGATGCCCTCGACGAGTCCTGAATTGGTTTATGGGGGTTTTAAAGAATCTCTGCTAGCCTCCCCCGTTCCTAAAAAATCTCCGCTCGATTGCCCTTTCCGAAATAATTTCTGCTAGCCTGCCCTGGCCTAACTAACCTAGCTGCTCGTTCCAATGTACACATCTTGTCGGTCGTTCGGCCCTAGGATCGTCCCAGATTTCCAATCGATGCTTCACAGCGTTAGCCCCATTCTCGTGCTCCTCGTAGAGAATGAGCAGGATGTCCATACCGTGCCCTGCATCCGGTTGCGGTGACATTTGCCAATGCTAAGGGGACTTTCAAGCGAAGATCAAGCTGATTTACGGCGACTTCGAAGCCATCCCCTGCGCAGTCGTGGTGAAGCTTCGTCTTGGTGCCGTTGTGCTCAAGTAGCATTGGACGGGCTTTGGCACGCTCTTGGACGAGGACTTCGTACTAAAGTTTGTGAGGTTCTCTCTCTCTCTCTCTCTCTCTCTCTATCTTTCTCTCTCTCTCTCTCTCTCTAACCTTGTCTCCCCTCTTGTAGAACTGCGTCTTCGTGGCATTGAGGTGAAAGTTGGTCCATTTTCCGTATTCAGACCGTAGCAGGCAGGTGACTAAAGATTTCCAGAATTACATAGCGTAAGGCTTTGAATTAAGGCTTTTTTTGCGAAGTATCTAGCATGATCGGCTTACTTCCATAAGCCGGAACTGTACAACACGTAGCCGCATTGACGACACGGTTCTCCTCGCATGGGTAGTCGAGGACCTAGGAATTTTAGTTGTATTAGGAGGTCTTTTTTGATTCTGCAAGAATCTCTGCTACCGTGCCCCAAATTCCCAAATGACCTCTGCTAGCCCGCGCCGGCGTCACTTACGGCATGCGGTATCGGATGCGTAAGCGTATTCCCGTGCACCACCAGCTTTTCATCGTAGCTCGAAGTTTGGAAGGTGGTGGGTCGTGTGCTGTAAGAACAGGCAGTTGACCCGAATTTTTCGAGTGCGACTTACTCGGCAAAGGTGACGATCAGCTGGCCCTCAATGAGCACGATGCCGAGGGCGAACCGGTCGTCCATCAGGATGCTGATGGGCTCATCTAGAATTTGGGCGTCGGCTTTCGCTTAGACTTTGAACTAGGCTTAGGCTTTGCTTAGGATTGCGCTTAGGCTTAGGCTTAGGCTGAGGATTAAGTTTAGGCTTAGCTGCTAACTTAGGAACCTACCGTTTCTTTGAAGAGGTGGCGTGATCTCCGGTGCCTTCAAGAGCTCTTTAATGAGCAAGAAGGCCCCCGAGATAGCGAGTACGAGGATGGCCACTAAAATCTTGTGTTTTCCGGGGGTTTGTGAACCTTGGAACTAGAGTTCTAAGCAGTTTTGGTTAAGCTTTAGCGTTCTTAGAATCGATACCTAGCATCGAGTACTTGAATAATGAAACAATCCATCGCGGGATCTTGCAATAGATTTCCTGGCGTCGCCGGCCCTTGACAGTATCACGAGCTGTGTGGCTTGGCATATTTGGTATGACAAGTTCGGCTGAAACGTTGGAGTTGGTTTTGCAACTAGGAAAAGCGCTGGAAAATTGAGGACAATGACTTACGGTGCTGCTCATGGAAGCCTGTGATTAAATCATCTCGCGTATCCTGGGTGGGAGCTTCTGAATTTGTAAATTTTCTGGCGTGCATCTCTCTCTCTCTCTCTCTCTCTCGCTTTCGCTCTCTACCGCTCCCTCTCTCGTTGTTTCACTCCCTCTTCAAAAATGCACTCACCACTTGGCGCGGGTCTCGGCGGGCCGCTGTCGTACCTGAAACTCTATGTCTTGTAGAACACTATACAATAGCACTCACGTGAAGGTTGAAGATGGGGGATGCGGGTATTTCATTGTCAGGGGCGTCATTTCCACTGATTGTTGGGAGCATGAGGTTCCGGCAGTCTCTTCGTCCATAGTGCTAAAAACGGAATTTTCTGGAGCTGAAATTTATGTGTGTGAGGGAGAGAGAGCGAGAGAGAGAGTGAGTGAGAGCGAGTGAGAGAGCGAGAGTAAGCTATAGATAGCTAGCTAGATAATGAGGCTGAAATAAAGTCGGGGAAAGAAATAGATCAACACGTATGAAACATGGACGAACTATTGGGGGCTGCCAGGTCGTCGTGTATTTGCCGTGTCATCTGGCGGGTATTGCTATCAGTTTGGGAACCAAGCCACCACCTCTTCGGGCTTATCTACGCCCGAGCCCCTCCCAGCCGAATGGATAGGTATAGCTAGTCAGATTGGTGGTTCTATGGAATGGGAATTTAGTGGTTGATGGTTGCACGTAGAGTGCTTTGAAAATGATGATCTGGAATTCTTAGAAATCATAGTTCTCTCTCTCTCTCTCTCTCTCTCTCTCTCTTTCTCTCTTGCTCTCTCACACTCTCTATCGCGCTCTGTTTCTATCACTCACTCTCTCTCGCACTCACTATTTCTCTCTCCCTCTCTCTCACTCTCTCTCGCACTCTCTCCTCTCTTTGGGCCCACGCCCATTTCCTAGCATTAAATGGACATATCTATTGCCTAAAACCATGAGTCGTGGTGCTACTCTGTGCTGCGAGCCTCAAAGTGATAAGCAGGGGCGTCGCCTGGAGAGACCAGACACCCGGCGTCCCGCGCTTAATGACCGGAAACCTGAACCTGAACCTGCATTTTTGTGCTCTCGAAAATCGGTTGTGAGTTGTGTTCTTGAAAGTTGTACATCTGCTTGAAATAATCATGTGGTAACTCGATAAAATACGTTCAAAACCTTTATTAACCGAAACACGAGCTAGTCGACACGAAAACGAAAGATTTGGGGGAATGAAAAAGCGCGAAAGATAACTGTATGGGGACAAAACGAACAAAAAACGAACTACCTAAAATGCACTAATCGAAATCAAATAACTGGTCGACTGGGCGTGGGGAAAACTGCTCGTATCGGATGGGCCACAAAAAACACGCGGGCAAATACTCGTATGTATTGGGGCAGCAAAAAGGGTACATTAAAAATATACGAAAATTTCGGGGGTCAGAGTACGGCGGAATACCCTGAACACCCCGAAACGGTGATAATATTAGCCCGAAATCAGACATACCGTAACGGCGGGATACGGTAGCCGATGCTGGACAGAGAAACACACACAAAATCAAATTGTGCTCAAAGGGTACGGCGGAATACCCCGAACACGCACAGCAAATCAAAAAAATTGGGATAGCACACAATTATCGATCGATTGGCGGTCAAATACCGTTAAGTAGAACTCTAAAAAATGGCTAAATTCGCGGTACACGTCTTACTGTAGGCGGGCGAAAATTGCAACGCAAAGACCGGGATCAACGCATCGTTATTCGAAAGATTAAAATTTTGGATGAGTGCAAATCGGCCCGGACTTCGCGTCTGAAAACTGGTGAAAACCGGAGCATGTTCTATTTTTTTGCCCTGAGCTACCGTATGCCCGTGGCGGACAGGCGTAGATAGGCCAAGGTAGTAAGATCTCTAGTGAAAGCAGTGGCGTTTAGGGCCAAGGGACCTAATCGATTACGCCTGGGATCTTGGCGAAAGGCCAATCCCGAAAATTGGTGCTTATCATTTTAGGACCCAAGTGTGGGCCGCTAGCTGGCGAATTGCCAATTTTTACGTGGACTTATAGGCCTGACAAGTGGTCGCAGACCTTGTTGAGAACCAATTACGCAATGTATTAATCTGCTAATAACTTCTGGCCGGTTCTTAATATTTTCAAGGCGTCAAGCCCGGGTCGAGTTTTTGGCGGCTAAATGTCGAAATTTCGAAAGCGATGCTGATAAGGACTAAGATAAAGCTCTTCAAAAACCAGGGGCACTAATTAAGGTAAGCTAAATCTAGAAAGGCGGGGGTCCGTTAATAAAATCGAGGGTGGGGTCGAGGGACTTGGCAAAGTTGTTCAGCAGCTGACAGCAGTACTCGTCGTCGCAGTGCGGCACTAGGCAGGCGGCGCCCAGCAGAAGCACCAGCATCGCCTAAAGTTGTGGATTTCGGGGGGTTTTAAAGGGACTCGGAAGTAGTGGATGGTCAACGAACCTGAAGAGGCAATGCGGTGCGCAACACGCGACGCCAACGGGCCTGTTGTCGGCGGAAGTGGGCCTAAAAGGATTGGTTCTTTTGAGGTTACTTGGCGTTTGGCACTTGACGACTTCAAGTGCGAAGTTAGTCAAGCTCTAAACCACCCTGTACTCACCTCGGCGTTCCTCGGGTCGTCGGGGACGGGACTAAGCCCGCCCGACGCGAAACTCTCGCCGAACGAGCTCATCTCGCTCTGCGAATCGTCGGTGTCCAACGGCAGATCCAGATCGATTCCTAGAATTGGGTTTCGTAATGGATTATTCGAGATCGTGCTCGCTCCACAAAGTGCATCAATTTGCCTTCGTCGTTGTCTACGGCACCCACCTTGTTCCCTCAGAATCTGTGCCGGTCTGCCCTTGGGGTAAAGTCGGGCGAGGATCCCGGAAGCCGCGTCCTGGTCGTAGTTCAGGCCGCCAGGTTGGCCCTGGCGACTTGTGCTCGGTCCAGCGAAGTCTTCCTCTTGTGTCGTGGTATCGTCGTCACTCCTCGGCTCCTCGTCGGGCCCTTGCATTGCGCGGTCGTGGAGGTCGATCACCTGCAAAATGTCGGGATTAATGGGAAGGAACTACACACGAAAAATAGTTACAGCTGAAAGCAATTTTGGAATTTTTTCGCGGGCAGATGCGATTATTGTTGTGGCGCCCGCGTCGTGACTCATAAAAAGCGCGGAAATCATGACGGGTTTATTGGTCGAGTCAAGCGTTGTAGTTTTCGTCTTAAAGTACTATCCAGGCTGCTAAAGCGATTAAAGAGGTAAAGCTCACCTCTGCAATAAGGGCGGCCAACTCATCGTCCGTCTCCGAGCGCACGAATTGCCGGTCAGACGCGTTGGCTGCGACAATGTCGCGCTGGTGCTCCAGATGCGCCAGAATGTCCGACAGTTGGGGCTCACGATTCTGCAAAAATATGGGTTGTTGTGATTGGTTAATTTGCTTTAATACCGGGTTCTAAAATTACGAGAATAGTTTCAACGCTACTTTAATGGCTACGCGTCTTTATTGATCTCTTTTTTCTAGATTCGCCTGCCAGAAGCCATCGACACTTGCGGCAAGATCTTTTCGAAAACCGCAAGGTATAATTAGTTCTATATACTAAAATTGCGCTTTAGATAGTCGACGTCAAACAAGTGGGCCACAAGGAAAACCGCGAAGCGGCAAACGGTTCGATTCGATTGGACGAGGTTGGAAAACGAATTACGGTACGTTTTTTTTACTTTTTGGGGTTGTGGTTTTCGTCTTTGAATTATCTAGTTCTTGATGCTCTCGGGGGGAAACTTGCTAAAACTACTCACCCTCGAGACGACGGGATTCTCTGGGTCATATCCAATATCCTCCTTCGTCTGCCGCACCTCGTTGCTGAGGATGTTCAGCGTGCGGCGCAACTCGTTCTCGGCAGCGATTTCCGTTGACAATCGCTCCAACATGTCCTGAAAATCGGGTGGTCATGCCATTTTTATGAGCTTTTTGGGGAACCCGTTGAATTGATTTTGTTGCTTGATTTCCTGCCCTGAATATACTAGCTTACCTCGATGTTCCGTTCCACGTTTTCCACTCCGACCGAGGCGAACCGGATCGCGTCGCCGGGTTGGGTCAGCGGCTCGACCCTGGTCGCCACGTCGTACAGGTCACTCTCGGTGTCCTTGAGATCCATCAGCTTGGAGGTGACGTCGTCCTGAAAATCGGCATTATAGAATTGTAAGCGTCTAATTGGGCCAAATCCCTTAAATACCTTACCTTCAATGAATCGAGCAGGATCTCGCCCTCCTCCACCTCCACCAGCTCGCGATCGTGCAGGTACTCGCGAAGATCGTCGATGCGCTCGTTCAGTTGGTCGAGCAAGCGATCGAAGCGGTCGAGCAGCGCCGACCTAGCCTTGAGCTTGTCCAGCATCTCGCGCGATGCATCGATGGTCAGCGACAGGGCGGTCACTGGAGGGTCGTTGATGGAGTGCTGATCGCAAAGCGCTTCTGCCTTTGGCAACTCCGAGTCGAAGGCCTCCGCCATGTCGGTGAAGTTTGACGGAATTGCGTCCGGATCTTGTAGCACGCTATTCGACTCGTCGATTAGCGCCCGCAATAGCTTCCGGAAGTTGTCGAGCTCGGTGTACAGCCGTTGTTGCTGCTCAGCCTTCTCCTTCTCGGCCTGGAGCTTGGCACGCTGGCCCTCAAGCGCTGCCTGCGTATCCTCAAGGTCTTTCCTTAGCTTGTCGGCAGTCAACTTCGCGTTGCCGACAGAACCGAGAGTTTGCGCCTTCTGCTCGAGCTCAGCAAGCTGTGGTTGGACGTGCTCCAGAATATCCAGCGCATGTTCCACAGCAGCCAAGTCTGGCGATTTTTCTGCCTTCTTGGCTTCCTTGATGCCGGACGCGATCTGTGCTCGCGAGTCCTCGAACTCCTTCAGGTTGTCTGCCTTCCAGTCGAGGCTTCCCTTCAGCGTATCAAGCTGGGTGCTCGCCTTTTCGAGACGCTCGAGGGTGGCAACGGCCAGCTTCTGGCCTTCAGGCGTTTCCGCTTCTCCGAGAGCCTTGATCTTCTCGTAGTCGTTGTTGAGAGCATCAAGCAGAGGACGGCCTTGTTCGAGTTGATCGGCTGCCTTGCGGAGCTCATCAACAAAAGCATTCGGGTTTCCTTCGACTTCTTGAGCACGGGCAAGCACCTGATCGATGGCCTGAGCTTGAGCGGCCACATCGTTGGCAAGAGCAACAAGCTCAAGCTTGGCCTGCACGTTCTTCTCCTCGTCGTTGAGCAGATTGTCAACGTTGCGGAGTCGATCAGTCAGCCCATCGACATCGACGCCTTCTGGTTGTCCGGTGAGGCGAGATGGCTTTTCGGCCTGCTTCCTCTTCAATTCGGCAACACGAGCGATGAGTGGCTCGAGTTCGCTCTTCAGAGCATTCAGCGCAGCCGGATCGGACAGATCTCCGGTCTGACGAGCTGCCATCGCCCGGTTCTCAATATCGGCGACAAGGGGCAGCAGTTGATCATAGTCAGCTCGGATGGCATCGCCAGCTTGCACTTCGTTGGCCAATTCGTCGACGAGGCTGTTCAGGTTCTCTTGTTTCCACTTGAGATCATCCAGCTGGGCGTCAAGGTCGGCTTCGCGAGATGGCAGATTGTCGTGCAACCACTCCTTGGCGGCAGCCACGGATCGTGCCAAATCAGCCAGCTGTGACTTCACCTCGTCGGCTCGGCTCAAGTCGTCCTTTCCGACGACGAATGGCTGAGGAGCCTGGTTGGCATACTTGTCAAAGATGGTGTTCAGCGCCACTTCAACAGGCTCGGCAGCCGAGTCAAGCTTCTGCTTCTCCTGACCGTACTTGGTGAGATTGGCCAGTTTGTCGAGGAGCGCATCCTTCAATCTGCGCAACTTGTCCAGGTAGCTCTCGGTGTCGGCCTTGGTCTTCTCGAGCTCCTTGCGTTGCTCGGGGCTGAGGTCGTCGCTGGCGAGAAGTTGGTTGATCTCGAGCAGCTTCGCCTCCAGCTGACCAATATCCGAATCGGCAGCCTGTTCGCGCTTCTGCAGTTCGTCTTGATCGTCCTGCGGTGGCTCGTCGGCGCGTTGCAAAGCGACCATGGTATCTGGGGTCACCTTGATCTCGAGAAGCTTGGCTTCGACTCGAGCTGCCTTCTCATCGGCGGCCATCTGGTCGTCCAGTTGTTTCTGGGCATCGGCCAGCAGCTCTTGAGCCTTGGCTTGAAGCTCGTTGGCAGCCTGAAGCTGGGGCTCGACTCCAGGGGTGGAGGCGGCTTGATTGTTGACTTGGGCGAGGGCTGGTAGCACCTCGTTCTCCAGCTTGGCCACCACTTCCTTGAGCGCATCGGTGGTCGGCGGGACAGATTGTTCCTTGCCCTTCTTTCCCTTCTTCTTGGGATGGGCGAGCTTGTCGGCTTCGTCGAGATTCTTGCGAATGTCGTCAAGAGCGGCTCCAAGGTGGGCCACATCGGCGTCGTGCTTGTCCTTGCGGGCCTTCAGCTCTGCGATCTTGTCGAGCTGAGCCTGGACTTGTGGTGGTACTTGGTCGGCGCCAGCAGGCTTCAGAGACTCGAGCTGCTTCTCGATAGCGTCCAGCTGTTCAACAGACACATTGTCGAGTGGGAGCTGTTCGACTTGCTCCAGCTGCAGGTTGAGAACCAGCAGCAATCGCTCGTTGTCAGCTTCGTTGGCATTCTGCTTGGCCTTATCGAGCGCCGCTTCGACGGCATTCAACTTCTCCTCGAGGGGATAAACGGGGGAATCGGCGAGGACACGGTGACGTGTGTCGTTGGCCTTGGCCATTTTGTCCTTCAGCAAGTCGAGCTGAGCCTTCAGTGCCGGAAGTTCTTGTTCGGCAAGGGCGTTCAAGCTGTTCACATCGTTGACTTGCGGGATATCCGCAAGAAGACGGTTTAGTTCGTCGTCCAATTGCTTGGTGGAATCGGCGCACACCTGTTCATCTTCGATCTCGGCGTGGAGCTCGGCCAGGTAGTCGTCGATGTGGGCGACCTTCTGATCGATGTCAGCATCCAAGAATCGCACATCGGCGTAGGCGCTCTCGAGCGGGTCGAGTAGCTCGGAGAGTCGCTGCAGCTCTCGGGCAGCTTCCTTTAGCCGTTCCACATCTTGATCCTTCAAACGTTTTGCTTCTTCCAGATCGGCCTTGGCAGCAGCGAGATGTTCGGGCTGCTTGGCTTGGAGGGCATCAAGATGGGCTCCGATGTTCTCGAGAAGCTGATCAGCGTTGTCGCGAGCAGCCACGAATTCATTCCAGTAAGTGTTTCGGTCGTCGAGTACTGGAAGAAGGGCTTCGGCCGCATCGATGGTTGTTGCCAACGAGGCGGTATGCTCATCTTGGGCTGGGGCGCTGGCGAGCAGGTTACGAGCAACGGAAAGTTGTTCACGCATTTCGGCGGCCGTCGGCTCATAGCTGCTTGGAAGGGCTTCTGGGTCGCGTACGAGGCGGTTAGCTTCGTCCACGAGCTCGGCCAGACGGTTTCCGGCTCCTTCAGCCTTCTTGTGCAAATCCTCGAGGGCATCGGCTCGGTCTTGGAGCGCGATGTTGGCCGTGTTGATGGCTTCGGTGGCCTTTTCGAGACGCTCGAGGGTGGCAACGGCCAGCTTCTGGCCTTCAGGCGTTTCCGCTTCTCCGAGAGCCTTGATCTTCTCGTAGTCGTTGTTGAGAGCATCAAGCAGAGGACGGCCTTGTTCGAGTTGATCGGCTGCCTTGCGGAGCTCATCAACAGAAGCATTCGGGTTTCCTTCGACTTCTTGAGCACGGGCAAGCACCTGATCGATGGCCTGAGCTTGAGCGGCCACATCGTTGGCAAGAGCGACAAGCTCAAGCTTGGCCTGCACGTTCTTCTCCTCGTCGTTGAGCAGATTGTCAACGTTGCGGAGTCGATCAGTCAGCCCATCGGCATCGACGCCTTCTGGTTGTCCGGTGAGGCGAGATGGCTTTTCGGCCTGCTTCCTCTTCAATTCGGCAACACGAGCGATGAGTGGCTCGAGTTCGCTCTTCAGAGCATTCAGCGCAGCCGGATCGGACAGATCTCCGGTCTGACGAGCTGCCATCGCCCGGTTCTCAATATCGGCGACAAGGGGCAGCAGTTGATCATAGTCAGCTCGGATGGCATCGCCAGCTTGCACTTCGTTGGCCAATTCGTCGACGAGGCTGTTCAGGTTCTCTTGTTTCCACTTGAGATCATCCAGCTGGGCGTCAAGGTCGGCTTCGCGAGATGGCAGATTGTCGTGCAACCACTCCTTGGCGGCAGCCACGGATCGTGCCAAATCAGCCAGCTGTGACTTCACCTCGTCGGCTCGGCTCAAGTCGTCCTTTCCGACGACGAATGGCTGAGGAGCCTGGTTGGCATACTTGTCAAAGATGGTGTTCAGCGCCACTTCAACAGGCTCGGCAGCCGAGTCAAGCTTCTGCTTCTCCTGACCGTACTTGGTGAGATTGGCCAGTTTGTCGAGGAGCGCATCCTTCAATCTGCGCAACTTGTCCAGGTAGCTCTCGGTGTCGGCCTTGGTCTTCTCGAGCTCCTTGCGTTGCTCGGGGCTGAGGTCGTCGCTGGCGAGAAGTTGGTTGATCTCGAGCAGCTTCGCCTCCAGCTGACCAATATCCGAATCGGCAGCCTGTTCGCGCTTCTGCAGTTCGTCTTGATCGTCCTGCGGTGGCTCGTCGGCGCGTTGCAAAGCGACCATGGTATCTGGGGTCACCTTGATCTCGAGAAGCTTGGCTTCGACTCGAGCTGCCTTCTCATCGGCGGCCATCTGGTCGTCCAGTTGTTTCTGGGCATCGGCCAGCAGCTCTTGAGCCTTGGCTTGAAGCTCGTTGGCAGCCTGAAGCTGGGGCTCGACTCCAGGGGTGGAGGCGGCTTGATTGTTGACTTGGGCGAGGGCTGGTAGCACCTCGTTCTCCAGCTTGGCCACCACTTCCTTGAGCGCATCGGTGGTCGGCGGGACAGATTGTTCCTTGCCCTTCTTTCCCTTCTTCTTGGGATGGGCGAGCTTGTCGGCTTCGTCGAGATTCTTGCGAATGTCGTCAAGAGCGGCTCCAAGGTGGGCCACATCGGCGTCGTGCTTGTCCTTGCGGGCCTTCAGCTCTGCGATCTTGTCGAGCTGAGCCTGGACTTGTGGTGGTACTTGGTCGGCGCCAGCAGGCTTCAGAGACTCGAGCTGCTTCTCGATAGCGTCCAGCTGTTCAACAGACACATTGTCGAGTGGGAGCTGTTCGACTTGCTCCAGCTGCAGGTTGAGAACCAGCAGCAATCGCTCGTTGTCAGCTTCGTTGGCATTCTGCTTGGCCTTATCGAGCGCCGCTTCGACGGCATTCAACTTCTCCTCGAGGGGATAAACGGGGGAATCGGCGAGGACACGGTGACGTGTGTCGTTGGCCTTGGCCATTTTGTCCTTCAGCAAGTCGAGCTGAGCCTTCAGTGCCGGAAGTTCTTGTTCGGCAAGGGCGTTCAAGCTGTTCACATCGTTGACTTGCGGGATATCCGCAAGAAGACGGTTTAGTTCGTCGTCCAATTGCTTGGTGGAATCGGCGCACACCTGTTCATCTTCGATCTCGGCGTGGAGCTCGGCCAGGTAGTCGTCGATGTGGGCGACCTTCTGATCGATGTCAGCATCCAAGAATCGCACATCGGCGTAGGCGCTCTCGAGCGGGTCGAGTAGCTCGGAGAGTCGCTGCAGCTCTCGGGCAGCTTCCTTTAGCCGTTCCACATCTTGATCCTTCAAACGTTTTGCTTCTTCCAGATCGGCCTTGGCAGCAGCGAGATGTTCGGGCTGCTTGGCTTGGAGGGCATCAAGATGGGCTCCGATGTTCTCGAGAAGCTGATCAGCGTTGTCGCGAGCAGCCACGAATTCATTCCAGTAAGTGTTTCGGTCGTCGAGTACTGGAAGAAGGGCTTCGGCCGCATCGATGGTTGTTGCCAACGAGGCGGTATGCTCATCTTGGGCTGGGGCGCTGGCGAGCAGGTTACGAGCAACGGAAAGTTGTTCACGCATTTCGGCGGCCGTCGGCTCATAGCTGCTTGGAAGGGCTTCTGGGTCGCGTACGAGGCGGTTAGCTTCGTCCACGAGCTCGGCCAGACGGTTTCCGGCTCCTTCAGCCTTCTTGTGCAAATCCTCGAGGGCATCGGCTCGGTCTTGGAGCGCGATGTTGGCCGTGTTGATGGCTTCGGTGGCCTTTTCGAGACGCTCGAGGGTGGCAACGGCCAGCTTCTGGCCTTCAGGCGTTTCCGCTTCTCCGAGAGCCTTGATCTTCTCGTAGTCGTTGTTGAGAGCATCAAGCAGAGGACGGCCTTGTTCGAGTTGATCGGCTGCCTTGCGGAGCTCATCAACAGAAGCATTCGGGTTTCCTTCGACTTCTTGAGCACGGGCAAGCACCTGATCGATGGCCTGAGCTTGAGCGGCCACATCGTTGGCAAGAGCGACAAGCTCAAGCTTGGCCTGCACGTTCTTCTCCTCGTCGTTGAGCAGATTGTCAACGTTACGGAGTCGATCAGTCAGCCCATCGGCATCGACGCCTTCTGGTTGTCCGGTGAGGCGAGATGGCTTTTCGGCCTGCTTCCTCTTCAATTCGGCAACACGAGCGATGAGTGGCTCGAGTTCGCTCTTCAGAGCATTCAGCGCAGCCGGATCGGACAGATCTCCGGTCTGACGAGCTGCCATCGCCCGGTTCTCAATATCGGCGACAAGGGGCAGCAGTTGATCATAGTCAGCTCGGATGGCATCGCCAGCTTGCACTTCGTTGGCCAATTCGTCGACGAGGCTGTTCAGGTTCTCTTGTTTCCACTTGAGATCATCCAGCTGGGCGTCAAGGTCGGCTTCGCGAGATGGCAGATTGTCGTGCAACCACTCCTTGGCGGCAGCCACGGATCGTGCCAAATCAGCCAGCTGTGACTTCACCTCGTCGGCTCGGCTCAAGTCGTCCTTTCCGACGACGAATGGCTGAGGAGCCTGGTTGGCATACTTGTCAAAGATGGTGTTCAGCGCCACTTCAACAGGCTCGGCAGCCGAGTCAAGCTTCTGCTTCTCCTGACCGTACTTGGTGAGATTGGCCAGTTTGTCGAGGAGCGCATCCTTCAATCTGCGCAACTTGTCCAGGTAGCTCTCGGTGTCGGCCTTGGTCTTCTCGAGCTCCTTGCGTTGCTCGGGGCTGAGGTCGTCGCTGGCGAGAAGTTGGTTGATCTCGAGCAGCTTCGCCTCCAGCTGACCAATATCCGAATCGGCAGCCTGTTCGCGCTTCTGCAGTTCGTCTTGATCGTCCTGCGGTGGCTCGTCGGCGCGTTGCAAAGCGACCATGGTATCTGGGGTCACCTTGATCTCGAGAAGCTTGGCTTCGACTCGAGCTGCCTTCTCATCGGCGGCCATCTGGTCGTCCAGTTGTTTCTGGGCATCGGCCAGCAGCTCTTGAGCCTTGGCTTGAAGCTCGTTGGCAGCCTGAAGCTGGGGCTCGACTCCAGGGGTGGAGGCGGCTTGATTGTTGACTTGGGCGAGGGCTGGTAGCACCTCGTTCTCCAGCTTGGCCACCACTTCCTTGAGCGCATCGGTGGTCGGCGGGACAGATTGTTCCTTGCCCTTCTTTCCCTTCTTCTTGGGATGGGCGAGCTTGTCGGCTTCGTCGAGATTCTTGCGAATGTCGTCAAGAGCGGCTCCAAGGTGGGCCACATCGGCGTCGTGCTTGTCCTTGCGGGCCTTCAGCTCTGCGATCTTGTCGAGCTGAGCCTGGACTTGTGGTGGTACTTGGTCGGCGCCAGCAGGCTTCAGAGACTCGAGCTGCTTCTCGATAGCGTCCAGCTGTTCAACAGACACATTGTCGAGTGGGAGCTGTTCGACTTGCTCCAGCTGCAGGTTGAGAACCAGCAGCAATCGCTCGTTGTCAGCTTCGTTGGCATTCTGCTTGGCCTTATCGAGCGCCGCTTCGACGGCATTCAACTTCTCCTCGAGGGGATAAACGGGGAATCGGCGAGGACACGGTGACGTGTGTCGTTGGCCTTGGCCATTTTGTCCTTCAGCAAGTCGAGCTGAGCCTTCAGTGCCGGAAGTTCTTGTTCGGCAAGGGCGTTCAAGCTGTTCACATCGTTGACTTGCGGGATATCCGCAAGAAGACGGTTTAGTTCGTCGTCCAATTGCTTGGTGGAATCGGCGCACACCTGTTCATCTTCGATCTCGGCGTGGAGCTCGGCCAGGTAGTCGTCGATGTGGGCGACCTTCTGATCGATGTCAGCATCCAAGAATCGCACATCGGCGTAGGCGCTCTCGAGCGGGTCGAGTAGCTCGGAGAGTCGCTGCAGCTCTCGGGCAGCTTCCTTTAGCCGTTCCACATCTTGATCCTTCAAACGTTTTGCTTCTTCCAGATCGGCCTTGGCAGCAGCGAGATGTTCGGGCTGCTTGGCTTGGAGGGCATCAAGATGGGCTCCGATGTTCTCGAGAAGCTGATCAGCGTTGTCGCGAGCAGCCACGAATTCATTCCAGTAAGTGTTTCGGTCGTCGAGTACTGGAAGAAGGGCTTCGGCCGCATCGATGGTTGTTGCCAACGAGGCGGTATGCTCATCTTGGGCTGGGGCGCTGGCGAGCAGGTTACGAGCAACGGAAAGTTGTTCACGCATTTCGGCGGCCGTCGGCTCATAGCTGCTTGGAAGGGCTTCTGGGTCGCGTACGAGGCGGTTAGCTTCGTCCACGAGCTCGGCCAGACGGTTTCCGGCTCCTTCAGCCTTCTTGTGCAAATCCTCGAGGGCATCGGCTCGGTCTTGGAGCGCGATGTTGGCCGTGTTGATGGCTTCGGTGGCCTTTTCGAGACGCTCGAGGGTGGCAACGGCCAGCTTCTGGCCTTCAGGCGTTTCCGCTTCTCCGAGAGCCTTGATCTTCTCGTAGTCGTTGTTGAGAGCATCAAGCAGAGGACGGCCTTGTTCGAGTTGATCGGCTGCCTTGCGGAGCTCATCAACAGAAGCATTCGGGTTTCCTTCGACTTCTTGAGCACGGGCAAGCACCTGATCGATGGCCTGAGCTTGAGCGGCCACATCGTTGGCAAGAGCGACAAGCTCAAGCTTGGCCTGCACGTTCTTCTCCCTCGTCGTTGAGCAGATTGTCAACGTTGCGGAGTCGATCAGTCAGCCCATCGGCATCGACGCCTTCTGGTTGTCCGGTGAGGCGAGATGGCTTTTCGGCCTGCTTCCTCTTCAATTCGGCAACACGAGCGATGAGTGGCTCGAGTTCGCTCTTCAGAGCATTCAGCGCAGCCGGATCGGACAGATCTCCGGTCTGACGAGCTGCCATCGCCCGGTTCTCAATATCGGCGACAAGGGGCAGCAGTTGATCATAGTCAGCTCGGATGGCATCGCCAGCTTGCACTTCGTTGGCCAATTCGTCGACGAGGCTGTTCAGGTTCTCTTGTTTCCACTTGAGATCATCCAGCTGGGCGTCAAGGTCGGCTTCGCGAGATGGCAGATTGTCGTGCAACCACTCCTTGGCGGCAGCCACGGATCGTGCCAAATCAGCCAGCTGTGACTTCACCTCGTCGGCTCGGCTCAAGTCGTCCTTTCCGACGACGAATGGCTGAGGAGCCTGGTTGGCATACTTGTCAAAGATGGTGTTCAGCGCCACTTCAACAGGCTCGGCAGCCGAGTCAAGCTTCTGCTTCTCCTGACCGTACTTGGTGAGATTGGCCAGTTTGTCGAGGAGCGCATCCTTCAATCTGCGCAACTTGTCCAGGTAGCTCTCGGTGTCGGCCTTGGTCTTCTCGAGCTCCTTGCGTTGCTCGGGGCTGAGGTCGTCGCTGGCGAGAAGTTGGTTGATCTCGAGCAGCTTCGCCTCCAGCTGACCAATATCCGAATCGGCAGCCTGTTCGCGCTTCTGCAGTTCGTCTTGATCGTCCTGCGGTGGCTCGTCGGCGCGTTGCAAAGCGACCATGGTATCTGGGGTCACCTTGATCTCGAGAAGCTTGGCTTCGACTCGAGCTGCCTTCTCATCGGCGGCCATCTGGTCGTCCAGTTGTTTCTGGGCATCGGCCAGCAGCTCTTGAGCCTTGGCTTGAAGCTCGTTGGCAGCCTGAAGCTGGGGCTCGACTCCAGGGGTGGAGGCGGCTTGATTGTTGACTTGGGCGAGGGCTGGTAGCACCTCGTTCTCCAGCTTGGCCACCACTTCCTTGAGCGCATCGGTGGTCGGCGGGACAGATTGTTCCTTGCCCTTCTTTCCCTTCTTCTTGGGATGGGCGAGCTTGTCGGCTTCGTCGAGATTCTTGCGAATGTCGTCAAGAGCGGCTCCAAGGTGGGCCACATCGGCGTCGTGCTTGTCCTTGCGGGCCTTCAGCTCTGCGATCTTGTCGAGCTGAGCCTGGACTTGTGGTGGTACTTGGTCGGCGCCAGCAGGCTTCAGAGACTCGAGCTGCTTCTCGATAGCGTCCAGCTGTTCAACAGACACATTGTCGAGTGGGAGCTGTTCGACTTGCTCCAGCTGCAGGTTGAGAACCAGCAGCAATCGCTCGTTGTCAGCTTCGTTGGCATTCTGCTTGGCCTTATCGAGCGCCGCTTCGACGGCATTCAACTTCTCCTCGAGGGGATAAACGGGGGAATCGGCGAGGACACGGTGACGTGTGTCGTTGGCCTTGGCCATTTTGTCCTTCAGCAAGTCGAGCTGAGCCTTCAGTGCCGGAAGTTCTTGTTCGGCAAGGGCGTTCAAGCTGTTCACATCGTTGACTTGCGGGATATCCGCAAGAAGACGGTTTAGTTCGTCGTCCAATTGCTTGGTGGAATCGGCGCACACCTGTTCATCTTCGATCTCGGCGTGGAGCTCGGCCAGGTAGTCGTCGATGTGGGCGACCTTCTGATCGATGTCAGCATCCAAGAATCGCACATCGGCGTAGGCGCTCTCGAGCGGGTCGAGTAGCTCGGAGAGTCGCTGCAGCTCTCGGGCAGCTTCCTTTAGCCGTTCCACATCTTGATCCTTCAAACGTTTTGCTTCTTCCAGATCGGCCTTGGCAGCAGCGAGATGTTCGGGCTGCTTGGCTTGGAGGGCATCAAGATGGGCTCCGATGTTCTCGAGAAGCTGATCAGCGTTGTCGCGAGCAGCCACGAATTCATTCCAGTAAGTGTTTCGGTCGTCGAGTACTGGAAGAAGGGCTTCGGCCGCATCGATGGTTGTTGCCAACGAGGCGGTATGCTCATCTTGGGCTGGGGCGCTGGCGAGCAGGTTACGAGCAACGGAAAGTTGTTCACGCATTTCGGCGGCCGTCGGCTCATAGCTGCTTGGAAGGGCTTCTGGGTCGCGTACGAGGCGGTTAGCTTCGTCCACGAGCTCGGCCAGACGGTTTCCGGCTCCTTCAGCCTTCTTGTGCAAATCCTCGAGGGCATCGGCTCGGTCTTGGAGCGCGATGTTGGCCGTGTTGATGGCTTCGGTGGCCTTTTCGAGACGCTCGAGGGTGGCAACGGCCAGTTTCTGGCCTTCAGGCGTTTCCGCTTCTCCGAGAGCCTTGATCTTCTCGTAGTCGTTGTTGAGAGCATCAAGCAGAGGACGGCCTTGTTCGAGTTGATCGGCTGCCTTGCGGAGCTCATCAACAGAAGCATTCGGGTTTCCTTCGACTTCTTGAGCACGGGCAAGCACCTGATCGATGGCCTGAGCTTGAGCGGCCACATCGTTGGCAAGAGCGACAAGCTCAAGCTTGGCCTGCACGTTCTTCTCCTCGTCGTTGAGCAGATTGTCAACGTTGCGGAGTCGATCAGTCAGCCCATCGGCATCGACGCCTTCTGGTTGTCCGGTGAGGCGAGATGGCTTTTCGGCCTGCTTCCTCTTCAATTCGGCAACACGAGCGATGAGTGGCTCGAGTTCGCTCTTCAGAGCATTCAGCGCAGCCGGATCGGACAGATCTCCGGTCTGACGAGCTGCCATCGCCCGGTTCTCAATATCGGCGACAAGGGGCAGCAGTTGATCATAGTCAGCTCGGATGGCATCGCCAGCTTGCACTTCGTTGGCCAATTCGTCGACGAGGCTGTTCAGGTTCTCTTGTTTCCACTTGAGATCATCCAGCTGGGCGTCAAGGTCGGCTTCGCGAGATGGCAGATTGTCGTGCAACCACTCCTTGGCGGCAGCCACGGATCGTGCCAAATCAGCCAGCTGTGACTTCACCTCGTCGGCTCGGCTCAAGTCGTCCTTTCCGACGACGAATGGCTGAGGAGCCTGGTTGGCATACTTGTCAAAGATGGTGTTCAGCGCCACTTCAACAGGCTCGGCAGCCGAGTCAAGCTTCTGCTTCTCCTGACCGTACTTGGTGAGATTGGCCAGTTTGTCGAGGAGCGCATCCTTCAATCTGCGCAACTTGTCCAGGTAGCTCTCGGTGTCGGCCTTGGTCTTCTCGAGCTCCTTGCGTTGCTCGGGGCTGAGGTCGTCGCTGGCGAGAAGTTGGTTGATCTCGAGCAGCTTCGCCTCCAGCTGACCAATATCCGAATCGGCAGCCTGTTCGCGCTTCTGCAGTTCGTCTTGATCGTCCTGCGGTGGCTCGTCGGCGCGTTGCAAAGCGACCATGGTATCTGGGGTCACCTTGATCTCGAGAAGCTTGGCTTCGACTCGAGCTGCCTTCTCATCGGCGGCCATCTGGTCGTCCAGTTGTTTCTGGGCATCGGCCAGCAGCTCTTGAGCCTTGGCTTGAAGCTCGTTGGCAGCCTGAAGCTGGGGCTCGACTCCAGGGGTGGAGGCGGCTTGATTGTTGACTTGGGCGAGGGCTGGTAGCACCTCGTTCTCCAGCTTGGCCACCACTTCCTTGAGCGCATCGGTGGTCGGCGGGACAGATTGTTCCTTGCCCTTCTTTCCCTTCTTCTTGGGATGGGCGAGCTTGTCGGCTTCGTCGAGATTCTTGCGAATGTCGTCAAGAGCGGCTCCAAGGTGGGCCACATCGGCGTCGTGCTTGTCCTTGCGGGCCTTCAGCTCTGCGATCTTGTCGAGCTGAGCCTGGACTTGTGGTGGTACTTGGTCGGCGCCAGCAGGCTTCAGAGACTCGAGCTGCTTCTCGATAGCGTCCAGCTGTTCAACAGACACATTGTCGAGTGGGAGCTGTTCGACTTGCTCCAGCTGCAGGTTGAGAACCAGCAGCAATCGCTCGTTGTCAGCTTCGTTGGCATTCTGCTTGGCCTTATCGAGCGCCGCTTCGACGGCATTCAACTTCTCCTCGAGGGGATAAACGGGGGAATCGGCGAGGACACGGTGACGTGTGTCGTTGGCCTTGGCCATTTTGTCCTTCAGCAAGTCGAGCTGAGCCTTCAGTGCCGGAAGTTCTTGTTCGGCAAGGGCGTTCAAGCTGTTCACATCGTTGACTTGCGGGATATCCGCAAGAAGACGGTTTAGTTCGTCGTCCAATTGCTTGGTGGAATCGGCGCACACCTGTTCATCTTCGATCTCGGCGTGGAGCTCGGCCAGGTAGTCGTCGATGTGGGCGACCTTCTGATCGATGTCAGCATCCAAGAATCGCACATCGGCGTAGGCGCTCTCGAGCGGGTCGAGTAGCTCGGAGAGTCGCTGCAGCTCTCGGGCAGCTTCCTTTAGCCGTTCCACATCTTGATCCTTCAAACGTTTTGCTTCTTCCAGATCGGCCTTGGCAGCAGCGAGATGTTCGGGCTGCTTGGCTTGGAGGGCATCAAGATGGGCTCCGATGTTCTCGAGAAGCTGATCAGCGTTGTCGCGAGCAGCCACGAATTCATTCCAGTAAGTGTTTCGGTCGTCGAGTACTGGAAGAAGGGCTTCGGCCGCATCGATGGTTGTTGCCAACGAGGCGGTATGCTCATCTTGGGCTGGGGCGCTGGCGAGCAGGTTACGAGCAACGGAAAGTTGTTCACGCATTTCGGCGGCCGTCGGCTCATAGCTGCTTGGAAGGGCTTCTGGGTCGCGTACGAGGCGGTTAGCTTCGTCCACGAGCTCGGCCAGACGGTTTCCGGCTCCTTCAGCCTTCTTGTGCAAATCCTCGAGGGCATCGGCTCGGTCTTGGAGCGCGATGTTGGCCGTGTTGATGGCTTCGGTGGCCTTTTCGAGACGCTCGAGGGTGGCAACGGCCAGTTTCTGGCCTTCAGGCGTTTCCGCTTCTCCGAGAGCCTTGATCTTCTCGTAGTCGTTGTTGAGAGCATCAAGCAGAGGACGGCCTTGTTCGAGTTGATCGGCTGCCTTGCGGAGCTCATCAACAGAAGCATTCGGGTTTCCTTCGACTTCTTGAGCACGGGCAAGCACCTGATCGATGGCCTGAGCTTGAGCGGCCACATCGTTGGCAAGAGCGACAAGCTCAAGCTTGGCCTGCACGTTCTTCTCCTCGTCGTTGAGCAGATTGTCAACGTTACGGAGTCGATCAGTCAGCCCATCGGCATCGACGCCTTCTGGTTGTCCGGTGAGGCGAGATGGCTTTTCGGCCTGCTTCCTCTTCAATTCGGCAACACGAGCGATGAGTGGCTCGAGTTCGCTCTTCAGAGCATTCAGCGCAGCCGGATCGGACAGATCTCCGGTCTGACGAGCTGCCATCGCCCGGTTCTCAATATCGGCGACAAGGGGCAGCAGTTGATCATAGTCAGCTCGGATGGCATCGCCAGCTTGCACTTCGTTGGCCAATTCGTCGACGAGGCTGTTCAGGTTCTCTTGTTTCCACTTGAGATCATCCAGCTGGGCGTCAAGGTCGGCTTCGCGAGATGGCAGATTGTCGTGCAACCACTCCTTGGCGGCAGCCACGGATCGTGCCAAATCAGCCAGCTGTGACTTCACCTCGTCGGCTCGGCTCAAGTCGTCCTTTCCGACGACGAATGGCTGAGGAGCCTGGTTGGCATACTTGTCAAAGATGGTGTTCAGCGCCACTTCAACAGGCTCGGCAGCCGAGTCAAGCTTCTGCTTCTCCTGACCGTACTTGGTGAGATTGGCCAGTTTGTCGAGGAGCGCATCCTTCAATCTGCGCAACTTGTCCAGGTAGCTCTCGGTGTCGGCCTTGGTCTTCTCGAGCTCCTTGCGTTGCTCGGGGCTGAGGTCGTCGCTGGCGAGAAGTTGGTTGATCTCGAGCAGCTTCGCCTCCAGCTGACCAATATCCGAATCGGCAGCCTGTTCGCGCTTCTGCAGTTCGTCTTGATCGTCCTGCGGTGGCTCGTCGGCGCGTTGCAAAGCGACCATGGTATCTGGGGTCACCTTGATCTCGAGAAGCTTGGCTTCGACTCGAGCTGCCTTCTCATCGGCGGCCATCTGGTCGTCCAGTTGTTTCTGGGCATCGGCCAGCAGCTCTTGAGCCTTGGCTTGAAGCTCGTTGGCAGCCTGAAGCTGGGGCTCGACTCCAGGGGTGGAGGCGGCTTGATTGTTGACTTGGGCGAGGGCTGGTAGCACCTCGTTCTCCAGCTTGGCCACCACTTCCTTGAGCGCATCGGTGGTCGGCGGGACAGATTGTTCCTTGCCCTTCTTTCCCTTCTTCTTGGGATGGGCGAGCTTGTCGGCTTCGTCGAGATTCTTGCGAATGTCGTCAAGAGCGGCTCCAAGGTGGGCCACATCGGCGTCGTGCTTGTCCTTGCGGGCCTTCAGCTCTGCGATCTTGTCGAGCTGAGCCTGGACTTGTGGTGGTACTTGGTCGGCGCCAGCAGGCTTCAGAGACTCGAGCTGCTTCTCGATAGCGTCCAGCTGTTCAACAGACACATTGTCGAGTGGGAGCTGTTCGACTTGCTCCAGCTGCAGGTTGAGAACCAGCAGCAATCGCTCGTTGTCAGCTTCGTTGGCATTCTGCTTGGCCTTATCGAGCGCCGCTTCGACGGCATTCAACTTCTCCTCGAGGGGATAAACGGGGGAATCGGCGAGGACACGGTGACGTGTGTCGTTGGCCTTGGCCATTTTGTCCTTCAGCAAGTCGAGCTGAGCCTTCAGTGCCGGAAGTTCTTGTTCGGCAAGGGCGTTCAAGCTGTTCACATCGTTGACTTGCGGGATATCCGCAAGAAGACGGTTTAGTTCGTCGTCCAATTGCTTGGTGGAATCGGCGCACACCTGTTCATCTTCGATCTCGGCGTGGAGCTCGGCCAGGTAGTCGTCGATGTGGGCGACCTTCTGATCGATGTCAGCATCCAAGAATCGCACATCGGCGTAGGCGCTCTCGAGCGGGTCGAGTAGCTCGGAGAGTCGCTGCAGCTCTCGGGCAGCTTCCTTTAGCCGTTCCACATCTTGATCCTTCAAACGTTTTGCTTCTTCCAGATCGGCCTTGGCAGCAGCGAGATGTTCGGGCTGCTTGGCTTGGAGGGCATCAAGATGGGCTCCGATGTTCTCGAGAAGCTGATCAGCGTTGTCGCGAGCAGCCACGAATTCATTCCAGTAAGTGTTTCGGTCGTCGAGTACTGGAAGAAGGGCTTCGGCCGCATCGATGGTTGTTGCCAACGAGGCGGTATGCTCATCTTGGGCTGGGGCGCTGGCGAGCAGGTTACGAGCAACGGAAAGTTGTTCACGCATTTCGGCGGCCGTCGGCTCATAGCTGCTTGGAAGGGCTTCTGGGTCGCGTACGAGGCGGTTAGCTTCGTCCACGAGCTCGGCCAGACGGTTTCCGGCTCCTTCAGCCTTCTTGTGCAAATCCTCGAGGGCATCGGCTCGGTCTTGGAGCGCGATGTTGGCCGTGTTGATGGCTTCGGTGGCCTTTTCGAGACGCTCGAGGGGTGGCAACGGCCAGTTTCTGGCCTTCAGGCGTTTCCGCTTCTCCGAGAGCCTTGATCTTCTCGTAGTCGTTGTTGAGAGCATCAAGCAGAGGACGGCCTTGTTCGAGTTGATCGGCTGCCTTGCGGAGCTCATCAACAGAAGCATTCGGGTTTCCTTCGACTTCTTGAGCACGGGCAAGCACCTGATCGATGGCCTGAGCTTGAGCGGCCACATCGTTGGCAAGAGCGACAAGCTCAAGCTTGGCCTGCACGTTCTTCTCCTCGTCGTTGAGCAGATTGTCAACGTTGCGGAGTCGATCAGTCAGCCCATCGGCATCGACGCCTTCTGGTTGTCCGGTGAGGCGAGATGGCTTTTCGGCCTGCTTCCTCTTCAATTCGGCAACACGAGCGATGAGTGGCTCGAGTTCGCTCTTCAGAGCATTCAGCGCAGCCGGATCGGACAGATCTCCGGTCTGACGAGCTGCCATCGCCCGGTTCTCAATATCGGCGACAAGGGGCAGCAGTTGATCATAGTCAGCTCGGATGGCATCGCCAGCTTGCACTTCGTTGGCCAATTCGTCGACGAGGCTGTTCAGGTTCTCTTGTTTCCACTTGAGATCATCCAGCTGGGCGTCAAGGTCGGCTTCGCGAGATGGCAGATTGTCGTGCAACCACTCCTTGGCGGCAGCCACGGATCGTGCCAAATCAGCCAGCTGTGACTTCACCTCGTCGGCTCGGCTCAAGTCGTCCTTTCCGACGACGAATGGCTGAGGAGCCTGGTTGGCATACTTGTCAAAGATGGTGTTCAGCGCCACTTCAACAGGCTCGGCAGCCGAGTCAAGCTTCTGCTTCTCCTGACCGTACTTGGTGAGATTGGCCAGTTTGTCGAGGAGCGCATCCTTCAATCTGCGCAACTTGTCCAGGTAGCTCTCGGTGTCGGCCTTGGTCTTCTCGAGCTCCTTGCGTTGCTCGGGGCTGAGGTCGTCGCTGGCGAGAAGTTGGTTGATCTCGAGCAGCTTCGCCTCCAGCTGACCAATATCCGAATCGGCAGCCTGTTCGCGCTTCTGCAGTTCGTCTTGATCGTCCTGCGGTGGCTCGTCGGCGCGTTGCAAAGCGACCATGGTATCTGGGGTCACCTTGATCTCGAGAAGCTTGGCTTCGACTCGAGCTGCCTTCTCATCGGCGGCCATCTGGTCGTCCAGTTGTTTCTGGGCATCGGCCAGCAGCTCTTGAGCCTTGGCTTGAAGCTCGTTGGCAGCCTGAAGCTGGGGCTCGACTCCAGGGGTGGAGGCGGCTTGATTGTTGACTTGGGCGAGGGCTGGTAGCACCTCGTTCTCCAGCTTGGCCACCACTTCCTTGAGCGCATCGGTGGTCGGCGGGACAGATTGTTCCTTGCCCTTCTTTCCCTTCTTCTTGGGATGGGCGAGCTTGTCGGCTTCGTCGAGATTCTTGCGAATGTCGTCAAGAGCGGCTCCAAGGTGGGCCACATCGGCGTCGTGCTTGTCCTTGCGGGCCTTCAGCTCTGCGATCTTGTCGAGCTGAGCCTGGACTTGTGGTGGTACTTGGTCGGCGCCAGCAGGCTTCAGAGACTCGAGCTGCTTCTCGATAGCGTCCAGCTGTTCAACAGACACATTGTCGAGTGGGAGCTGTTCGACTTGCTCCAGCTGCAGGTTGAGAACCAGCAGCAATCGCTCGTTGTCAGCTTCGTTGGCATTCTGCTTGGCCTTATCGAGCGCCGCTTCGACGGCATTCAACTTCTCCTCGAGGGGATAAACGGGGGAATCGGCGAGGACACGGTGACGTGTGTCGTTGGCCTTGGCCATTTTGTCCTTCAGCAAGTCGAGCTGAGCCTTCAGTGCCGGAAGTTCTTGTTCGGCAAGGGCGTTCAAGCTGTTCACATCGTTGACTTGCGGGATATCCGCAAGAAGACGGTTTAGTTCGTCGTCCAATTGCTTGGTGGAATCGGCGCACACCTGTTCATCTTCGATCTCGGCGTGGAGCTCGGCCAGGTAGTCGTCGATGTGGGCGACCTTCTGATCGATGTCAGCATCCAAGAATCGCACATCGGCGTAGGCGCTCTCGAGCGGGTCGAGTAGCTCGGAGAGTCGCTGCAGCTCTCGGGCAGCTTCCTTTAGCCGTTCCACATCTTGATCCTTCAAACGTTTTGCTTCTTCCAGATCGGCCTTGGCAGCAGCGAGATGTTCGGGCTGCTTGGCTTGGAGGGCATCAAGATGGGCTCCGATGTTCTCGAGAAGCTGATCAGCGTTGTCGCGAGCAGCCACGAATTCATTCCAGTAAGTGTTTCGGTCGTCGAGTACTGGAAGAAGGGCTTCGGCCGCATCGATGGTTGTTGCCAACGAGGCGGTATGCTCATCTTGGGCTGGGGCGCTGGCGAGCAGGTTACGAGCAACGGAAAGTTGTTCACGCATTTCGGCGGCCGTCGGCTCATAGCTGCTTGGAAGGGCTTCTGGGTCGCGTACGAGGCGGTTAGCTTCGTCCACGAGTTCGGCCAGACGGTTTCCGGCTCCTTCAGCCTTCTTGTGCAAATCCTCGAGGGCATCGGCTCGGTCTTGGAGCGCGATGTTGGCCGTGTTGATGGCTTCGGTGGCCTTTTCGAGACGCTCGAGGGTGGCAACGGCCAGTTTCTGGCCTTCAGGCGTTTCCGCTTCTCCGAGAGCCTTGATCTTCTCGTAGTCGTTGTTGAGAGCATCAAGCAGAGGGACGGCCTTGTTCGAGTTGATCGGCTGCCTTGCGGAGCTCATCAACAGAAGCATTCGGGTTTCCTTCGACTTCTTGAGCACGGGCAAGCACCTGATCGATGGCCTGAGCTTGAGCGGCCACATCGTTGGCAAGAGCGACAAGCTCAAGCTTGGCCTGCACGTTCTTCTCCTCGTCGTTGAGCAGATTGTCAACGTTGCGGAGTCGATCAGTCAGCCCATCGGCATCGACGCCTTCTGGTTGTCCGGTGAGGCGAGATGGCTTTTCGGCCTGCTTCCTCTTCAATTCGGCAACACGAGCGATGAGTGGCTCGAGTTCGCTCTTCAGAGCATTCAGCGCAGCCGGATCGGACAGATCTCCGGTCTGACGAGCTGCCATCGCCCGGTTCTCAATATCGGCGACAAGGGGCAGCAGTTGATCATAGTCAGCTCGGATGGCATCGCCAGCTTGCACTTCGTTGGCCAATTCGTCGACGAGGCTGTTCAGGTTCTCTTGTTTCCACTTGAGATCATCCAGCTGGGCGTCAAGGTCGGCTTCGCGAGATGGCAGATTGTCGTGCAACCACTCCTTGGCGGCAGCCACGGATCGTGCCAAATCAGCCAGCTGTGACTTCACCTCGTCGGCTCGGCTCAAGTCGTCCTTTCCGACGACGAATGGCTGAGGAGCCTGGTTGGCATACTTGTCAAAGATGGTGTTCAGCGCCACTTCAACAGGCTCGGCAGCCGAGTCAAGCTTCTGCTTCTCCTGACCGTACTTGGTGAGATTGGCCAGTTTGTCGAGGAGCGCATCCTTCAATCTGCGCAACTTGTCCAGGTAGCTCTCGGTGTCGGCCTTGGTCTTCTCGAGCTCCTTGCGTTGCTCGGGGCTGAGGTCGTCGCTGGCGAGAAGTTGGTTGATCTCGAGCAGCTTCGCCTCCAGCTGACCAATATCCGAATCGGCAGCCTGTTCGCGCTTCTGCAGTTCGTCTTGATCGTCCTGCGGTGGCTCGTCGGCGCGTTGCAAAGCGACCATGGTATCTGGGGTCACCTTGATCTCGAGAAGCTTGGCTTCGACTCGAGCTGCCTTCTCATCGGCGGCCATCTGGTCGTCCAGTTGTTTCTGGGCATCGGCCAGCAGCTCTTGAGCCTTGGCTTGAAGCTCGTTGGCAGCCTGAAGCTGGGGCTCGACTCCAGGGGTGGAGGCGGCTTGATTGTTGACTTGGGCGAGGGCTGGTAGCACCTCGTTCTCCAGCTTGGCCACCACTTCCTTGAGCGCATCGGTGGTCGGCGGGACAGATTGTTCCTTGCCCTTCTTTCCCTTCTTCTTGGGATGGGCGAGCTTGTCGGCTTCGTCGAGATTCTTGCGAATGTCGTCAAGAGCGGCTCCAAGGTGGGCCACATCGGCGTCGTGCTTGTCCTTGCGGGCCTTCAGCTCTGCGATCTTGTCGAGCTGAGCCTGGACTTGTGGTGGTACTTGGTCGGCGCCAGCAGGCTTCAGAGACTCGAGCTGCTTCTCGATAGCGTCCAGTTGTTCAACAGACACATTGTCGAGTGGGAGCTGTTCGACTTGCTCCAGCTGCAGGTTGAGAACCAGCAGCAATCGCTCGTTGTCAGCTTCGTTGGCATTCTGCTTGGCCTTATCGAGCGCCGCTTCGACGGCATTCAACTTCTCCTCGAGGGGATAAACGGGGGAATCGGCGAGGACACGGTGACGTGTGTCGTTGGCCTTGGCCATTTTGTCCTTCAGCAAGTCGAGCTGAGCCTTCAGTGCCGGAAGTTCTTGTTCGGCAAGGGCGTTCAAGCTGTTCACATCGTTGACTTGCGGGATATCCGCAAGAAGACGGTTTAGTTCGTCGTCCAATTGCTTGGTGGAATCGGCGCACACCTGTTCATCTTCGATCTCGGCGTGGAGCTCGGCCAGGTAGTCGTCGATGTGGGCGACCTTCTGATCGATGTCAGCATCCAAGAATCGCACATCGGCGTAGGCGCTCTCGAGCGGGTCGAGTAGCTCGGAGAGTCGCTGCAGCTCTCGGGCAGCTTCCTTTAGCCGTTCCACATCTTGATCCTTCAAACGTTTTGCTTCTTCCAGATCGGCCTTGGCAGCAGCGAGATGTTCGGGCTGCTTGGCTTGGAGGGCATCAAGATGGGCTCCGATGTTTTCGAGAAGCTGATCAGCGTTGTCGCGAGCAGCCACGAATTCATTCCAGTAAGTGTTTCGGTCGTCGAGTACTGGAAGAAGGGCTTCGGCCGCATCGATGGTTGTTGCCAACGAGGCGGTATGCTCATCTTGGGCTGGGGCGCTGGCGAGCAGGTTACGAGCAACGGAAAGTTGTTCACGCATTTCGGCGGCCGTCGGCTCATAGCTGCTTGGAAGGGCTTCTGGGTCGCGTACGAGGCGGTTAGCTTCGTCCACGAGTTCGGCCAGACGGTTTCCGGCTCCTTCAGCCTTCTTGTGCAAATCCTCGAGGGCATCGGCTCGGTCTTGGAGCGCGATGTTGGCCGTATTGATGGCTTCGGTGGCCTTTTCGAGACGCTCGAGGGTGGCAACGGCCAGTTTCTGGCCTTCAGGCGTTTCCGCTTCTCCGAGAGCCTTGATCTTCTCGTAGTCGTTGTTGAGGGCATCAAGCAGAGGACGGCCTTGTTCGAGTTGGTCGGCTGCCTTGCGGAGCTCATCAACAGAAGCATTCGGGTTTCCTTCGACTTCTTGAGCACGGGCAAGCACCTGATCGATGGCCTGAGCTTGAGCGGCCACATCGTTGGCAAGAGCGACGAGCTCGAGCTTGGCCTGCACGTTCTTCTCCTCGTCGTTGAGCAGATTGTCAACGTTGCGGAGTCGATCAGTCAGCCCATCGGCATCGACGCCTTCTGGTTGTCCGGTGAGGCGAGATGGCTTTTCGGCCTGCTTCCTCTTCAATTCGGCAACACGAGCGATGAGTGGTTCGAGTTCGCTCTTCAGAGCATTCAGCGCAGCCGGATCGGACAGATCTCCGGTCTGACGAGCTGCCATCGCCCGGTTCTCAATATCGGCGACAAGGGGCAGCAGTTGATCATAGTCAGCTCGGATGGCATCGCCAGCTTGCACTTCGTTGGCCAATTCGTCGACGAGGCTGTTCAGGTTCTCTTGTTTCCACTTGAGATCATCCAGCTGGGCGTCAAGGTCGGCTTCGCGAGATGGCAGATTGTCGTGCAACCACTCCTTGGCGGCAGCCACGGATCGTGCCAAATCAGCCAGCTGTGACTTCACCTCGTCGGCTCGGCTCAAGTCGTCCTTTCCGACGACGAATGGCTGAGGAGCCTGGTTGGCATACTTGTCAAAGATGGTATTCAGTGCCACTTCAACAGGCTCGGCAGCCGAGTCAAGCTTCTGCTTTTCCTGGCCGTACTTGGTGAGATTGGCCAGTTTGTCGAGGAGCGCATCCTTCAATCTGCGCAACTTGTCCAGGTAGCTCTCGGTGTCGGCCTTGGTCTTCTCGAGCTCCTTGCGTTGCTCGGGGCTGAGGTCGTCGCTGGCGAGAAGTTGGTTGATCTCGAGCAGCTTCGCCTCCAGCTGGCCAATATCCGAATCGGCAGCCTGTTCGCGCTTCTGCAGTTCGTCTTGATCGTCCTGCGGTGGCTCGTCGGCGCGTTGCAAAGCGACCATCGTATCTGGGGTCACCTTGATCTCGAGGAGCTTGGCTTCGACTCGAGCTGCCTTCTCATCGGCGGCCATCTGGTCGTCCAGTTGTTTCTGGGCATCGGCCAGCAGCTCTTGAGCCTTGGCTTGAAGTTCGTTGGCGGCCTGAAGCTGAGGCTCGACTCCCGGGGTGGAGGCGGCTTGGTTGTTGACTTGTGCGAGGGCTGGTAGCACCTCGTTCTCCAGCTTGGCCACCACTTCCTTGAGTGCGTCGGTGGTTGGTGCGACGGATTGTTCCTTGCCCTTCTTTCCCTTCTTCTTGGGATGGGCGAGCTTGTCGGCTTCGTCGAGATTCTTGCGAATGTCGTCAAGAGCGGCTCCAAGGTGGGCCACATCGGCATCGTGCTTGTCCTTGCGGGCCTTCAGCTCTGCGATCTTGTCGAGCTGTGCCTGGACTTGTGGCGGCACTTGGTCGGCTCCAGCAGGCTTCAGAGACTCGAGCTGCTTCTCGATAGCGTCCAGTTGTTCAACAGACACATTGTCGAGTGGGAGCTGCTCGACTTGCTCCAGCTGCAGGTTGAGAACCAGCAGCAATCGCTCGTTGTCAGCCTCGTTGGCATTCTGCTTGGCCTTATCGAGGGCCGCTTCGACGGCATTCAACTTCTCCTCGAGGGGATAAACGGGGGACTCGGCGAGGACACGGTGGCGTGTGTCGTTAGCCTTGGCCATCTTGTCCTTCAGCAAGTCAAGCTGAGCCTTCAGTGCCGGAAGTTCTTGTTCGGCAAGGGCGTTCAAGCTGTTCACATCGTTGACTTGTGGGATATCAGCAAGAAGACGGTTCAGTTCGTCGTCCAATTGCTTGGTGGAATCGGCGCACACCTGTTCATCCTCGATCTCGGCGTGTAGCTCGGCGAGGTAATCGTCGATATGGGCGACCTTCTGGTCGATGTCAGCATCCAAGAATCGCACATCGGCGTAGGCACTCTCGAGCGGGTCGAGTAGCTCGGAGAGTCGCTGCAGCTCTCGGGCAGCTTCCTTTAGCTTTTCCACATCTTGATCCTTCAAACGTTTTGCTTCTTCCAGATCGGCCTTGGCGGCAGCGAGATGTTCGGGCTGCTTGGCTTGAAGGGCGTCAAGATGGGCTCCGATGTTTTCAAGAAGCTGATCAGCATTGTCGCGAGCAGCCACGAATTCATTCCAGTAAGTGTTTCGGTCGTCGAGTACTGGTAGGAGGGCTTCGGCCGCATCGATGGTTGTGGCCAACGAGGCGGTATGCTCATCTTGGGCTGGGGCGCTGGCGAGCAGGTTACGAGCAACGGAAAGTTGTTCACGCATTTCGGCGGCCGTCGGCTCGTAGCTGCTTGGAAGGGCTTCTGGGTCGCGTACGAGGCGGTTAGCTTCGTCCACGAGTTCGGCCAGACGGTTTCCGGCTCCTTCAGCCTTCTTGTGCAAATCCTCGAGGGCATCGGCTCGGTCTTGGAGCGCGATGTTGGCCGTGTTGATGGCTTCGGTGGCCTTTTCGAGACGCTCGAGGGTGGCAACGGCCAGCTTCTGACCTTCAGGCGTTTCCGCTTCTCCGAGTGCCTTGATCTTCTCGTAGTCGTTGTTGAGGGCATCAAGCAGTGGGCGGCCTTGTTCGAGTTGGTCGGCTGCCTTGCGGAGCTCATCAACAGAAGCATTCGGGTTTCCTTCGACTTCTTGAGCACGGGCAAGCACCTGATCGATGGCCTGAGCTTGAGCGGCCACATCGTTGGCAAGAGCGACGAGCTCGAGCTTGGCCTGCACGTTCTTCTCCTCATCGTTGAGCAGATTGTCAACGTTGCGGAGTCGATCAGTCAACCCATCGGCATCAACACCTTCTGGTTGTCCGGTGAGGCGAGATGGCTTTTCGGCTTGCTTCCTCTTCAATTCGGCAACACGAGCGATGAGCGGTTCGAGCTCGCTCTTCAGAGCATTCAGCGCAGCCGGGTCAGACAGGTCTCCGGTCTGACGGGCTGCCATCGCGCGGTTCTCAATGTCGGCGACGAGTGGCAGCAGTTGATCGTAGTCGGCTCGGATGGCATCGCCAGCTTGCACTTCATTCGCCAATTCGTCGACGAGGCTGTTCAGGTTCTCTTGTTTCCACTTGAGATCATCCAGCTGGGCGTCAAGATCGGCTTCGCGAGATGGCAGATTGTCGTGCAGCCACTCCTTGGCGGCAGCCACGGAACGTGCCAAATCAGCCAGCTGGGCCTTCACCTCGTCGGCTCGGCTCAAGTCGTCCTTTCCAACGACGAATGGCTGAGGAGCCTGGTTGGCATACTTGTCAAAGATGGTATTCAGTGCCACTTCAACAGGCTCGGCAGCCGAATCGAGCTTCTGCTTTTCCTGGCCGTACTTGGTGAGATTGGCCAGTTTGTCGAGGAGCGCATCCTTCAATCGGCGCAACTTGTCCAGGTAGCTCTCGGTGTCGGCCTTGGTCTTCTCGAGCTCCTTGCGTTGCTCGGGGCTGAGGTCGTCGCTGGCGAGAAGTTGGTTGATCTCGAGCAGCTTCGCCTCGAGCTGGCCAATATCCGAATCGGCAGCCTGATCGCGCTTCTGCAGTTCGTCTTGATCGTCCTGCGGTGGCTCGTCGGCGCGTTGCAAAGCGACCATCGTATCTGGGGTCACCTTGATCTCGAGGAGCTTGGCTTCGACTCGAGCTGCCTTCTCATCGGCGGCCATCTGGTCGTCCAGTTGTTTCTGGGCATCAGCCAGCAGCTCTTGAGCCTTGGCTTGAAGTTCGTTGGCGGCCTGAAGCTGGGGCTCGACTCCAGGGGTGGAGGCGGCTTGGTTGTTGACTTGTGCGAGGGCTGGTAGCACCTCGTTCTCCAGCTTGGCCACCACTTCCTTGAGTGCGTCGGTGGTTGGTGCGACGGATTGTTCCTTGCCCTTCTTTCCCTTCTTCTTGGGATGGGCGAGCTTGTCGGCTTCGTCGAGATTCTTGCGAATCTCGTCAAGAGCGGCTCCAAGGTGGGCCACATCGGCATCGTGCTTGTCCTTGCGGGCCTTCAGCTCTGCGATCTTGTCGAGCTGCGCCTGGACTTGTGGCGGCACTTGGTCGGCTCCAGCAGGCTTCAGAGACTCGAGCTGCTTCTCGATAGCGTCCAGTTGTTCAACAGACACATTGTCGAGTGGGAGCTGCTCGACTTGCTCCAGCTGCAGGTTGAGAACCAGCAGCAATCGCTCGTTGTCAGCCTCGTTGGCATTCTGCTTGGCCTTATCGAGGGCCGCTTCGACGGCATTCAACTTCTCCTCGAGGGGATAAACGGGGGACTCGGCGAGGACACGGTGGCGTGTGTCGTTAGCCTTGGCCATCTTGTCCTTCAGCAAGTCAAGCTGAGCCTTCAGTGCCGGAAGTTCTTGTTCGGCAAGGGCGTTCAAGCTGTTCACATCGTTGACTTGTGGGATATCAGCAAGAAGACGGTTCAGTTCGTCGTCCAATTGCTTGGTGGAATCGGCGCACACCTGTTCATCCTCGATCTCGGCGTGGAGCTCGGCCAGGTAGTCGTCGATATGGGCGACCTTCTGGTCGATGTCAGCATCCAAGAATCGCACATCGGCGTAGGCGCTCTCGAGCGGGTCGAGTAGCTCGGAGAGTCGCTGCAGCTCTCGGGCAGCTTCCTTTAGCCGTTCCACATCTTGATCCTTCAAACGTTTTGCTTCTTCCAGATCGGCCTTGGCAGCAGCGAGATGTTCGGGCTGCTTGGCTTGGAGGGCATCAAGATGGGCTCCGATGTTCTCGAGAAGCTGATCAGCGTTGTCGCGAGCAGCCACGAATTCATTCCAGTAAGTGTTTCGGTCGTCGAGTACTGGAAGGAGGGCTTCGGCCGCATCGATGGTTGTTGCCAACGAGGCGGTATGCTCATCTTGGGCTGGGGCGCTGGCGAGCAGGTTACGAGCAACGGAAAGTTGTTCACGCATTTCGGCGGCCGTCGGCTCATAGCTGCTTGGAAGGGCTTCTGGGTCGCGTACGAGGCGGTTAGCTTCGTCCACGAGCTCGGCCAGACGGTTTCCGGCTCCTTCAGCCTTCTTGTGCAAATCCTCGAGGGCATCGGCTCGGTCTTGGAGCGCGATGTTGGCCGTGTTGATGGCTTCGGTGGCCTTTTCGAGACGCTCGAGGGTGGCAACGGCCAGCTTCTGGCCTTCAGGCGTTTCCGCTTCTCCGAGAGCCTTGATCTTCTCGTAGTCGTTGTTGAGAGCATCAAGCAGAGGACGGCCTTGTTCGAGTTGATCGGCTGCCTTGCGGAGCTCATCAACAGAAGCATTCGGGTTTCCTTCGACTTCTTGAGCACGGGCAAGCACCTGATCGATGGCCTGAGCTTGAGCGGCCACATCGTTGGCAAGAGCGACAAGCTCAAGCTTGGCCTGCACGTTCTTCTCCTCGTCGTTGAGCAGATTGTCAACGTTGCGGAGTCGATCAGTCAGCCCATCGACATCGACGCCTTCTGGTTGTCCGGTGAGGCGAGATGGCTTTTCGGCCTGCTTCCTCTTCAATTCGGCGACACGAGCGAGTAGTGGCTCGAGTTCGCTCTTCAGAGCATTCAGCGCAGCCGGATCGGACAGATCTCCGGTCTGACGAGCTGCCATCGCCCTGTTCTCAATGTCGGCGACCAAGGGCAGCAATTGATCGTAGTCAGCTCGGATGGCATCGCCAGCTTGCACTTCGTTGGCCAATTCGTCGACGAGGCTGTTCAGGTTCTCTTGTTTCCACTTGAGATCATCCAGCTGGGCGTCAAGGTCGGCTTCGCGAGATGGCAGATTGTCGTGCAACCACTCCTTGGCGGCAGCCACGGATCGTGCCAAATCAGCCAGCTGTGACTTCACCTCGTCGGCTCGGCTCAAGTCGTCCTTTCCGACGACGAATGGCTGAGGAGCCTGGTTGGCATACTTGTCAAAGATGGTGTTCAGCGCCACTTCAACAGGCTCGGCAGCCGAGTCAAGCTTCTGCTTCTCCTGACCGTACTTGGTGAGATTGGCCAGTTTGTCGAGGAGCGCATCCTTCAATCTGCGCAACTTGTCCAGGTAGCTCTCGGTGTCGGCCTTGGTCTTCTCGAGCTCCTTGCGTTGCTCGGGGCTGAGGTCGTCGCTGGCGAGAAGTTGGTTGATCTCGAGCAGCTTCGCCTCCAGCTGACCAATATCCGAATCGGCAGCCTGTTCGCGCTTCTGCAGTTCGTCTTGATCGTCCTGCGGTGGCTCGTCGGCGCGCTGCAAAGCGACCATGGTATCTGGGGTCACCTTGATCTCGAGGAGTTTGGCTTCGACTCGAGCGGCCTTCTCATCGGCGGCCATCTGGTCGTCCAGTTGTTTCTGGGCATCAGCCAGCAGCTCTTGAGCCTTGGTTTGAAGTTCGTTGGCAGCCTGAAGCTGGGGCTCGACTCCAGGGGTGGAGGCGGCTTGGTTGTTGACTTGTGCGAGGGCTGGTAGCGCCTCGTTCTCCAGCTTGGCCACCACTTCCTTGAGCGCATCGGTGGTTGGTGCGACGGCTTGTTCCTTGCCCTTCTTTCCCTTCTTCTTGGGATGGGCGAGCTTGTCGGCTTCGTCGAGATTCTTGCGAATGTCGTCAAGAACGACTTCAAGTTGCGCGACATCGGCTTGCTGTTGAGGCGATACTTCGATTCCAGAGGGTTGTTGTCCTCCGTATGATAACTCCTCGGTTGGCGCTTGGTCTGCGGGTCCTTGTACTGGTGCTTCGCCGCCAACATCCACGACATGCATGTCTCTGAGTTCGGACAGCTTATCCAGCTGAGCTACCAGATCGTTCGGTGCTTCGGAATAATCAGTCGGAAGTAGGGATCGGAGTTCGCGCTCTAGCGTTTCGAACTTTTCGACCTGCTCATCGAGTGGTAGTTCCTGAGCCCTAGCAAGTTCATAGGCGATCTCAGAGACGCGGGCTTTGCTGCTGTCGTCGGCAGGATGTTCCTCCACTGGCATTGGTGGTGCCGAAGGCCCTGGGTGTGCCGGTTGGATTAGGAGGTCTCCGTACGATAGTTCGCTGGGATGAGGTTCTTGAGGTTGGAGCGGAAGTTCGGATTGTGGTGCACCAAGTTGTTCCCTGGCATCCGCCAGCAATTCCTGAGCCTTGCCGAGGTATGCGTGAGCTTGCGGATGCCCGGTTTGAGCGTGGAGTTCGGCGAGCTTGGGCAGCAAGCTTTCTTCAAGGCGCGTGACGGCATCTTCCAGAGCCTCCCTGGTTGGGGTGGCTGGTTGCAGCTTTCCCTTCTTGTTCTTCTTCTTCGGGTGAGCCAGTTGATCAACTTCATCAAGTTCCTCCTTGATCGTGTCGAGAGTACGGCGGACTTGCGCAGGATCTACGGTAAAATCGGGAAGCACGTGCTCTTCTTGCTTCTTGTCCTCGGGCACTTCCACAGGCTCTGCAGAGCCTGCCGGGGGTATCTCGATTTCTTCAGACACCACCGGTCGGTGTAGGGCTTCTTCAAGATTGGCTTCGATTGCTTTCAGCCGATTGCGCAATTCATTGATGTTAGCCGGCATCTTCTCAACATCCCATCCAACTTCTTGGGCAGCTTCTTGCAATTGCTCCAGATTCGAGATATCAACTACAAGTGCTGGCACCCGGCTGCGCAGTTCATCTACCGCTTCTGGGGTGGGATGTGTCAAGGCAGATGTGCTGGCCTCGAGGTTTTCGATCTGCGGCATCAACGCCTCGTACTCCTTGATGACCTCCATATACAGGCCCATCCGATCGTTGAGCGCCTTGAATTTGCGCTTTTTCTCCTCGACCGAGTCGGTGGAGAGTCGGGGCCGATCGGAAATGGACTGGGGCTCTTCATCGGGCTGGGAGGTGGACGGTTCAGCTTGTTTATCTAGGGGACTTTCACCGGCAACGGACGTGGCCGGTTCTATTAGTGTTCCTTTTGCCTCCTCATATGAGAGTTCCGATATATCTCCCGTTTTTTCAGGCTCGAAAGACGGAAGCTGACTCTTCGCCTCATCAAGCAGTTGCTCGGCCTTCTGGAGCAATGTTGCAACTTCCGGGTGGGCTTCCTCGGCCTCGATGCTGGATAAAGCAGGTATCACATTTGTCTCAAGCCTGTCAACCGCTTCTTTCAGCGCATCGGCCGTTGGACTGACCGGTTGCGCCTTGCCCTTCTTGCCCTTCTTCGTCGGATGGGCCAGCCTGTCCACCTCGTCAAGCTCTTCCTGGATGGTGTCGAGCGTTCTTCGGACCTGCTCAGGATCTTTGACAGGTACCGCTGATTCGGACGGGCCGGGCTCTGACTCAACCACGACTTGAATCGGGGTTGGCTTCTCTGCTTCTTTCGTTTCCGGTTCTTCCGTATCGATCTCGATCTTTGTTCCCTGGCCTGTTTGTACAACTTCGGGTTCCGAGACCGTCGCTACAGGTGGAATCGGTTTTCCTTCTCCTTCTTCATAGGCCAACTCTCCTATCGTTTCTGGTTCCGAAGCCGGGAGCTGACTCTTCGCTTCGTTCAGCAGTTTCTTAGCCTTATCATACAATGCAGTCGCTTGAGGAGCTTGTTGTGCGTCGAGGCTGCTAAGCGCGGGTAGTACCTTTGTCTCCAGGCGCTCGACGACTTCCTTGAGGGCATCTGCAGTTGGTGTTACTGTTTGGGTCTTGCCCTTCTTGCCCTTCTTCGTCGGGTGCGCCAACTTATCAACTTCTTCGAGTTCTTCGGCAATCGTTTCCAGAACCCGCCGGACCTGGTCAGATCCTTCGACAGGTACCTCTGCCTCTGAGGGTCCAGGGGCTGGCTCGATAATGACCGGAATCGTCGAGGGCACCTGAGCTTCATTGGTTACGGGTTGTGTCGTAGGGATCGTGACCTCGGCTCCTTCCACGCTCGTTGGGTGAGCTTCCGAGACGGTCGCAACAGGTTCTGACGATTTCTCTTCAGTCTTCGAGGCGGGAAGCTGGCTTTTGGCTTCAGCAATCAATTTCTCAGCCTTCTCCCGCAGCAGATAGGTCTGCGGATTGCTTTGCTGTGCCTCGATGCTGCTAAGCGCGGGTAGAACCTTGGTCTCTAAGCGCTCAACGACCTCCTTCAGCGCTTCTTCAGTTGGGGCCACTGGTTGGGACTTGCCCTTCTTGCCCTTCTTCGTTGGGTGCGCCAACTTATCAACTTCTTCGAGCTCTTCTTGAATAGTTTCGAGAACCCGCTGGACTTGTTGAGCATCCTGGGCCGGTTCTTGAGGGGCTTCTGACTTCTCGATTGACACGCCAGTGGGTTCTTCTTCCTTACCGAGCGCAGTAGTAGCCTCAGATTTGGATGGCTGAATCTGGATATCTCCATAGGACAACTCCAAAGGCCCAGTTTCTGAAAGGCTCGGCTCTGGAGCAGCTGGGAGCTGCTTTCTGGCTTCATCCAACAAAGCTCGTGCCTTCCAATCAAGATCCTTGACGGCCTGCAGCTGGGGCTCGACTCCAGTGGTGGAGGCGGCTTGGTTGTTGACTTGTGCAAGGGCTGGTAGAACCTCATTCTCCAGCTTGGCCACCACTTCCTCGAGTGCGTCGGTGGTTGGTGCGACGGCTTGTTCCTTGCCCTTCTTGCCCTTCTTCGTGGGATGGGCGAGCTTGTCAGCTTCGTCGAGATTCTTGCGAATGTCGTCAAGAGCGGCTCCAAGTTGGGCCACATCGGCGTCGTGCTTGTCCTTGCGGGTCTTGAGCTCTGCGATTTGGTCGAGCTGTGCCTGGATTTGTGGTGAGAATTGATCCGCTCCGGCGGGCTTCAGCGACTCGAGCTGCTGCTCGAGGGCTTCAAGCTCTTCGATGGGAACGTTTTCGAGGCGATCTGCTCGGTCGATGATGATTTGAGCAGCTTCCAGAGTTTTGTACAATTCCTCAGTTGAAGGTTTTGATGGAATCACCACGGAAGCATCATCTGCGGGCTTGCCTTCATCATAGATTTCGGTGGTACCATGAGCATATGTGGCCTCGGGTTCTCCGCTGAGCGGCTGTTCGCCTTCAAGAGGGTGAGAGGTCGATGGCGCAGAAGAACCGGACGGTGGTTGATCTTCTTCATCGGGTTTCTCTGGCTCTGGCCCTTCAATCCTGATCTCAGGGATCGATGGGCTCCTCTCAGTCTTTCCGGGGACCGTCAGGGAGAGTTCTTGTTGCAGCTTCAGCTTCTGCTCAATGAGCGCCTCCGCTTGTTCGCGATCCAGGCTTTCGAGGTTGATGTTCTGAATGGCGTCGAGTTCACGTTGCAATACCTCAGGGTCACGGCTAGAGCTCCTTTGGGGCTCGTGGTACGGTAGTTCGTGAACGTCAGGCAACACGTGGGCGGGCGACTTCTGCATTGCTTCTTCGAGCTGTCGCTTTTGGTCATCGTCGATGGTCTCCCAACCTACGGCTGTCCTTAGAAGATCCTCATCTTCTTCATCCTCCTTCGCCAACAGTTCGGCGAGATCTGCCTGTTTACCACGCTCATCAATCATGCGCGCGATCTTCAGCCGTAATGCCTCGACCTCGGCGTTTGGCTTCATCTGCCGTACCTCGGCTTGCAGCGCCTGAAGGCTATCAACATCGAGGTGTTCCAGCGGCATCGCCTCCAGCTCGGCCACCTTGCGTTGTAGGTAGTTGAACAGAATTCGTTCCTGCTCATCCAACGGTGGTCCTTCTTGGATGAACTTCTGGGTCTTCAGCGCGTTCAGCTTTTCCTTGAGCTTGTCGGTCTCCGCGCTCTTTGGCAGGGTGTCGAGGTTGTACTTCAAGTCGTCGATCTCGGCCCAGGTGATCTGGTCGAGCGGCAATTGCTTGAGTTCGTCCACCTTGCTGATGAGATATGTGATGAGGGACTGCTCCTCGCGGCCAATGTCTTCGGGATCACGACCTTCTTGATCTTTTCTGACCATCACCCGCTCGAGCCTCATCTTCATCTGCTCAAGCTCAGGGCTGGCTGGAAGGGAACCGAGCTCGTTCTCCAATTGCTCGAGGTTTTCGGGGGAGATTTGATCAAGTGGCATGTTCTCGATGTCGGCCACTCGGCGAGATAGATAGTCCATGAGCAGCTTCTCTTCCTGCTGCACATCGCCCGGCTCGATCATTTCGAACTCGGACTCCGGAGATATTCTCGGAGATCTTCGGTCTGGGGTCTCTTGGAGCAGCTCTTCTACCGTATGTGGAACGCGAGGCGATGGAGTCCTGACCTCCGTAGGCGCTGAAGTCGTGGGCTGTTGCTCCTCAACCTTAGAGGGCTGGATGACGATATCACCGTAGGACAGCTCAGAAGGCTCGCCAAGTTCCGACGGGATAGGTTCTTGGGGTGCTGGAAGCTGTCTTTTGGCCTCCTCCAACAAGGCGCGAGCCTTCCAATCAAGATCCTTGGCAGCCTGAAGCTGGGGCTCGACTCCAGGGGTGGAGGCGGCTTGATTGTTGACTTGTGCGAGGGCTGGTAGCACCTCGTTCTCCAGCCTGGCCACCACTTCCTTGAGTGCGTCGGTGGTTGGTGCGACGGCTTGTTCCTTGCCCTTCTTTCCCTTCTTCGTGGGATGGGCGAGCTTGTCGGCTTCGTCGAGATTCTTGCGAATGTCGTCAAGAGCGGCTCCAAGGTGGGCGACATCGGCGTGGTGCTTGTCCTTGCGGGCCTTCAGCTCTGCGATCTTGTCGAGCTGTGCCTGGACTAGCGGCACTTGATCGTCTCCGGCAGGCTTCAACGACTTGAGCTGCTTCTCGATAGCGTCCAGCTGTTCGACGGGGACGTTTTCGAGGCGATCCGCTTGTTCAATGGTGGATTGCACCATTTCGAGTGTTTTCTGGAGCTCCTCAGTTGGTGTGGCTCTAGTAGGGGCTGCTTCCTCGGCAGCTGGGATAGCAACGAAACCATCATCAGCCGTGCTTGTCGAGGGCTGTTGCCCAACTGTTGCCGGCACCACTTCAAACCCGTCCTCGTCGATGACGCGGGGTGAAGTAGGTTCGAAAGCTGCAGCGAGGGCCTCTTCCGTTTTCTAAAAGGGGCGGGTTAGTCGCGGATTAGGAGTTGAGTAAGTTACTTACCTCCAGCTTGGCAATGATGTTTGAGATGTTTTCCTCATAGATTCTGGTGTCCTTGACCTCGTCGTGTGGTTTTTGTACATTGGCAAGGACAAATGTCAGCTCGTGCCGGATGCGCTATAAAAAGTATTGATTGCAAGCCAACACATACCTCCATCTCGGGCAAATTGTATTGGGCAGCTGCCTCCTCGGCGGCCTTCTGGAGCTCGACAGCCTTCAGGAGGAGCTCATCCAAATGGCGCGTATCTTCTGCCGGTTTGTTCATCTCTTCCTTCAGCTCCTCGAGTCGTTCCTTGATCTCGGAGATCGGGGGGATGGACTCCTCTTCGTAGCGCAGGATGCGTTCTTCGACCACCTGAAAGATCAAGAAGTTCAGAAGAAAGTATCTTGTCTTACTTGGATAATCGTGGTGACCGTGTTGGTGACCATGACAAGCACCTTCTTCTTCCGCTTCGACGGAGTAGTCGGTCGACTGGCCGAGTCGAGCTCGCACTCGACAAACCGGCGAGGCAAATGGCAGAGGCCGCGCAGCAGGTTCATCTCCAGCTGCAGCTTCTCCAGCTCCTCCCGAACGTCAAGTTGCCCCACGGATCGGGATTGAACCTGTTGAACATGTTGCTAGAACTGTGGCTGGGACTTACGATCTCTTCCAATGTATGCAGCTCGCTCATAATCGTCTTGTGTTTGTCCACGAGAGCCGCCTCCTCGGAGAGCTCTTTCTCCATCTGGGAGACGGCCTGTTGTACGAACTCGCGCAGCGCGTTCAGCTTCTGCCTTCCCGCCTCGAAGGCAGCGAGCTGTTGGTTGTCGAGGTTGCGCTCGACCTCGTAGTTTGTCGCCTCGACCGTGTCGATCCATCGTAAAATTCCCTGGAATTCACATATAATTTTTACGCCCATCTACCCACCTTCAAATTCTCGTAATCGACGTTGACGAACACGGACGGGCGCGTGAGGTCGCTGTACATCTTGGTGACGTCTTGTGCGTAGGCCGTTACTCGGTCCACCTAAGAATTGATGAACTTCTTGAAAACGATGGGTACTCGTACCTCTCCTTCAAAGTTGTCGACAAACTGCTGACTCGTTGCGGAGGGGAGGATCTCGACAGGGAGCACGACATCCCTCACGACCACCATCTGACGCTCCGGCGACTCGGAGTTGCTCGACGAGATTGAGAGCTGCGAGCAGACGGACGTGCTGGGCAGGTTAGTCTGCACGTGCAGCGGCAAGGGGCTGCTTTCAGGGATGCTGTGGCCGGAGAGCCGGGTGACGATCATTCGGTATCTGAAGGTACGTGCTACAAACTGGTAGAATATCTCGTACCTAGCGCAGAGTTCGTCAATGACCGTCCTGTCGTGTACGTTCAGCTCTTGGAGTCGTCGTACCAGCTTCTGCTGGCTTTCGGCGCTGTCGCGGAGTTGACGTAGTTTCTGAAGAGTTTTTGAGTACACCTTGAAAAACCTCACCTGTGTCCTGAGAGCCGGATCTTGATCCCGGGTCTCTTCCACCGTATCCAAGTCGGTCTCGACAGCCGTCAGCCACTCGGCGAAGGGTCCGAGCTTGGCTAGCAGTCGCTCTTCGCGATGTCGCTGTCGCTGCGACTCGTGCAGGTACTTGGCGATACGGCCGTCCAGCGAGAACGCCTAAAGGGGTTTAAGGTTCGACTGTGTGGCTTAGGCTTAGGGTTAGGCTTACTAATAGGCTTGGACCCACCTTTCGCTCAAGATCGGCAAATTCGGGCTTGAGCTTGAGGCGCAACTCGGCGCCGACCGTCTTCTCGACCTCGCTGACGTCCAGCTTCCACTTGGTCCACTCGGTGTCGTTGAGGAGTTGGACCTAAGAGATCGGCTTCTTTCTATAGATTAGGTTGTACTTACCTGTTCGGTGTTTCCGCCTGCGATAAGCGCACCAAAGTGGCGCTCGAACTCAAGGAAGCGCGCGTTGAGCAAGTCGAGGTAGACGCGGATCACGGTGATGATCAGTACGCGTCTGGAACGGGGTTGTTGGTGTTGGGCGTTAGGGAATGGGTGTACCTGGTGTTGTCACGTTCGGTCATCCGTCTCCTCAGCTCGAGGAGGGAGTCCCGGGGCACGCCGTCCTCGCTCGTCACCGAATCGAGGTCTTCGAGAAGGCGCGCCTCACGTGATTCTTCTTCTGAAAGGAGCGACGTTGGGAGTAGAGAGTGAGCGAGAGAGAGAGAGAGAGAGAGAGAGAGCACGAGATAACTAGAGGACAAGCTGTATCCAGAGCAGCTACCTTTCATCTCGAGGATGAGTGGCAATGCCTGGGTGGGGTCGGATGCCCTTGCCGTGGCCGTCCTCTGATCCAGAAGAGGTCGGCTCAATACATCTTGCACGGCAGTCACCACAGCGAACGTCTCGGGCTCCGCCAGCTGCAAAAAAGATTGAGCTTCAGCTGGTGCTCGTTAGGGCCATCAGAAGCCGATAATTCACACCCACCTCGCCGAGATGTCGCCGTCGGTATGTTCGGATGATGTGCATGACGGAGAGGTCTTGGACAATCATGTCGGCGGCCGACTGCATTTGGCACAGCAGTTCGGCGCGACGTTCCAAATCTTCGCATGCTTCGTTCGTCTAAAAGGGCATGGAATTATGATTACGTCTGATAAGCTACGCGACACAACGCTAGACTTTCCTCCTGTTACGTTATGCTACGCGACATTACGTTGTTGTACGCAGCTACGTTATGATGCTGGATCCTTACGCGGCATGACGCTATGCTACGCGGCACTACGTTGTCATGCCCTATAAGAGGTTGTGTTATCCTATATTACGTTGTGCTACGCTACACTACGTTATTCAACGCTATGATATGCTGCGGTGGTCGCTACTACGTTATGTTACGCGAGACTACACTAACCGATAGTAGGCTGCAGTACCATAGATTACACGACGTTAGGTTATGTGATCCTACATTCCGTTACGCTACGCGACACTACATAGCTCAAGGTTACCGGATTCTATATTTCGTTACGCTACGTTACGCTACGCTACGCGATTCCATGCGTATCTACCTAACCCAAACTCACTTGTCGTAAAACTTGTTCGTGCGTGGGTTCCGGTTGTTCGTGGCTGGAGGTGGCGTTTTGGTGGGGTTCTTGCTCGGCGGCGGCCACGAATTCCGTGACGGCCGTGAGGAAGGCCCTTCGCCGCTGCATCAGCTCGACCAGCTTTTCGAGGTCGAAGATCAGCAGCGACAGCCTGAACGAGGGGTTGTAGGGTGGCTGGCAAGCTGGCAGAAGTTCTTTGGGGACCAGGGCCACGGCTGAGATCGTGACTTACTTTTCGTTGACACGATCAAATTCGAGTTGAAAGAATGAGCCGTGGATGGCGGCGACCTCCCGCCGAAGTGCCGTCGCGTCCCGTCTCCATTCTGTGGCCCGCGAGAGTTGGGCCACCACCTCTTCGGTCACCGCCGAGACCTGAAAACGTTGTTGCTGCGAATCTATCCCCATCCAGGTTCACCACCCCTTTAAAGGGACTGTGACAACTTATTTACGGCCGTAATCAGTTGTCTAACAACGGGCATTTCTCGATTTTTATGGTGTAATGGGTTTTCTATAGATATTTCATTTTTTTAATTTTGCCGTCCAAACTCTAAATCTTTCTCTGGAATTCCACAAATTCCAAAGACCCCATATTTCTCCCAAACATCCCAGTAAACATGGCCATATTTCGCGTGCCGTTCCTACCCCCATATCCCTTGCCCTTTTTCACAAGAGGTGCCGATTGTCAAAAGGGGATTTTTCTGATTTGACGTGACAGCTGGGGGCAAAGGTTTTTAATAGAAAACGAGGGAGAAAGACAGCGAGAAAGAAAGCGAGAGAGAGAGTAGAGGGAGAGAGAGAGAGAGAGGGAGAGGGAGAGAGAAGCTAGCAAAAGTCCTTTGGGAATCTTGAGAATTTTCAAGGGTATCTAGAAAAGTTCTATAGGGAAAGAGAGAGATAGAGAGACAGAGAGTGTGAGAGAGAGAGTGAGTGAGAGAGAGCGAGAGAGAGCAGAAAAGCAGATTAGGTAGACTAGCAAAGTATTTTCGGGATTTTTTCAGATCTTGCCAGCGAAAGACTAGCTAGCATAGTTTCTTTGTGGAAAAAATCTGGCGCAGGGAGAGGAAGAGAGATATTACAATAAAGATTTCTTGGAATTAGCTATTTTTTATAACCCTTACCTGAGAGAGGCTGATAATGTTCCATTTGTCGTTTTGTACTCGCAAAAATTTGACCGTGTCGTAAAAGGTTTGGAGTCGCCTGGAAAATGTGATTTTTAACCGAGATTTTGTAATTTTGGCATTTTAAAGGGCCCTTGAAGGCAAGCTCACACCCTACCTAAAGAGCTCCATTTTGTAGGCGAGGGTTGTTCGGGTTTCGTCGAGTGTCCGCGTGAGTCGGGCCCCGAATCGCCCTCTCTCCAAATCGCCAACCTCCTGAAAAAAAGAGAGATTAGATGATATAAATAAAAATCAAGATAGGATTGTCTCGGAATGTTTTAAATAATCGATCGATAATAGCCGTATCGATTGGAAAAAAGCGCGGAAAATGACGATGGAGGGAATTTGACATAAAAGGGTATAGACGGCTTGTCAAGGTGTAAATAGGTCTTATCAGTACTCAAAGGTGGTCAGCACCGACCGGAACAAGCGTCAGGATGGGTCATTTTAACTCGGGGATGGAATTTCGGATTTGATCGTTTCGAATTCACGTGCAGCTTTTCTCTCTCTCTCTCTCTCTCTCTCTCTCTCTTTCTCTCGTCTATCTCGTCTGTCGAGCTCGGCTTATAACTGTTTTTTTCAGCAGTACGACGATATGGTCAAATTCGGCTACGAAATGACGACGAGGATTCGGACTACATGAAGTCAGGTATAACTCTCTCTCTCTCTCTCTCTCTCTCTCTCTCTCTCTTTCTCTCTCTTTCTATCTAGCTCTCTCTCACCTAGCCGTAGCCATTTTTAGGTTTTGTTTGGCATTTCGAATCTAGGCCTTTCCTCCCCCAATAAATCGCCGCATTTACTTGGTGATTCGAAAGTGGGAGAGCTAGAGAGAGAGAGAGAGAGAGAGAGAGAGAGAGAGAGACGGAAAGTCAGTGATAAAGTGAGAGTGACTGGTCCCAACAGCTGGCTTCAAGGGTGAATGGCCCCTGGGTAGGGGGGATGGCTTGAGAAAACAATGCACATGTGGCCCATCTGCAAAGTGTGTGCGTGTCTAGAGTATTTGCCGGTAACGAAAAAGTAAAAGAAAATCGATAAGTTGGGTGTTTTTACAGCAGGCTAGCAGAGATTTTTAAGAAAGGGCAGGTTAGCAGAGATTCTTTAGGAAATGGGGTAGGCCAGCAGTGATTCATAGGGAAATCGGAGCTTGCAGAATCGATCGTATGCTAGCAGTTGGAATTTTTGGAATTTTTCTTGAGAGAGAGAGAGAGAGAGAGAGAGAGAGAGAGAGAGATATAACAACAGAAATTCGAAAATCATTTTGTGAGTCAAAAAGCGACGAAAAGCGACCAAAAAAATAAATATACACTTACAGGGCTGGGCGGCGACGCGTGATTCACAAAATTCCCGCTTTTCCCGGGGGTTCTAGCGTTCCTTTAGAGTATTGTAGCGTAGTTTCTATTGCCGACCGGGGTGTACAGAGTATGTTCGTGTACACACGTAAGCAGGCAGGTAGTGTTAGAATGGGGAATGGCTATGTTCAGTTGCCAGTCAAAGGCTGCGATGGGGGATGAGAAGCCGACATGCCCTAGGGGCACATGCACACAGTCACAGGTGACACCCCCGAAGTGGAGCCCAAAGGCTTTTCCGCTTTTTTTACTGACGAAATTCGGGCCACCCAGCTGTCCAGAGGATCGGTTTGCACCGGGGGGTTGAGTCGGTGGAGAATTTGGGGGTTAAGGGCAGGTTTAACAAGTTTTGAAAACCTGGGCGGGAGAGGTGAGGCAGGCTAGCACAGATCTTTAGGACTTTTTGGTTTTTAAAAGGCATAGTAAGTGTAGAAAAATTTCGATAGCGTCAGTCAGAGAGCGAGAGAGACAGAGAGCCAGAAAGATAGAGAGATCCAGAGAGAAACAGAGAGAAACAGAGAGAGACAGAGAGAGACAGAGAGAGAGACAGAGAGAGAGAGAGAGGGGGGGAGTGCACGGAGAAATATACAATAGCAATAAGCAGACTAGGTAGGTTAACAGAGTTCCTTTGGGATTTTTACCGGATTTTTTCAGGAAAGCGCTAGCTAGCAAAAGTTCTTTGCGGAAAAAATCTGAGTCAGTGAGAGCGTCAGAGCGAGAGAGAGAGAGAGAGAGAGAGAGAGAGAGAGAGAGAGAGAGAGAGGAGAGAGAAAGAGATATAGATAGAGAGAGAGAGCCAGAGAGAGAGAGAGAGAGAGAGAGAGAGAGAGAGGGAAGAGATATAGATAGAGAGAGAGTGAGAGAGAGATCGATATCTAGCAAAATCCATCCTGAACTCACTGTCTATTGTCGTGTCGCGTACTATTGAGTATCGACTAGCCGCCCTGTCAATAGGACTGGGGCGGAATATGTATGAATGTAGCAGGGTTGGGGGAATATCAATGAATTCCTCGCGGATCTAGCGCGTTAAAGGGCCATTGAAGTCAGCGGGAACATTACTGTAGCCATTTTATGGGTAACTTATTGAATTATCGTAATCCAAGTTCCGCTATCGCTTGGGGTTACGGTAGCTTGAGAATACGGTAGCTTAAGAATCTGATAGTAGGTATTTAGGTACCGTACTCGTTGAATACAGTAGCTAGGCAGTAGACTACCGTAGTATTAGGCTACGGTAGTTCTGAATTTCGCTTTAAAGGGGCGGTGAGGCTCGAATCGAATCGATCGCGTTCGATTCGTGTCGAAGGGGGAGATTCGAGGGAATGGCATCAGACGGGGTTCCTCGCCACTCGCCTGCGCTTAGCTTTTTTCGTTTTGAGATCTTGGCGAGAGAAAGAGCAGAGAGAGGCAGAGAGAGAGAGAGAGAGAGAGAGAGAGAGAGAGAGAGAGAAATAGAGAGATAATGAGCAAACTCGACATCACAGGCCCGCGCCGCCGCACGTCTACATTGTTTGCCCGGGACTCGTTGGACAACATGGAAAAGGGCCGAGTTAAAGGGACCGGGAAGGCAGCGAGGGAAGGCAGGCTAGCAGCGGCTATTTGGGGAATTGATCCTAACGTGCTTACTCAAATTCTGAAAAATATGGCCTTTGGTTACTCAAAAATTTCACTGAACTTGACGCCGATGACGTGTACTCCTTCTACACGACGAAGAAACAAGTCAAAAAATAGCCCCCGTAAAACTAACCCCAAACTTGGGTAATTGAACCGCCGCTCGTTTTTCCCTTGCCCACGCCCGACTCGCCCCCCATCTGGCCCACTGTCTGGGCATAAGGGTCGGCCCCTCGGTTCAGTCAGCGGAGGTCAGCCGATGCTAACTTGTTGCCGCCGCGCTGGCTCGGAATTTAGCTGATTTTTGCCAAGCTGAAGCTCTGTATCTCTACAGGGCGGAAGCTTATGCAAATTGAAGCAAATAAGCCTCAAGCTAGCATTATTGTTTGGCTTATGGGATTTGAAGCCATCTCTTCATTTTCCGACTTTTAATATTTCAAAGCTAACCACTTTGGAATAAAAAGTCGAGGATCACTTTATTAATTTTTTCAAGTTTTATCCATTTTTAATGGATACTACCTTGGAAAATTAATAGAGTGAACCTTCATAATTTTTGTTCATCTACTATCTTTTTTACAAAGATAGTATTACTACTAGAAAATACTCTATTATACGAAATACTACCTTACAAGTATAGTAATTTTATCATAAAACTCAAAATGAAAGGATAGTAAGGCGGGAAACTTGCAAAAACCCACAAAAATACTCGTATTTTTGGGTTCTAGGAGCCCTGGACATTGGGTGTTCTTCGCATGCTGCCTGCTCGCCACCGACTCGCCACCCGTCTGGCCCACTGTCAGGAGATACCTTCCTGGGAAAACGCGCGTAGTTGGGCTGGCATTTTTGCCGACGCCCTGCAGACCCCTCGGGGGGTTTGAACCTCTGATCCTCAGAGTCACGTCACCAATTCTCTTCGGAGAAACGGGACCACCAGCTTTCATCATTAAAGTTTGGGATTGATCCTGGATTTTTTGAAACTAATTCGAACTTTCTTCTGAATTTTAAATTCAGATGAGAAGTTTAGAACTTAGTAAATTCTCAATTTTTGATAAGATTGTCTCTGAAGACTATCAATAATAGAAGTGGAGTCTCTTTGATACTATTCGATTAATACTGTAGAACACTACTAGTATCTCAAAATAATTGAATCTCTCAAAATCTAGTATCTCAAAATAATTGAATAGTGAGTCCACCGTCCTCCCCGACCTCCAACCCTGCGGTTTTTTCCGAGGTATACTTTCAGCGTGGCCCAGCCGGGTGGCGAGTCGGTGGTGATCAGAGAGCATGCAAAGCACACCCACGGTAACAAGGTTTAATTAAATTTAAAACCGCGAAAACCTTCCTCGGCCCGGAAGCCGCACCTCGAAAATTGTAAAAATCCGCCAGAGCTTCAGCCGTGGGCGCATTAATGGCCTGCCCCTACCAAACAGCCAACATTTGGGGAAAATTCCCCGCCTTTTTGGCCGCATGCTCTTCGGGCAGTTCGGAACCTCCGAAGCTGGCCAAGCAGTTCAGATGCATCCGAAAAGTCTTTCGAGCCGTTCAGAGGTTTCTGAAGCTCTTCAAGCAGTTCAGAGCACTCTGAAGCCTTTCAAGCAGTTCGGAGGAATCCGAAGCTTTTCAAGCAGTTCAGGAAAAGCCGAAGCTTTTCCTTTGCAAGTGCAATGCTTGAAGTGACGTTTTTGAATGGGTGCTTGGCCCATAAAAATTTAGGCTGTACGGGGCCACCGGGTCAGAAGGAACGAGGCGTGAACCGACTGACAAATTGGGGTGGGGAGGGCCAGACTATCTGTCCTGACAGTGGGCCAGATGGGGGGCGAGTCGGGCGGGGGCAAGGGGACAACGGGCGGCGGTTCAGTTACCCAAGTTTGAGGTTAGGTTGGTGGGGAAGTGGTATTTTTTGGTGATTTCTTTTGAAATCAGCTAATCTTCGGCTTCATCGTCGTACGGCTTCGCTTTCGCCGGGCACAGCTAATTCCTGGAAGATTTCTGAGGCAGCTTTGCCTGTTTTTTTAGGAATGATAAAGGACTTTCTTCGTGGTTTGGAATGGGGTTGGATAACCTAGATTTTTAGGGAAGAGAGAGAGCGAGAGAGAGAGAGCGAGAGAGAGAGAGAGAGAGAGAGAGTGAGAGAAAGAGCGATAGAGAGCGTCAGAAATAGAAGCAAAACCTCTGGGCCGGCTAGCAGAGACCATTAGACCCGACTTTCCGGGTCCCAAATCGATTTTAAGTCATAGGGGGTACTTGATCGTCCACTGTTTTTGTGCGTTCGCCACATTCTCGCAGATAAATGAGGGGTTCGGGATTGGGGAAGGGATCGGGGCGTTGATTAATGTTTATTGACGGAGCTGGCAACTGGTGGGCTTGCAAAAGTGTCTGGGCGTCTAGTTTAGAGATTTTCGGTCGAGGAGGCTAGCAGAGATTCTTTAGAAAAAGGCAGGCTAGCAGAAATCATTTGAGCCATCAAAAAACACCTGGAATGTTGCCAGTCGGCGGGTAAAAATAGGTGTAAAAACTGTTAAGTGGCGCCTTTTTGCCAGGTATGCACCGTCCTGCAGAGCTGGCGAGAGAGAGAGAGAGCGAGAGAGAGCGAGAGAGAGCGACGGACTTGAGGACAAAACAAACACACAAAAAGGCAGGGGCTCTGTGCGCGGAAAGGGGGGCGGCGAAACAGGGGGGAAGAAGCGCGGCAAGGTCATCCTAAATTGACCGAGTATCTCGGGTAGGGTGGGCACGCACAAAAAGTGATCGATTCGACGGGGTGGGAGTTGCCAACCTGCACGCAGGGGGATATACAAATAGGTTTAATTTACTAGTAAACAAAAAAACGTAAAAAAATTAATTAATCGCCGCGGGAATCGAACCCGAGTCGTGAGGTTGGTAGGCAAAAGCACTAACCATTAGGCTATTACAAAATCCGCAATTTTTGGCATTTTAAAATTTTCGTCCAAATCCAGGAATCAAAAATCTCTGCTAGCCTTCCCTTTCCTAAAGTATCTCTGCTAGCCTGCCCTCTAAATGACAGAAAAGTAGGTAAATAAAGTGATAAAACAGTTGTAAAGGAGCCGCCACGATGTGGGGGTCGAATTTCGCCCAAAATGGCCAATAAAAGTGTCGTCAAGGATGGATCTAGTCATGGGAGGAATGGCAAAAATGTTAAGCAAGGCATTTAAAGAATACTGTGTAAATAGGAAAGTAGCGTAGCCCGTAAATACGGAATGGAACGGTAAAAGTGGGCTGGAGTATCATCAGCTGATTGGAGCAGGTAAATAGAAAGTGGAATAAAAAACTATAGGTAAGAGGAGAGAGAGAGAGAGAGAGAGAGAGAGAGAGAGAGAGAGAGAGAGAGCGGGAGAGCGGGAGGGAAGGTAGATAGATAGAGAGAGAGAGAGAGAGAGAGAGAGAGAGAGAGAGAGAGGGAGGGGGGGAGAGAGAGAGAGAAAGAGAGAGAGCAAGCCTGCGAAGATTCTTGTGGAAATAAGAACCAGGCAGCTAACAGAGAATCTTTGAGGAAATGGGGCAGGCTAGCAGATATCTTTAAGAAAAGGGCAAGCTAGCAAAGGTTCTTTTGGAAATGACATGCTAGCAGAGATTCTTTAGGAACACCCAACGAGATTTAGGTGTGCAAACACGGTTTTCACGCAAATTTCCCGGCTCTGGGGGTGTTGGGGGGATGGTTATCAGCCGGGGATAAATTAGCGAGAGAGAGAGAGAGAGAGAGAGAGAAAGAGAGAGAGAGAAACGATATCCCCCATTCTTCTCCTCCCCCATCCATCAAAATCATCAAATTCGAGCTGTGGGTGGGGGAATTCGAGCCCCTTCCTGTGGTTGTGTGGATACAGAAATTGTGCAATTGGGAGCAGAGACAAATTGGTGGAAAATATCATTTTTCTGTCGCCCGCCCCTCTGGATCGCAACGGCGAGAGAGGAACGCAAAAAAAATGCGCGTAAAAAACGGAACGGCCGCGCGCGCTGCGGGGTACGGTATTTTGGGGCGTGTTTTAGGCCCGGTTTTTCTCAAAATACCTGCCTTAAACCTGAAAAGCACTGAAAAGATTGCATACCTTAAATATCATCGCACCATAAGAAAAGAGTTGTCAATAGGACAAGTCGGAAAACCTTTCGAAAGTAGGCTATACTCCGCAAGACACCAAAAAACGGTTGGCGGCCGGAAATCACGCGCGGATTAGCGAGATTTGCGGCTTGTTAAGGGGTCAACGGCAACTAGACTAGGGTAGGCGGCTACTGTATTCGCACCAAAAAAATAAATAAGAACATTTAAAAATTCTCAAACCTACGAAAATGGCCAAAAAAATTCTAAAGTAAATCGGCAGGCTAGCTAGAGTTTTTGAGAAAAGGGCAGGCTAGCAGATAATCTTTAGGAAATAGGGCAAGCTAGCAGAGATTTTTTACGAAACAGTGGCAGGCTAGCAGAGATTGTTTGAGGAAATGGACAGGGGGCATGCTAGCAGAGTTTATTGGCAGAAATGGGGAGGCTAGCAGAGAATCCTTAAGAAATGAGGCATGCAAGCAGAGATTCTTTGAGGACATTGGCATGCTAGCACGGTTTCTTTGGGAAGCTCATATAAACGTACTTTAAACGGACACTGATAACGATTATAATCCCAATATCATAGTAATGCGGTGAGAAAGGGACAAATGGTTTGGATGTCAGTCCGAGGCAAGTATAAAAAGAGAGGGTGGTGGCGAAAGGACAGCCGGACAGGCCCTAGGGGCTGATCGGTGTAACATCACTCTCTCTCCCTCTCTCTCTCTCTCTCTCTCTCTCTCTCGCTTTCCCTCCCTCACCCAATCCATTAAAAAGTGGCTGCAAGTTGCCCCCGGGGCCTAAGCGCTTTCTGTCTGAACGCTGAGAGTCGGAAATGACGAAATTGGGCAGGTAGAAGTTTAAAAGTACGTTGAAGTCAGGCTTAGTTGGGTTTAGGCTTAGCTTATGCTTAGGCTTAGGCTTAGGCTTGGACTGAGGCTTAGGTTTGGCTTAGGCTCAGCTTAAGCTTAGGCCTGGATTCGGCTTATGCGCAGGCTTGGCTTAGGTTTGGGCTTGGGCTTAGGCTTGGCTAAGGCTTAGGCTTAGACAAGGGCTTTGACTTAGCTTGGGCTTAGGCTTCTGCTTAGGCTAAGGCTTAGGCATCCGGTTTAAAATACGCCTCCAAGTGCCTTGAAAATCGAAGAAAACGCGTGGGACATCAACTAACCTCCGTCCTCATCAGTTACATAACTCGAGAGCTCTGGTCAGTGAGAGGGGCCCGGTCGAAAAAACATAAAGAACAAATAATAGGTGCAGGGAGCTAAGGGGGGGGGATGACTGTGTCCACTCGAGACAATCATTTGGGGCAGTGGCGCCGGAAGGAAAAGTAGAGATTCTATGTGATTACATCGTTAAGATGATTTTAAAGGGACCGGCAAGCCAAAGGGCAGACTAGCAGAGATTCTTTAGGAAATTCCAATAGGCGAGAAAACGAACGGCTGTCCCTGTGGCTATGGCCCGGGGCCAGTGTGCAGAGGAGCGTTGCGGAAAAAAGGTGCGGCTCAAATTTCTCACAGTAAAAGGAGGGTGAGCCGAAGGTATGAAACTCACGGGTACGGATTTAAGGAAAACTAAAAAATCAAGAAATTTCTCGCCTAAAAGGATTCTTTAGGAAATGAAGGTAAGCTTGCAGAGATACTTGAGGACTAAGGGCAAGCTAGCAGTGGTTATTTGAGGAAAAAGGCTGAAAAGCTAATTTAAAATCAGGAGGATATAGCGATGAAGAAATATCAGCTTAATAGCGAAGAACGATAACTTAAAACTCTACCTACCTGTATAATTGTATGTGCATGTGGTGTATCCTCCTCGCCAGCCATCTTCAGGCCTCTTAGCCGCTCTTCCAGCGATTGCTCGGCCTTTTCGAGGGCATCATCTATGGAGGGGAGCAGGGATTGGCCGAGGGCCGTGTCCTGAAAAAATACAACGTTTTAAAGGGACCGGAAAAGCCTCCATACAGGTTCTATTTTCAAAAAATGCTTTTTTGAGCCCAAGATGACCAAACTTTCGACTTGAACGCCCCTTTAAAGTCACCAAAATCCGTTTTATAGGCAGCGTGCCAGGATTGAGCGCAAAAACCGTATAAAATTCGTACCCTAAAAGCCGAGGCTTCGGCCCTCATCGTGACCAGGTCGGCGAGCATTTGGCTGGATGCCGAGGCGCCCTTGTCGAGCTGTTCGACGATGATCGTCAGCCGTTCGACCATACGCTCGTAGCACGTCAGCTCGTACATCTGGAAAAGGAACAAGTTCAGGGAGGTGAATGCAAAAAAGCAATCTCTCTATCCATGTCGCTGTCTCTCTCTCTCTCTCTCTCTCTCTCTCTCTCTCTCTCTCTTTATCTCCCTCTCGCTCTCTCACCTTGGCATTCCAGCGATCGTCCAGATCATGAATTCTGCCAGAATGCCATCCGTCCAGAATCCGCTCACAGTCCTCCCAGTCTCGAATGCTGGCCCGCATCTCGCTGACGTCACGCTCACGTCTTCTGATGATGTCCTCCTTCCGGTCGATGACCTCGCGGATGTAGGCCTGAGAAAATAGGGATTAGAGGATAGCTAGCAGAGATTCTCTAGGAAGAGGTAAGGTAGCAGAGAATCTTTAGGAAAGGGCAGATTTTTAGAAAATTGGGCAGGCTAGCAGAGATACTTTGGAAAGCGCAGGCTAGCAGAGATTTTTCAGGAAAGGGCGGGCTAGCAGAGATTCTTTAAGAACGACAGGCTAGCAGAGATTCTTTTGGAAAAGGCAAGCTAGCAAGGGTTCTTCAAAAACTCACCTCATCAAGCGGCGATTCCTCGATCGGCGTAACGGGACGACCGGTGGCGACGGCGAGTGCCCGATTGTACCTGAAAAACAGCGAATAATTGCCTTTTAAAGGGTCATTGAAGTCGGGAAATCGGTTACAGACCCCCCGCTAAAGGACAAGAACCCGAAATTCAACGTAAAAAATCAAACGCATACCGTTGCTGGTAATAGCGCGTATCGACGGCATGGGAGAACTCGTCGCCCTTGAGGACGGCGATGAGGCGAAGGACTTGGTCGAGGTAGTCTTCGGCTTGGGTGAGGCGCTGAAAAAGATGGAGGTAATCGCTGTAAGCTTAAAATCCATAACTATGCCTTTCCCATCCCTTTAAAAAGCTCTACCAAAAAACCACTCACCCGCTGATCCGCATCTACCAGCAGCACGTTTTCGAGCTGTTCGAGGTGTCCCTCAATGCGGGCCATCATCGGCATCGCGTTCCGCAGCGCTCCGCCCTTGTTTTGGAGGTGGATTTGGGTGGCTTTTTGCTGGAATTCGGCGCGAGCGCGTTGGCCGCTTCCGGATTCCGCGATGAAGGCGTCGATGTCGCGGACGAGTTTGGTGGCTTGTTGCATTGAGACGGCCACGGCTGCTTCAAGGGTCTCGAGGTCGGGACGGGCGTAGTGGGGAACAGCCTGGAAATGGGGGAATTTAGGGGGTAGATTAGCAGAGATTCTTTAGGAAATGCGGAAGGCTAGCCGAGATTCTTGAGGAAAAGGCAGGCTAGCAGAGATTCTTTAGGAAAGGGCAGGCTAGCAGAGATTCTTTAGGAAAGGGCAGACTAGCAGAGATTTAGGAAAGGGCAGGCTAGCAGAGATCCTTTAACCAACCTCAAGCCTGGGGGGCATCTTGGTCAACGGGTCGTCGACCTCAAAGTGTGGGGTAGAAGCCCTGGACGTCGATGGGCCGCCCAGCTCGACGACCAGCCGCGCGCCGACACACTAAAGGGAGGATGAGCTCTAAAAAAGCGAGGTCGAGCTCACCTTTGACAATTGCTGAGCCCTGTGCCTCAACTGGTCCATTCGCTCGTTGTTGGCGATGATGGCGGCCGGGGAGAGGAGGGGAGCAAGACGGTCGGCTGCCGCTTCCATCGAGCTGATGTTCTCAGCTTCACCTGAAAATCGAGTCAGTAAGACGAATTCCTAAAGAATCTCTGCTAGCCTGCTCTTTCCTAAAGAATCTCTGCTAGCCTACCCCCATTTTCTCTAAGAATCGCTGCTAGTTTACCCTTTCCTAAAAAATCTCTGCTCGCCTGCTCCTTTCCTAAAAAATCTTTGCTAGCCTGCCCCTTCCCTCAAGAATCACTGCTAGCCTGCCCTTTCCTAAAGAATCACTGCTAGCCTGCCTTCCTCATGAATCTCTGCTAGCATGCCATTTTTTAAAGAATCTCTGCTAGCCTGCCAAAACTCCAAAAAACTCACGATATAGTGTATTCGTGTTGTTATCCACTCCCCGTTGCGCGAGCTCCTCTAGCCTCCAGATGTCTCTTTCCCACTCTTCCCATGCGGCTCGGAGCGTGAGGAGGACGGGCTGAAGTTGGTGCTCCTTTCGAACAGGGTAGAAAAATCTCACCTTGCACTCGTCAAATCTGGCCAGCGTCTCTTGGGCTCGGCCGACGCATTGGGCGGCCAGGGAGTTGATGTCGAGCTTGGTTTCTGAAGCGAGAAATATAGAGAAAGAGCGAGAGAGAGAGCGAGAGAGAGAGAGCGAGACAGAGAGAGAGAGAGAGAGAGAGAGAGAAAGCCAGACACCCACCAGGTTGTGTGCTAACCGTCCGCCTCAACCGCTCCATATGGTGATCGAACTTGCGGCGCGGGTTCTCCGACGCGATCTGGTTGTATTCCTAGAAAAAGATGTTTCAAAAACAGAACACCAGCCCCATACCTTAATCCACCGATTCAACAACGCCAACGAGTCGGCGGATCGCCACAGCTCGACCTTGTCGTCAAGGTCGGCCAGGTAGGCGAGGATGATGTAGTGGGAGAGCAGGATCTAGAGTTAAAAAAATGGTTAAAAAATCGATGTAGCGTACCTTAAGTGTAGCAATTCTGGTGGGCACTTCTTGGCTCATATGGCCCATCCGGATGCGGAGAGGCTCGGAGAATTCTGGGGGCACTTGAGCACCACCCACGCCCCGGCCGGCAGCCGCACTCTGGAGCTCGTCCTGCTTGGCGCGGAGGTCGGAGAAGTGGCGCTGAAAAAGGGTCAAATTTTCTCTGCAAGCCTGCCCGTTCCTAAAGAATCACTGCTAGCCTCCCTCCAAAAGCCCACCGATTACGCCCCAAAATTACCTGGTGCTCCTCGATGAGACTGTGGAGCAAATTGACCGTCTTTTGTGGGTCGTGGGGGAGGAGTTGGAGCGGAGAGTTGAGCAGCATCTAAATGAGCATGAGAGATGGAAAAGCTAGCTCGAATTTACCTGTCCATGCTCGGTCCAGGTGGACAGGGAGGCGAACGGCTCGGGCAGGTCCCGTTCCGCCCGGAAGGCTGCAGACTCGAGCCGTGTACGCACTTTGTCCCATCTGGAAATGGAGGGATAGAGAGAGAGACAGGGAGAGAGAGAGAGAGAGAGAGAGAGAGAGACTCACTTTGTCTCAATATCCACCAGCTGATCAACCGAAAAGTTTGTCCGCGTGGCGAGGATCGTCTGGAAGGTCGGGCGATGCTCCAGGAATTCACGACGCAACCGGAAGTAAGCCTGAAAATAGAAAATTTTGCAAAAAAACGTAGAATTACAATATCGGAATCGATTACGTCCTAAAATAGAGGGAGAGAGACAGAGAGAGAGAGAGAGAGAGAGAGAGAGAGAGTGAGAGAGAGCGAGAGAGAGAGAGAAACAGATCGATTACGCCATATAAATCCGCGCCAAAGCCACAGTACTCACCTGACTATCCTCGGGATCGATATCCGCCGCGGCTACCGTATCCAACCACAGCAAGAAAGCGGCAAACTGTCCGCCCTCCTCGATGGGCCTCCGCTCGCCGGCGGTGCGCACGAATTGGGAGACGTACGTGATGATCGAGCTGGAAAAAACAGGTGAATGTACTAGGCTAGGAAATTTGGAGAATCCTAATCCTTTACGTGGAAATGCAAAAACTAAATAGATTACGCTATGAAATTCGATAAAATCAAACGATTACGCCATGGAATTAAAGGCACTAATCGATTACGTCACGAAATACAAAAATACGACCGATTACGTAATGAATTAAAAATTAATCGATTACGCTGCAAACTGCAGAAAAATGCATCCGATTACGCTCTAAAAATTCTGAGAAAGCAATAGATTATACCATGACATTCGAGGAAATCAACCGATTACGCCGGAAATTAGAGGAGGTCAATTGATTACGCCATGAAAATTCAAGAAATCAATCGATTACGATACAAAACTGTGAAGCGCGTAATCGATTACGCGATGGAATTCTACGAAACATACGATTACGCTATGAAATTAGCAGAAATCGACAGATTGCGCCACAAAACCCGACTCACCGTTTGTCCGGCTTCTCAGCCAAAAGATCCTCGACGTCAAGCAGTTTTCTAATGCCAAGATAGCGATGGGCGGCTTCAAATGCTGCTTCGAGGTTGTCCCGTGCGGGTCTATTCTTCGCTCCCTCGAGATCTACCGTATCCGGTCGCCATTTGTGGACGAGGGCCGTGAATAGGACGCCGTCACGCCACGCCTTGTCCATGTTCTCCACTTTTAGGCCGAGGGATCTGGAAATGAGGGGGGTTAGGGAGGAAATTCCACAAAAGATCTCTGCTAGGCTGCCGTCAGTCGATTTTCTCAAATTTCCGCAAACTATCACCGCTAGCCTGCCCCATCCACAAATAATCTCTGCTAGGCTGCCCTTTCCCAAAGCATCTCGGCTAGCTTACCGCGATTTCCTTAAGAATCTCTGCTAGCCTACCCGCAACGCCTGCTAAATCCCAAATAGGTTCTGCTAGCTTGCCTCGACTCGAGGTTTTTGAGCAAAAAAATCTCTGCGAGGCTGCCCTGAGTCGATTTGCCCAAATGGTCTCTGCTAGCCTGCCCCATTTACTAAAGAATCCCTGCTAGCCGGTCTTTTCCTAAAGAATCTTTGCTAGTCTGCCCCAATTTCCTAAAGAGTCTCTGTTGGCCTGCCCTCGAATTATTTCCCCCTGATCTCTGCTGGCTCTGTTTGGGTTTTGTGTTCCGTTTCCCAAAGAATATCTGCTAGCCTGCCCTTTCCCAAAGAATATCTGCTAGCCTGTCCTATCCTAAAGAATCTCTGCTAGCCTGCCATTTCCTCACAGAATCTCTGCTAGCCTGCCCTTTCCTAAAGAATCTCTGCTAGCCCCCTCTACCCATTCTTTTGGCGGCTTTTTGATGTCCCCGAGTGAATGCGGGGGTCATTTCTGTTCGAGACTATTTGCCTAGTGGGTCGAGTGGCTCTTGCTATCAGACAAATAGTGTACCCGTGCTAGCCAAGGTGGTCATTTTATTGGGAGAGAGAGAGAGAGAGAGAGAGAGAGAGAGAGAGCGCGAACGAGAACGTGAATCAAGAACTCACTCGGCAATCTCTGCATTGATCCATCTGAGCAACACGGCCTCGACGTTGCTCTTCATCTTCAGGGCGCCGGACCGGGGCGAGGAGGGTCCCGGCATGAATTCACTGCAAAAGGGTTCCAGTAGCTACAGTACCCCTACCGTAACCGCTGCTTGAATGGACTTCTTGAGGGCGCCGCCGTCGCTCCCCATCCCCATTCGCGCAGTAGTTGCACGTTGGTTTCAATCTGAAAAAGTTGAGTTCATCTACCGTCCAGGGGTACGGTACCTGGAAGTGCAGGATAATTTGCCATATGAGGCCGAGGACAATTCGTGGGTTTCCGTCGGCCAGATCGGAGGCATTGTTGTTGATCAGCTCGAGGCCGCGGCGTCTGGAAAAACGAATTTAAAGGGGGAGTGACAGCAAGAATCGGACGATTTTTGCCAATCCCTTGCCTTCACTGTCCCTTTAAAACGCTAGAATCGATTTTAAAGGGATGGTGACAGCAAGAATCGGACCATTTTGGCTAATCCTTTGCCTTCACGGTCCCTTTAAAACCTTAGAATCGATTTTAAAGGGAGAGTGACAGCAAGAATCTGACGATTTTTGCCAATCCCTTGCCTTCACTGTCCCTTTAAAACGTTAAAATCAGTTTTAAAAAGATCGTGACCGGAAAAATCTACTGTCAAAATCTCTACCTAAGCACGGCGAGGGCTGTCGTCAGATTGGCAATATGGTGGACGCGGACGGCGTGCTTCGATTTGTTGATCGGCTGAAAAATGTATAATTTTTCTTTTCTCAAAGAATCTCTGCTAACCTGCCCTTTCCTAAAGAATCTCTGCTAGCCTGCCCTTTCCTAAAGAATCTCTGCTAGCCTGCCCTTTCCTAAAGAATCTCTGCTAGCCTGCCCTTTCCTAAAGAATCTCTGCTAGCCTGCCCTTTCCTAAAGAATCTCTGCTAACCTGCCCTTTCCTAAAGAATCTCTGCTAGTTGCCCTGGATTCCCAAATGGTCTCTGCTAGCTTTTTGCTCGTTTGCGCGGAATTTCCGTGCCAATATGAACTGTTCCCCTACACGAGAAGTGACCTTTTGCATCAATCACCCACAGTTATTGGCAATTGGGATCGTGATTTGGGTGAATGGGATCGGAATTTCATCGGTTTTTTTGTGCAAAATCTGGGCTTTGAAACATTGATAATCTTAAATTGTGGATGGTCCCTTTTTACGTTTGTTACTTTGCGTGGTTAGGCCAGTATAGCTAGCGTCATCCGGGATGGCTAATAATAAACAGACGGGGTATCGATTTTCAGGGGAGGGAAAGAGAGAGAGAGAGAGAGAGAGAGAGAGAGCGAGAGCGAGAGTGAGAGAAAGAGAGAGAGAGAGGGCGAGAGAGCGAGAGAGAAGGAAAGTCAAGGTCAGCAATTTGCAAGACATGGAAGGCAGAATATCGATTTTTCGAGTCGAGGCAGGCTAGCAGGGATTCTTTAGGAAATCGTGACAAGCTTGCAGAGATTTTGGACCACGGAAAAACATACCAACGCCTCTCCGGTGAGTACTTCGATGAGACGGCACAGCAAAACGCCGTCTTTGATGTCCTCGTAGAGATCGGTGACGTGTCCGGAAGCAGAGTGCTAAAAATAAAAATAAAAAAGTAATTAAAAACCACTCACCTCCTCCAAATGGACGTTGATCCACCTTGTGAATGTGTTTTTCTGGGCCCGCTCGTCTTCATCTGAAACAGGGGCATTTTTAAGGCAAAAATTATCGATATATTTTAGCATTCCCCACACACTCGTAATTGTCATTTTTAGTTATAGGAAAAATTGTTAATATTTTGAATTGTAAAGATTGTCACTCCGTTCCTGGTACGGTACATTACTCAGTACGGTACAGTACGCCGTAGAGTCCACAAAACAACAATAAACACGACGAGCGAGAACTTACCATCCGAGGGGTCTCCGTCTTCTAGAAAAATACGATATTTTCGGGATTTTTGCGCTGGCCCATTAACGCTGCTGCTTTTGCTTATGCCTGCAGCCGATTAAAGGGGCTGGAACCCTTGTTTTTGGTCAATTTAGACAACTAATGACACCAATATGCGTAAAATTTCGCTTGGAAGACTGTAAGAAATTGGAAACCGCAAGAAAAAATAGCGGGAATCTTAAAATCAGACTTCCGAAAAGCGGCTTTTTGAAAATTTTTCACCCAAATTGCTTGCAAAACCTCATTAGCAAATGATTACGCAAGCGCACAAGCGCAACTAAACATTGGCGTCTCAAAAATAGCATCTCTTTCTTCAGTAATTTTTTACCAACTTTTGGCTTTTTTTTAAAGTGATTTGCACAAAAATACGCGTTCATGACGGAAATTCGGTATATGAAGCGCCAAAAAACGTAATAACTGCTTCGCGTAATTTTTCACCAAATTTTGGTTTTAACATAACCAATTTGCCAATTTTTTTGCGAGGATACTGTAATTCGGTGGAATTTAGCCCAACACTACTGCAAAACAGTCAATGTTCTACCGTAATTCCTATGGCGCAGGGCCGTCCTGAGGAGCTGTAGTGTTTGATGGCGGTGTCCAGAGAGTGTGGACACTATATCACGCCCCGGCTTCATCCCGCCCGGCTTCCGAATGCGAGTTTTCGGAATTTTAGGGGCAGAATGGCCGGAAATAGAGGCTCAGGAATACGGTAGGAAAATCGGGAAGGATCGGAAAATCGATTACCACAGGTATTTCGAAATGCGCAATCGATTACGATAGCTATTCCGCTACGCTCCAATCGATTACGTTAGGTATCCCGAAATTTCCCAACCGATTACGATAGGTACTCCGCTACGCTCCAATCGATTACGACAGCTATTCCGCAACGTTCCGCAAGATTACGCTCGAATAAAGGTAGTTCCACGGCGTAATATAATTTCTACCGTAGCCAAAAAATTCAGAATTACGGCAGGCCCCGTAATAAAAATTAGGGCTGTGTGTTGTTTGGAGTAGCGCGGAATGGAGGAGCAGAAATGTCGTCGGCCTAGTTGAGGGTCGATAGAAAAAAAGGAGGAATAGCGGCCGAGTCGAAATGGGAGTCAAGGCCACCGGGTGGAAAGCCAATTGATCAGATAGAGAGGCACACGGTGAGGCTCGAGAAGCTTATTTCAGCTCGTTTTCTTCGGATTCTGTGATTACTGTAGCCTTGGAGTACGTTGGAGTACGCAGTAGTACGGTACGCTACTCAGTACGTTCAGTTTTTTCGTTTTCGTAGGGATTTCGACTGTTTCCACGATTTTTGCGTCTTCTGTAGCTCTACAGTACGATTCACTACGCCGGAGTAAGTCGGAATACGCGCGAGTACGTTACGATAAGATTGAATTCAGAATAAAGCCTCAGAAATTCCCCGAAATTCGTTTTTCAGCTAGTCGAACCGCAAAGTACGCTCCAATACGTAGGAGGACGCAACGTACGACGCACGTTCGGGTACTGTAACTTTATAGTACACCAGAGTGCGCTGAGGACTTGCCGGGCCCTTTAAAAGTCGCCCAAAATTCCGGGGTACGGTAGAATGGGCAGTATACAACGCCTGGCCCACCCGCGAGGCCAGGCTCTGGATACGGTAGATCGAGTACGCCGGCGACTACAAGAGGAAACTATAGAACGGCATGGTGTAAAGAGGAGCGTAGCGGAATGTATTGAACGCCGATTGGCCGGATATCAAGAGCAGAGCTGGGCAGTAGCCGGATATCAAAGTGAGAGCGGCCGACTAAAAAAGGGTCGAAAACCGCGCGAAAATCTCTCTCTCTCCCTCTCTCTCTCTGCCTCTCACTATGCGCCGCACCAAATTACGAACAAAACGATTGCGGGTGGAGAGAGGCGCGCGGCGGAAAATCAGGTCGGTGATTGATGGACGGGGGGTATCGTTTTTTGGGAGGCAGGGTTGCGGCAAAAAGTAAAAAGCGGATGGCATGGAGGGGGATCGAACCAGGGAGGTCGATTTAAAGGGAAGGTGACAGGTAGAAAGTGGAAGAGGACGAGAGCTGCAAAAAGCTAGACAGGAGAAGCGACAGTGAGCACGAGCGAGAGAGAGAGAGAGAGAGAGCGAGATAGAAAAAGATAGGCAGAACGAGAGAGCGAGAGAGCGAGAGAGAACGAGAGAGAGAGAGAGAAAGAGAGAGAGAGAGAGAGAGAGAGAGAGAGAGAAGCGGAGAGATACGGAATTAAGCGAAGTGAGAGGGAGGGTGAGAGAAGAGTCAGATAGCGAGGAGGCGAGAGAGCGCGAGAATCAAAGAGAGAGCACGAGAGAGCAAGAGGGAGAAAGCCTTAGCTAATTTAAATTACGTAATCGGCTTAACTCTAAATCGATTACGACGTAATGGCCAATGGAGAGACAGAGAGAGAGAGAGAAGGAGAGAGAGAGAGAGAGAGAGAGAGAGAGAGAGAGAGAGAGAGAGAGAGAGAGAGCAAAACTAGACTAAAAGTTCCTCCAAAATCCCAAAAAATCAATGCAATTCAGGTGTTCGGCCGGGGGTTGGGAGGAATTGCAACGTGTGGGTCTGATTTCCCAGCCGCGAGTACGCGGTGATAACTTTTTACGGTGTTTGAACAAAAAATTAGGCATGGCGGGGAGGGGAGGGGAAGGGCATCCGGTGGGAACGGCAGGGGCAACTAATTCTCTGATGACACTCAGCCGATTATTTCCCGGAATTTGAGGTTGTTCTACTACCGTAATCCCAGTTTAGTATAGTTTTCGCTTGGAACCGATTACGCCATAAAAATCACTAATTTTTTGCAAAATTTTGCATTCATTGGTCCTTTAAAGGCAGCGTGCCATAAAATTCTCATTCCACGGAACTGATTACGCCATTAAAAGAGGTTTTATGGAAATTTTTGCCTTCTCTGGACCTTTAAAGGGACCATGCCAGACGATTGCGCGATCAAAATATAGCGATTTCGAGGGCATTTTCACTTCTAGGTACCTTTAAAGGCAGCGCGCCAGCAAATTCAACGTTTTAAACCGATTACGCCATTAAAATCACGTTATTTAGGCGATTTTGACTTCTGCCGGTCTTTAAAGCGAGCCTACGATCTAGTTTTCAAGCTCTCTGAAACGATTACGCCTGGAAAATCATGTTTTTTGATCCCATTACTACCTTAGCCGGGCGTTAAAGGGAGTGTGACAGCAAATCGAGTCGCGTCGATCGACTACGCCAGGAAATTGAGCGGCTTTTCATGGTGTTGAACCGGTTTTCCAGTGGCCAATCGGTTATTATGCTCCAAATTTCCGGTTTTTCTCTAGTATCTTGTCAAGCAAATTCCCGCCTCGTTTCTGTCGGTACTAAATTCGCCCGTCCACGCTCCCATCCCCATCAAATAGTACGAGCCAATACGGCAGGGCATAAAGCTTCAGGCGGGAACATGGCCCTCAAAGGGGAGACGCGTCACTAGACCGCCGTGAAAATGATAAGTCCCCATGTCGTGTCAGGGCTTTTCCCAGACCCGAGGGGACACTGCTGTTGCAACAAGAAGCCCGGGAAATTGCAAAAAATAATGGAAACATTCTGAACCCCCGTTTTTAGCTTCAGCCGTGGCGCTTTTAAGGAGTCAGACTCAAAAAGGCGGCCATTTTCATGGCGTAAGCGGTTCCGAAAGCTAGGAATTCAGGTGTCACGCACCCTTTAATCGTTAAAAACATGCTATTTTCGTGGCGCAAGCAAGCGGTTGTAAAAATTAGAATATCTGGTGTCACGGGCCCCTTAATCGCCAAAATATGCGATTTTCATTTGCGAAAGTTAGAAAATTCGATGACGTGCTCCCTTTAATCGTCAAAAATATGCCATTTTCATGGCGTAAGCGGTTCAGAAAGCTGGAAAACGTGCTGTCACCATCCCTTTAAAAGGTGGCTACAATCTCCAGATGACGTGCTTCAGTATCAGAATTTCAAATTAATCTATTAGCCTGAAAGCTTTCCCAAATGGTCTCTGCCAGCTAGCCCCTGATTTTTGCCTTCGACGTGGCTTCCAGGCGCCTTTAAAACACCTCTTTTGCCATATCCCCCTAATTTTTCATTCGAATTCGAGAATGTGCAAATCCTGCGCGAGCCGTGGGGTCGCGTTGCTCGGATTATTTGCCTCGATCCGGGAGCTGTTGTATCAGAAGAGAGAGAGAGAGAGAGAGAGAGAGAAGGCAGGGCAAAGTCAGAAATAATCCTATTTGTCCGGCACACGCGGTTCGACAGGGCGCCCGAATCAAAGGTGACTACAAACAAAATTGGTAGGAATTGGGATTTTGAGTTTTAAAGGGGTTTGGAAGGCAAATTCGGGTCCTAGGATTCCTTGGTGAAAAGCAGGCTAGCAGAGATTCTCTTTAGGAAAGGGTAGGCTAGCAGAGATTCTTTAGGAAAGGGCATGCTAGCAGAGATTCTTTAGGAAAGGGTAGGCTAGCAGAGATTCTTTAGGAAAGGGCAGGCTAGCAGAGACCGTTTAATTCTTTCTCATTCCCAAATTTCCTTGGTGTTGCCATTCCCTGCAATCGCAATCCATCCCCCGCCATTTTTTGCGTGAATTCCCGGGATTGGCCCCCTCAGCGGCCGCGGCCCAAAAAAGGGCGCTTTTGGAGGGGAGGGGAGACCGCCCGGGCAAACATTAGCCGGCAGAAAAAGGGGGGATGCCGAGGAAGACGGCTCGAAGAGATGCAGAACCCTAGATGCTAACAAAAAATGGGATAAAAATCAATTTAAAGCCGTCCCAAAAAATCGTTGCTAGCCTGCCTTTTCCCAAAAAATTTCTGCTAGCCTGCCCTTTCCTAAAGAATCTCTGCTAGCCTGCCCTTTCCTAAAGAATCTCTGCTAGCCTGCCCTTTCCTAAAGAATCTCTGCTAGCCTGCCATTTCCTAAAGAATCTCTGCTAGCCTGCCCTTTCCTAAAGAATCTCTGCTAGCCTGCCCTTTCCTAAAGAATCTCTGCTAGCCTGCCCTTTCCTAAAGAATCTCTGCTAGCCTGCCCTTTCCTAAAGAATCTCTGCTAGCCTGCCCTTTCCTAAAGAATCTCTGCTAGCCTGCCCTTTCCTAAAGAATCTCTGCTAGCCTGCCATTTCCTAAAGAATCTCTGCTAGCCTGCCCTTTCCTAAAGAATCTCTGCTAGCCTGCCCTTTCCCTAAAATCTTTGCTAGCTTTCTTTGATTCCTCAATGTCCTCTGCTTAGCTACCATATTTCTAATTCTCCGCATTTCACCACTTTTTCCCTTCTGATTTATCGATGGTTGAAGGTTAGCCGAGCGCTTGCGGGTGGATACCCTATATGGGGGTAGATGAATGGTGGGGATGTACTAGATTATGAGGCGAGAGAGAGAGAGAGAGAGAGAGAGAGAGAGAGATCGTCGGGTACCCCTTGACCTTCGCTAGACCTGAGCCTGTACCCCAGTTAACCTAAACCGGCCCTACTCTCCAGACTCACAGGCTAGCAGAGATTCTTTCGGAAAGGGCAGGCTAGCAGACGGCATTTGAGCGCCCTTCCTTTTCGCTTTGAAATGTGAAACGAATCCACTTTAATTTCCCTTCACAAAATTCCCAAAATTTCGGGAACGGTTTCCCCCGTCCGATCTACACGATTGACTCATGTTTTCCGAAACGAAAAATCGACACCGGGGCCCTGCAAAGGATGATGCGGCAATTCCCGTAGCGAATCTATGAATATGGAAAGCCGATCAAAAGGGAGAGAGGAAGAGGGAGAGAGACAAAGAGAGAGAGAGAGCGTGTAAACCGGCGTAAACCCCTCAAAACCCCCTGGAAAAGTTTGCAGGCACCTCAAATCGATGAAAATCGTCTGGTCTGGTCGCCGGGGGAGAAATGGGTTGAACGCTTGAAGCTAGGCTTTTAGCCCCCGGAAGCTCGATTTGTAAACAACACAAATAGCCGAATAAACTCGCGTAATCGGTTAGGCTTTACAGGGTCTGGGAAGGCTGAAAAAACATCGAAAAATCCCAAAAATCAGACGGAAATTGGTAAAAATATCGAAAACTGAGGAAAGATCGAAATCGAAATCGAAAATCCGATTTACAGTATCGGCTTCTGGTCGCAAAAAAAGGTAATAAAGGCGTTACAAGGCCCAGATATCTCAAAATCAGCTGCAAAACCCAGTCGGAACTTTGTCAAAATATCGAAAATTTGCTAAAATTAGCATAGCGCTCAAAAATACATTTTTCGCGTGTAAAAAAAAAATTAAATTTTCGGTGAAATACCGTCGGAAAATCGAAAATAACTTTAAAAAAAAAACAAAATTAGCTAGAAAATCAGGCCTAGCAAGTTCGAAAAATTGCCTAAATTAGCACAGCGCTCAAAAATTACATTTTTCGCCTGATAAAAATCCATTTTTCGACGAAATACGCTAAAGAAAATCGAGAAAGCTTCAAAAAAACCGAAATCGGCTCGAATCCGCTCGAAAATCGGCCCGGAAATGGACTCACGCTTCTGGGTGCGCAGGCATAGGCAGCAGGGGCGGCATGGAGGCGAGTGGGACATCAAATTGACCGTTGCAAAAAACGGTAATGTGCGTCCGGAATACGGTCCTCTGGGGGCCAGAAAATAGTGTAGAAGCCTCGAAATGGGGTGCGCGCACCAAATATGGGGGTGTGTTTATGTGTTGTTGGGGGGTTGGGAGGGGGGTATGAATGGCCTGCGGGAAGGGGGGAGGGGCAGCCGGGTGGGAGGGAGGGAGGGCCACTAGAAGAGAGAGAGAGAGAGCGAGAGAGAGACAGGCGGCGAGAGAGCACGAGAAGAGGAGAGCACCGAGAGTAACTAGCCCTCCGCTTCAGAAGGCAGGAGAGAGGGCGAGAAGCGCGGAAACGCAGAGGTGAGAGAGAGAGAGAGAGAGAGAGAGAGAGAACCAGAAGGCGAGAGACCCCAGAGACACCTTCTGAAGCCCACGTACCAGTCCTATTTCTGGCCCGTCCCTCTCTCTCTCTCTCTCCCTCTCTCTCTCTCTCTCTCTCTCTCTCTCTCTCTCCTCGGCACAAACAAGACAACAAAAGGCAACACACGCACACCGGGCCCCCCCAGTTCCGAAAAGCTGCACCAGATGGGCTCAGCAGGCTTTTTTTTTAGGAGCTTGTGCGAGCAAAATTCTGATGGATGGGCTTCAGAAAGGGGCGTTTTGGAGCACGAGGTTTCTTCTTGATTCAAAAGAAGGAAGAAAAGACGCTATAAAACCCCATGGCAGACTAGCAGAGATTCTTTAGGAAATGGGGCAGGCTAGCAGAGACCATTTCTGAAGTTAAACTGATCACCATTGACGTTTTTTCCTTTCGCGTCTCTTTAAAAAAGTCAGTGGCAGGCTAGCAGAGATCATTTAGGAAAGACGTGACGGCATGGCTGGCTAACTGAGATCGTTTAAGAAACAAAAATAGGGCGAGCTAGCAGAGGTTTTTTGAGAGAGCAGTGAGCATTCGGGAATTGGCATTACGATGTGGGGCAGGCTAGCAGAGGTTTTTTGGGAAATCTGGGGCCGACTAGCGGAGATTCTTTAGCAAAAGTGGTATAGCACCGTTTCTTGAGGAAAATAGGCAAGCTAGCAGAGATGCCTTAGGCAAGGCAGGCTGGCAGAGATCCTTTGCAAATTCCTAATCACTCACCATTCCTCTTCTCCTTTTCCCTCCTCCTCGGCGAGTAATTCTGCAGATAATAGCTCTGGATGAACGAGGAGAACATCTCCGGGATTCTGGAGACGACGTTCTGGCCAGAATTACGGTAGTTTATAGCGGGATTTTCACAGAGTGTGAAGTACAAACAGACGTTCGAGGTGGAGATGGAAGGGGAATTTAGGCCCAAAAATGGGTGGAAATGGCTGCTCGAGGTGGATCTCAAGGCGCCAGAGCCGCCCGCGCCGTTTTTACGATAATTTACGAGTCTTGTGGCTGGAGAAACACGCCTTTTTCAGGTGATGGTTGGGGTAGATCCGCCAAATTCTCTGGCTGTCAATTTATGGCGGGAATTTCACGGGGCAGGCTAGCAGCGATTCTTGGAGGAATGGGAAAGATAGCAGCGTTTCTTTAGCAAAGGGCAGGCTAGCAGAGATTCTTTAGGAAGGGTTTCAGTGATTGCTTGAAACGCTAGGGGCGTGCTAGCAGCGATTCTTTGAGGAATGCCTGGCAATCTAACAAGAAACATTTCGGAATCGACCCCCCTAGCTGCCTGGGTGTCGACAGCTACGCTACGAGTCCCATGACAGTAGCCGCTAGGTGAGTAAAACGCATACACGTACGTAACGTACACGCGTCATTTGGCGCGGAACGTAGCTGTCGAGACCCAGTCAGCACCTAGGGGTCGATTCCGGGGTTTTCCAGTCATTTAAAGGCCGCTGAAAGGCAGGAAAGGCCGTCGGCCACCTCCAAAACAAAAAGTTCTGCTCAAAAACAACAGCTTAGAAGCCCCCAGGAAACTGTTGCAAAAAGTGGCGGGAGAAAATGGGGAGCCCAGAGCTGCTTCAGATAAGGGGCGCTCCCGTTTCGCGGGCGCCAACTTTATAGCCCAAGCCGTGCCACACGTTTTTCTGCATGGTCGGAAATTTAATGGGCTAAAGGAATTTTAAACAAAAAAAATTCCGAGAACGAGAGAGAGATATATATGGAGAGAGAGAGAGAGAGAGAGAGAGAGTGAGAGAGGAGAGAGAGACAGAGCGAGAAAGAGTGAGCGAGGGAGAGCGACAGGCTAGCAGAGTTTCTTGAGGAAAGGGCAAACCAGCAGAGATTCTTTAGTTTTCCGCGTTTTTCACCTCCGGCTCGCCAGTTAAATCTTTAGAACTGTCTTTTCTGCTTGTCAAAGTAGTCTCTTGTCATCGGAAGTTACGTAATAGCATCGGAAGAACGAGAGAGAGAGATTTCACAGAGAGCGAGAGAGAGAGAGAGAGAGAGAGACGGAGAGGGAGAGAGATAGAGAGAGAATGAAAGATTCACAGAGAGAGAGAGAGAGAGAGAGAGCGAGATAGAGAGAGAGAGAGAGAGAGAGAGAGAGAGAGAGAGATCGAAAGATCCCCCTGCCGTCAATCAAAAAAGTTGATCAGCGCCTCATAAAAGGGAGGGGTTGGCTGGAGAGGTTGATGCTATCAGTCTAAGGCCATAATGGCCGCTCTAGCCGGCGATATCCAAATAATAGGAGGCAGGATTGGACAGTAAAAAAATCAATTACAAAACGTAGTAGGAAACTCAACAAAATTCAACACTGCAAAAACTTTCAATCCTCAAAATTCTGGATTACTAAGGAATTTCTTACAAAGCTTAGAAATCCATAAAACAGCATCAATAAAAACACGTTAAATTCAATTTAAATAAACCAGAAAAAAAAACGTAAAAATACCCCCAAAAACCCAAAACGTACCAGCATTCTTGGAGTGAAGAAGCCGCGAAAACATGGCTACGGTGGATGGCGGAGAACGGGCAGTTTCGGTTCGGTAGTCGCGCAGGGGAGAGCAGGTGCCTGAAATCAAAAAAACAATAAATTTGAATGCATCAAACAACATTTAAGCAAGGTACTTTATGATTTTAGGGGACTAGGTCCCTGCAAAAACGAAAGGACAACATGGCGAGGGGCAGGCTAGCAGAGATTATTGAGGAAAGGGCAAGCTAGCAGAGATTCTCTAGGAAAGAGCAGGCTAGCAGAGATTTTTTAGGAAATGGCAGGCTAGCAGAGATTATTGAGGAAAGGGCAAGCTAGCAGAGATTCTCTAGGAAAGAGCAGGCTAGCAGATATTTTTTAGGAAGGACGTGATTACGATAGGTAATTTTCTAAAAGGTGTTTACCTCAAACAGGAAACAACGAGGACCGGTGGGCTGGCCCCCTGCTCGAGCGAGATGATTGGCGAGTTGATGGAGTTTCTGAAATCAAAAAAATTAGTTGCGGGAAGAGAGAGAGGGAGAGAGAGAGAGAGCGAGAGAGAGAGAGAAAGAGTTATTTTACGTCAAATTATTAGTTTACATTCTTTTCTTCTAAAAAATTCAGCTATAGGAATTAAGATGAAGCATAAGTGGGGCCTTAAAAATCGCGGAAAAAATTCGTTGGGGTTCGCTGCGGGACCAGCTCCACCTGGGCGAAGTAATCAGTGCGACAGGGGGGATCGAGACCGGGGTGAATTCCAGTGGCAGCCACTGCACACAGAAAAAAGGCCAGAAAAAAACACACACACACGCACAAATATGGGCCCGGGGAATCGATTGAGTTGGGGATATGCACGTCGGCTGGAAGCCGGAAGGTGATTTTTGTAACAAATTAGATTTTTCATCGAATCTAGCGGTTTTTAAAGGGACTGGCAAGTCAAAATCATCGAGCGGTCATTAGCAAAAATAGTTTTTGTAAAAAACCACGAATTCTACGGAATGATTGTCCTTTTTTTGCGGTTTCAAAGGCATCAGCCACCCAAAGATTGGGTTTAAAGTTTTCGGTTCTGTACTTCAATTACCGTAATTTGGAAAATAGCGTGTTCTGGAGCTATCGTAATCTACAGTGTACTTCTGGCGGCCGCAGACCACCTAATTATCAAGCTATCGTAATCTGCAACGGGCTAGCTAGCAGATATTCTTTAGGAAGGGGGGGGGGGGGCAGGCTAGAGAGATTCTTTAGGAAGGGAGGGGGGCAGGCTTGAGAGATTCTTTAGGAAATGGCAGGCCAGCAGAGATCCTTTAGTTAAGGGGGCAAGCTAGCAGAGATTCCTTCGGAAAGGGCAGGCTAGCAGAGATTCTAAGCAAAGGAGAGCAGAATTTCTAAAGTTATTTTTATACTTAATTATAAAGGTAAACTTTGTCACTAACAAAAGCCGCTTTTTCGGGGGATGAAGCTGGGGTGGCGGTGTTCGCGCAGGGCAGGTGGTGTGGCAGGCCGGTAAACAGCGGTCCGACCAAGTAGAAAAACGAGCGGCTGGGTGAGAAAAAGGGCGGTGAATAAATAAGTGGAGGAGGAGGAGGAGGACAGGAGAAGGGTAAACCTCCCAGAACTACGAGAAGTCATGGAATGTCCACGAGGTGGTTAAACGAATCATTTTTAGCTGGAAACATTAGGTACGCCGATTTCCTAAACAATCTCTGCTAGCCTGCCCTTTCCTAAACAATCTCTGCTAGCCTGCCATTTCCTAAAGAATCTCTGCTAGCCTGCCCTTTCCTAAAGAATCTCTGCTATCCTGCCCTTTCCTAAAGAATCTCTGCTAGCCTGCCCTTTCCTAAAGAATCTCTGCTAGCCTGCCCTTTCCTAAAGAATCTCTGCTAGCCTGCCCCTTCCTAAAGAATCTCTGCTAGCCTGCCCTTTCCTAAAGAATCTCTGCTAGCCTGCCCCTTCCTAAAGAATCTCTGCTAGCCTGCCCCTTCCTAAAGAATCTCTGCTAGCCTGCCCTTTCCTAAAGAATCTCTGCTAGCCTGCCCTTTCCTAAAGAATCTCTGCTATCCTGCCCTTTCCTAAAGAATCTCTGCTAGCCTGCCCCTTCCTAAAGAATCTCTGCTAGCCTGCCCCTTCCTAAAGAATCTCTGCTAGCCTGCCCCTTCCTAAAGAATCTCTGCTCAGTCGTCTTTCAATACGGGCGGCTAGCAGAGATACTTGAGGAGCGGTTTCCCTAAAAAAACGTCCCAAGAAGAAAAGAAACTGGCATATTATATTGGCAAAAATGAAGCGAACGTCCGGTGAGACTCAAATCGATATAGCTAGCCCCAAACTAAGCCGAAAATCGCGCACAAACGGGGCACATCGCGGGGTTGGCAATATTCATGTCGACACGCTCCAACAAACCCTGCCATTATTCGGGGATGCGAGGCTAGCGGTGAAAATTTGGGAAATGCGGCGGCTAGGCTAGAAGAGATTGTTTGAGGAATCAAAAAGGGCAGGATGGCAAAGATTCTTTAGGAAATTGGGGCAAACTAGCAGCGGTAATCTCTATTTTCCTCCCACGAAATTAGAGCCAGATTGATCAGAAAAAAGCTAAAAAGAACACATCTGGGCCTCGTCTCTCTCTCTCTCTCTCTCTCTCTCTCTCTCTCTCTCTCTCTCTCTCTATCCTGCCTGGCCTTCGATTCGTGTTTTATTGCCTTGTTGTGTGGTGTGCGCGAGTCTGTGGCCCGCGACTCGGATTTCGCCTCCCTCACCCCTCATCTACCCGTTTTTCCATCCAACAACACCGGATTCTGAGAAGCCCCCCGTCAACAAGATCGGGTAGAAACGAATAAAATTCAAAGCAGCGGGTGAGAGTGTGTCTGTGTGTGCGAGAGAGAGAGAGTGAGAGAGAGTGAGAGAGAGAGAGAGAGCGAACGAGCGAGCTTTTGCTTCTGGCGACGGCTTGTACGATACGGTTTAGCCTGTATTCCGCAACACTCCAAATGATGGGACAACCGTCATTTCCACAAAAAAAAACGACAAAAAAACGGGGGATCGCGTGAGAAGCGCCTTAAAAAAACCAATAATGACTAAAATGAAAAAGAAAGGGTCACCAAAATGCACAAAATTACAAGGATTCGTAACCATGTATCGAAAACGTAATTCTTTGAGGAAAACGGCATGGTTAGCAGGGATTTCTTCAGAAATGGCATGCTACGCAGCGCAGGCCTTTTCAGAGTCTTGTTGTGGCCGGGCGATGGACATTCCCGGGGTAAAAGTGAAGCTTTGGCGCCAAAAACTTCGCCTCCCCCCCCCCCCCCCCGATGGAGGCCGGCCGTTTCCCCCTTTCGCGCATGGTCTTTCTTTATGTTTGTCGGGCGCTGGGTGGCCTTTCCAGGGAGTGGAAAACATCAAAAGATCCGCGGAAGGTGGGGTTAGCAGAGATTTTTTAGGAAAAGGCAGGCTGTCGCGAATATCCGTTCTTTAAAGGCCGTAATCGGTTAGGCATGAAATTCCGGCTGTTTCCGGATATCGATTACGCTATAGAAAGGGTACTTACAAGGAGTGCCTTTTGGGTGTCATCGGCAAATCCCTTCGAGACCTAGCTCATTCGATAGAGAATTTGATTCTGAACAAAACCCCGTTGTTCTTTTTTGCAGAATGGCTATCCCCGATTTTATAAAATTTTAAAACTGGACCCAAAAGCCTCCTTTTTGGCTCGAAAGGCACTCATGGTAAGAGACGGTCACTAGTATTTTAATTTTATAAAATCAGAGATAGTCATTCTGCAAAAAAGAACAACGGGGTTTTGTTCAGAATCGAATTCTCTATCGAATGAGCTAGGTCTCGAAGGGATTTGCCGATGACACCCAAAAGGCACTCCTTGTTAGAGAAAACTGATTACGCTATGAAACAAACAGAATAGCCTTTTGCGCGCTGCCAACGACAGGGCCAAGAAAATGAAAGGAAACCGAATGAAAAACAAGGCAGAATTGCTCCGGGCGAGAGAGAGAGAGAGAGAGAGAGAGAGAGAGCGAGTGCATTAGATTCCGAACAACAACCCGTAGACGGGCATGGGGGGAGGGAGGGCCCTCCCCCCTTCCCATGGGTCTCGAAAAGGCCATACAGCCCCCCACCGGTCGGCATCGGCCCCGTCGATGTGTCACAACATCGGGCCCAGGCCGACACACACAAATACACACCCAGAAAGGGGACAACCTCCCCAAAAAATTACCGAAAAAGGCGGAAAGGGCGCAGCTGGGAGTGCAAGGGACATTTTTGGGATGGAGGAGAGGCTAGCAAAGATTTTTTGAGGAAAGGGCGGCCTAGCAGAGATTCTTTGAGAAAATGTGGACAAATTAGTAGCATTAAGGTTTTTAGATAATTTGAATTTTTTAAGGCTTTTTAGCAAATTAAATTTATAAAAAAGGGTAGATTAGTCTAGCTGGTGGTAAGAAAACGAGGGGACTAGCTGGGGGTCAACCTCCAACTGGCAGCTGTTGCCCCAGGGTATTCTCTCGCCTTCTCTCTCTCTCTCTCTCTCTCTCTCTCTCTCTCTCTCTCTCTCTCGCTCTCTCCCCCTCTCAAACGCCAGCTGGATACCATTACGATAGGTTAATGTATTGTCGAGAATCGGCCGGAATCAACGGAAACCGATAAACCCAAAAAAACTAAAAATCTGGAGAAATTCCTAAAAATCACTGCTAGCCTGCCCCACAGGGTCTCGGTAAGCCGTTCCGCTACTCGGAAATAATCCGGCAAATGGTACAAGCTAGCGAACAAATATACCCACGGTGAGAGGAGGAGATGGTCGCTTGTGGAGAGAGAGAGCAAGAGAGAGAGAGAGAGAGAGAGAGAGAGAGAGAGAGAGAGAGAGAGAGAGAGAGAGAGTACGAGAAAATACTAGCGACGGCCTTTCCACGCGAAGAAAATCGTTCCGTCCTTGGCGCCCCCAGTCGCCCGGATTTGCATATCGGCGCCCACCTTCCGGGCGATAACGGCCCGTCGGAGAAGTTTTATGAGGCAGCAATGGATACGGTAAATGGGGCAAGGTTTACGCGGCGATTCCGTAAAGAATCTCTGCTAGCTTGCCCTTTCCTCAAGAATATCTGCTAGCCCGCCCTTTCCTAAAGAATCTCTGCTAGCCTGCCGAGTCGCTAAAGGCTCGTTGAAGACAAAAAGTTAGCCAATTTTAGACCTCTTACATCATTTTTGTAAGAATAACCTGATTAGGGATAAGATAAGCGCTATAATGAAAATTGATGGCCTGGAAACCGGGAAATAGAGGAGGTGTTGATACGGGCCGGTCGAGCCGGACAAAGCCCGCCGCGCAAAAAGTGACCTTGGGCCCGGCGGCGAGAGAGAGAGAGAGAAAGAGAGAGAGAGAGAGAGCCAGAGAGAGAGACGCGGAAAAAACCCAAGAAATCGCGCGCGCAGACAGTTGGCGCTAGAAAAAAACGCAGTAGAAATGAGCGAGCCCGAATGGTGGCAGTTTTTTCACACTCGCGGGCGCGAGAAGAAATGTCAACATGGTGGCGGTAGTGTCGAAACTCGGCAAGAGATTATAACCCCCCCCCTCCCGAAAATGGCCCAAAATGGCTTGCCAGCGGTATTTGGGAAAGAAGGTCTTTTACGCTTCTAAAAACGGGGCCCGGGCAAGATTCTAGGGGTCCAATTTTTCTTATATAAATAGCGAAAGGTTCCGGAACTGTTTTTTACTATTTCTAAGCGCCAGAACTGCAAATTTCGTTTAAAACTAGAAAAGCTATCGATTGCTCAACCAAAAATGGCGATTTTTTTTACAAAATTTCGGCAAAAAGTAATTTTCTAATCTTTTTAATTGTTTTTCCACGTAACATATAGTTAAATTTTGCTAAAAAACACTATTAAAAGACTTATTGTTGCGTTAATAGGCATTTCTGGACTTATAGGAAAAGATAGGGTTTCAATTTCAAATCAATTTTTGCCTTCACCCAGCTAATTTTCATTTTTCGCCTATAAATTGTTATATTATATTCGTAAACAATATCTAGAGTAATTTTATGGTTTTTAGTAGTTTCTGAATGCTATGAAGCTACAGAAAACTTTTAAAGACTAAAAAAGCTAGAGATGCAGGGCAACAAAAAGATACTACATGAAAAAAAACTCGGCTTTCCCCGCAACGGACAAATATTACCCAAGAAAAAGCGTAGGCGGCACGGAACTACTCAAGAAATTGACTCAATGCTATCCAAAAAGAAAGAAGTTCTAGTTTTAAGTTTTTTAAAATTCAAAATTCACCTCCTACAGCGAAAAATTCCCTTCCAGGCCTCAATTGAGCGCATGTTCCATCGCCGGTTGCATCTCCATTTTGCTCTCCAACCGCCGGCTGCTCCTCCGAAAAACGTAAATTACTTTTATTTACGTCGAGTTCTAAAACAATTCAAGTAGGGTTATAAAGCCGGCAAACGAGCATAGATTCTATCGTTCAAAAATTTATTCAGCTAATTTCAGGGCGGTGCCGCGCGTCCGGACGATCCTGAAAAGTTTCCGGTCGAAAGAAACAGGCCCCCAAAAATTTTCTGCATTTTCCGGAACGCAACCCTGAACCTGTGAGACATTTATTACGCTGGCAACCAGAAAAATGGGGGATACGGTAAGGGGAATTAGGAGGTTGTCAAAAAAAAATCAGATTAGCCAGGGGGGAGGAAGATACAACAGATTCCAGCAAGGGTCGCGTATCAAAATCACAAAAAAACGGAGATGAATAGATGATGATGGGTGGCATCGTGAAAAGTTCTGGAAATAAATAGGTGACGAAAAACGATAGGAAAATACGGTTTATTTGATCCACGGGAAAGGCGCAGAGAGATCGGCTCGACGGGGAGGAGGGCTCGGGGCTCGGCGGTCCGTCTTCAAATCTTCACCGCTCGCCCGCCGCTGCCCTTCTTCAGCTGAAAAAAAATGGAATGGTACTGGGCTGTTAGCGAGGGGTTACTAATGTTTATAGCATTTACATCGTTTTCAAATAAAAAAGGCGCATCAAAACTTACAATTTTCGAATCTAGAAATTCGAATTTCTTCGTCAAAAATGACCAAAAAAATATAAATTTTGACTTTTCAAAAAGGTTTTAAATCGGTTTGAAAATTTTAGCAATCAAAGCTACTAAAACAATAAAAAAGCGCATTAAATATTACCGGGTGAATTGATAAATGAAAAACCAAAAAATTACGTTTTACCGCTGCTAACCCCCTTCCCCCCCCCGCTAACCGTCAAGTACCAAAAAAATTCCAGAATAAAGATTGTTCGGAAAGCTTGGTCATTTTTCATGAATTTTCGACGAAAAAGATCACATTTTCGAACGATTTAAGGTATCTAAACTACCTAAAATCTTGTAACAGCCCCCCCGCTAAAGCACAAGTACCAAAAATTCTCCTTACCGGCTGCTTGTTCTGTCGGTTGCCCTGCTGCTGCCCTGTCGGCGTCTTGTTCTGGTTGTTGCCCTTCTGCGGGGTGCCGACCGTCTTGCCCTTGTTGCCCGGTTGGTTGCCGCGCGGGCCTAAATTCCACTTTTTCTCAAAATTAAATCATTTCCTCACCGCCAGGTCGGGGTCCCATCGGTCCTGGGCGCATCATGGGGCCGCCGGGGCCCATCGGGCCTCCACGCATCGGTCCCGGACCGCCCATCATCCCCATCATCGGCCCGGGGCCGCCCATCATCGGTCCGGGTCCCATCGGGCCAGGGCCCATCATTGGCCCTGGGCCACCACCACCGCCCATCATCGGTCCTCCAGGGCCCATCGGGCCAGGCCCCATCGGTCCGCCGCCCATCATTGGTCCCGGGCCTGGAAAAGGTTGAAGTTATTGGACTGGATTGGATTGGCTAGCGTAATGCCGAAAATTCATAAAATTAAAATAAATTCCATTTTAGCAAATAAATTCCATTTTTCCCAGACAAACCCCCCGGAAAAGGTCTTGCTAGGCCGTCCGGTACTGGACTGTTAGCAGGGGGAAGGGGTGATTTTTAGCAGGGCAAAAATAATTTGTTTCCCGCCATCCTATTTGTGATTTTTGTAATTCTTTAATAGTTTTTGATTGCTAGAAACACCAAAAATCTGCACAAATTTTGTAAATTTTGACCTACTTTGGCCATTTTTCAGGCATCTTTACCCAAAAAATGACAAAAATTTCCAAAATTCGTAATTTTTAAGGCGCCTTTTCTGTCTCAAAACTGTATAAAATAACTGTACAACAGTTTAAAACTACTACTCGGGAAAATTCGGTTGTCCCTCCCCCCCGTTAACAGTCCAGTAGCGCGGTTCGCTCAAAAAAATCTAGGCCTGGAGTTTTCAAAAATGGAGCAATTTGCCGCGTAGTTTGCAGTTTAAGAGACAAATATCGCGCAAAATTTCAAGAAAATTGCTCGTGAAAAATGGTTCGGATTCCGGTCTTAATGCTTGTTTCCCAGTAAAAAACTGACCCATCGGCCCTCCCATCGGTCCGCCCATCGGCCCACCGGGCCCTCCGAATCCCATCGGTCCGCCGGGTCCACCGCCGAGTCCCATCTGAGGACCACCGGGCCCTCCACCTCCGCCGCCACCGCCTCCCCCGCCGCCCATCATCGGCCCCGCGTTCATCGACAGCAGCGACGGGATTGGCCTTTCGGGTTGAAGAGGAGCTGAAAAAAAATTAGGTATTTTTTTAAGCAGAAGTTAAACATTTTTGCAGCGGAAAAACAATAAGAAAAATTATAAATTATTTTTAGTTGAAATTTCAGTCAAAAAAAAATCGATATTTTGTATTTTTTAATAAAAATTTGCAACGTTTTTAAGCCTGAGAGTAGTAAAAAACTGTCTAGAAACCCTTCTATATCAGAAACCTCCCCCCCCGATAATGGGAAAGCACCTTCCAAAGCATTCTAAATTTTTCAAAAATATTTTCAAAAAATTTCCAAAACGACTTTTTGCAAAAACATTTTATTTAGCTCTGGCTATCTTCCAAATTTCCCCCAAAAACAAATCCAAAAAAACAACGTACCAGCCTGCTGAAGTGGCTGCATCGACGGGAGTCCGGGTTCTTGCTTGACGGCGATGGCTGCCCCGGTGGCGAGCACGGGCATCACCGGCTTCGTGGCGTTCCCGGACAGCGACTTCTCCTTCATCTGGAAGGCCAGCTTGGCCAGCTCACACATCTTGTCGAATTCGGGGTCGGCGCGCGCTTCTTCGACCTCCTTGTGGTTGCGGATCACCGACAGGCAGTAGCCCTGGAAACGAGAATTACGCGAAAATGGATGAAATATATGGGCTATTTTCATTTTATCGAAATTTCGTTTTGTCAAAATTTCATTATGTCATCATTTTGTCGAAAGTTCAATTTTCGCAATGCTTTAGATCCAAATATCATATTGTCGAAATTTCATTTCCTCGGAATACGATTTTGTCGAAATTCACGTTGTCGAAATTTTATTATGCCAAAATTTCCATTTGTCGCTAATCCCTTTGTTCGAAATTTCGCTCTGTCGAAATTCCATTTTGTCGAGAGATCCTTTTGTCGAAATTTCATTTTGTGGAAATTCACGTTCTCGAAATCTGATTTTTTTTCCTAAATTTACATTTGTCGAAAAATGTTGTTTTTTCCAATTCTCGCCTTGTCGAACTTCATTTTGTCGAGATCGTTTTGTCGAAAATTGGTTTTGTCGATATTTCATTTTGCCGAAATTTCCATTTATCGAAAATTCGTTTTGTTCGAAATTTAATTTTGACAAACTTGATTATGGCAAAAATTCAATGCATTAAAACTTAAATTTGGGAACTGTTTGTGATGAATAATCGAGGCGAAAAAAGCATCGAAATTGCGACAAAATGAAATTTCGACAAACGTTGTTTCGACAAAATTTCGACAAAATTAAATGTCGACATTTTGATAGCCAAGCGGAAGAGATAGATCAAAAATAGAGGCAATGGGCCACACACCTGTGCAACGGAGAGCTTGTAGCGGGTTGCCAGGTCGAGCTTGACGGGGAAGGGCAGTTCGGTGGTCTGGATGAGGAAGACCTCACAGCGCTCCCGAACCAGCACACATTGCAGCGAGGAGGAGACGTCGAGCAGCGGGGCCACGATCGCCGCTAAAAACGGACAGATTACACCCGATAAAATAGGCAGATTCGGGGGAGCTTTGGGCTCGAAAATGCAAAAATTGAGCGCGCAAAATAATTCGATTTGGTATATTATTCAGGCAAGGTTTCGACATTTAGAAATTCGGTTCTTTCGCATTATCAGGGGGGGGGAAAGAGAGACATTTTTTCTTAGGAACCAATTTTGTTAAATTGCTAGCGGGACTGTTTTTAAGCCGTTTTTAACGATTTCTAATCGTAAAAACCTTACAAATTTTGATTAAAAAATACAAAAAAAAGCGATTTTTCGATCAAAAACGGCCGTTTTTGCCCAAATTTCGACTTGTTGAACATTTTTGAAAGTTTTTAAATAGTTTTTCTAGTTAAAATATCGTTTAATGTTACTAAAAACGTGTTGAAAATACTTTCTATTAAGTTACTAGGCGTTTATAAATTAACAGAAAAAAATGTCCCTCCCCCCAATATGCGAAAGAAGAAGAAAACAATTCAAATGAAGGCTGATTGCAGCGGCGCAAATTCGCGCGTAATTTCGAGATTTTTCCAAGATTGTCCAGCGAGCTTTATGGCCAAGAACCGCAAAAAAAAACGTGGAATAGCGGTTCAAAACTGCGGAAATACTTCCGATAGATTTTTAAAGATAAAACGTAAAAAACTACTAAAAACACTGAATAACTGTAAATTATATTCAGCCAAAACCGGATAATTTCCACAACAAAATTTCGCAATTTTTTGCTGCCCTCATCTGTTCGGCTAAGAACGAATTTTGTTGCCCCGGGCTCTCAAAATTTTCAACTTTTTGTTTTTGAAAAAATATGAGCAGGAGCACTTTCAAAAAAAATATTTTGCGGAATTACCTTTAACCAGCATTTTTTACGGCATAAGAAATCTCCCTTATTCATAATTGCCCGTTCAGCAGAAGCCGATTACACTTTCTCAGCACAATTCCGCACTTTCGCAAAGATATCCCCAATTTTTAACGCCAAAATTCTCTCTGACTTTTCAAAATTTCCCAGTCAGAATCGGATCTTCGCGATGAATACAAATTGAATTTTCAGAAATAGGTAAAATTTTCAGGTCTTGAAAGTGGCTCCAAAAAGCTTGGTCAACTGGCAAAAAAAGCCAAAATTCAGATTTTTGAAGCAACGCTGAAGTCGATTGGGTCGTTCCCCTTCCCCAAAACACCAAAATGGTTTTACCAAGACTTTAGGCCCGTGTTTTTGCTATTACCGTGAGCATGGACCGTGGCTGGGCACTCAAAAGCGGGTAAATTCAGAGAATGCGCGAAAATAAAAAAATCCAATGAATTATTGAGCTTGCTACAAGCCCGGATGGATCGAAGTTTGCCTCCCGAAGGAGCTCTATTCTATAGCAAGTGGCCACTTGATTGGCCGTTTTTGGGACTGGGCTGTTAGCGGGTGGGATATATACAACATCCATCGAAAATATACAATAATAGTAGTTTCTGACGGTTAGAAAGTTATAAAAATGCAAAAATTTTCGAAAGTTTTGACCTTGTTTGGCCATTTTCCAAAGCTTTTCACACATTTTCGGCGTAATAAATGCAAATTTTTTAGAAAGAAAAGTCAAACATTTCCGCAAATTTTTATCATTCTTCGATGGCATTTTTCTATCTCAAAAATGAGCAAAATGCTATGAAAATCGTTCATATTTCGTTTTAGGGCCGTAAAGGATTAATGGTAGAAGGGATAAAAAAAAGTTGGTGTCCCCCCCCCCCGCTAACAGTCCAGTCCCGGCAGTTTCCTAAACGATCCAGATTTTGGAATAGAATTTTTTTAATCGATATTTCGGAAACTCAAAGACCTTGATTTGCGCAAAAAAACGGCCCTCCGTCAACGTTCAAAAATGGCCCATCGCCGCCGCGTTGGCCACGGTCCAGAGGCCCAAATTTTGCCGGTGGGGGTGGATGGATCAGTGCCAAAACAAGAAAGAGCCAGTAAAAAGAGTACCGTTGACGGGGGCGTTGTTGAAAAGGTTTTCGAGGAAAATGCGGAAGTGGGAATGCTGGATGGAGCTGGGCAGCTGCGTCTTCCCGTCGATCACGGCAACTCCACGAAGTGCCGGGCAATGGTAGCCCAGTTGCTGGAACGGGCAACGGGAAGTGCGGGATTGCCAAATATCAACGGGCCCGGGTTTAATCCGGAAAAATTAGCCCGAGGAATTGGTTCTTGCACATTATCGGGGTGGGGACCCCCCATTTTCTTGACTTAAAATTTAATTTTAAATCATTTTAAATAGAGGAAAAATTCATAAATTATTCATTTCAAAATCATTTAATCAATATAAATCAGTGTTTAAATATTTTTGTTAGGTTTTTAAGTAGAGGAAGTGTTTCCGACCATTTTTACTATTTCTAATCGCAAAAACTTTACAAAAATCTATTGAAAAATACAGAAAATGTAGCTTTTTCCAACAGAAATCTTCCATTTCCGACGAAATTTATGATTTTAGAAAAATTTTCGATAATTATTATCGTTTTTGATACAGAAAAAATCACCCCCCCCCGATAATGCGAAAGAACCGAGGAATTTCGCGCTGGTTGTGCAAAAAACCTTCCCAATCATATTTAGTTTTCAGTGGGAAAAAATAGCGCTTGGGGGAGCCGGGGAAAACCGGAAGCAGAATCGGCCGGGTCGCCGGTACGGCATTTCGTTAATAAAAATAGCCTAGTTTAGCAAAAAACCAAATACTTTGCCTAGCTATTTTGCTCAAAAAATGAGAGCCGTGTTCTCCGGTAAAACGGTTGTTCCTAAAAATGTATAGCGGCGTTGGCTACATGCCAAGTGGCACCATTCTAGAATTAGCCTATGAAAGCACCGGAGAGACTTCGCATAATTAAGAAATTTTAAATCAAATTAAAAACGAATTAGGAAATTAAAGCAGAACAGATAAACTATACTAAAGAATCCGGTGAAAGCTCAAGGTAACCGTTAAATTTAATAAACTAGAATCCGTCTCTATTCCGCTAAACCGGCTCCCCGGGGCTCCCCCGAATTTTGTAATTTTGCAAAAGAAAAAAACGTCTTCCAAGCTGTCGAAAGCGATCGATCTAAAGAAACCATACAACAGAGCGAGAATGACAAAGACGCGCGGTCGTGTGGGTGTGAAATTCGAAGATTCGGCTCAAAAAAGTATGTGAGAAGCTGTCCATGAGGACGGAATCGCGTGAAAGCCGAGGCTCGCACCGACAAAAATTCGTCAAGAGTATGCCTTTGGGCGCTCAAAAAAAACTGCGGATTTGCAGAAAGCGAAAAGCGGCATCGGCGCCGAATTCTACAACTGTAAAAGACCTTATTCTACCTATCCCACACGACCAAAATGCGAAGGGAATGCCGTGGCATCGACGAGAATTTCGCGCCGGCGCCAAAGTTTCGCTCTTTTCGAGCGAGGAAAATCAGGGGGGAACGTCGAGAGCATCAACACAAATGATGCAACGCACCTGGAAGTTGACGGGAACCGATTTGCCCTCGACAAACACGGACGTATTCGCGTCATCCGGGGTGACCGTCTGGAAGTCGGGCAGCGGGAGGGCCCTGCAAAAATTGGCTAATAACTCTAGAAATGCCTGGTAACTGAATAGCAAGTTTAATAGTTTTTAGTGAAAAAACTAAACTTCCAATAAAACGACTAGCTAAAACCTATTAAAAAGTCGAGATTTTGGTCAAAAATCGCCATTTTTAGTCGCAAAATCGATATTTTTGGACGTTTTAACAAGGTTCAACAATTCAACTTCGAAAGGTTGTTTATTATTTCTAAACGTAAAAACTTTACAAATTTTTATCCAGAAAAATATAGACTTTTCGACCAAAGTTTCATACAAAATTTTTTAAAATTGATTTCTGATGGTTTTCCCAGTAAAAATAAAGCCAACTTATTGTTAAAACACTTATCATTTTTCATAAAAAAAAACAAAAATAATCAAAACGTATTTACCTGACGCCAACTTTGGTGATGACGACCTTCAGCGGGCCGCGCATCTGGGCACGGGGGATGAGGCCGGGCTGCGGGCTGTTGCGCCACGTGACGGCCTGGCGATTGCCGTTGAACGAGAACTCGATGTCGCCCGACTAAAGGAAGGAACAGCTCTCGGCCAATCCCAAGAAACGTTACCTCAAAGTTCATGTTGTTGATCATGATCTGGAAACGGGCGGTGACCGACCAGACGGTGTTTGGCGCGACCGGCTCCACTTCAACGTACGACATGCAGTCGTTCTGCGATCGGGCCTCGACCACAAGACGCCTGAAACAAAAAGAAATTAGCGAAATTTGTTGCCAAGCGCACCAGTTGAACTCCTGCAGGGTGAGCACGGGGCTGCTGTAGTTGTCGCCGGGCTTGTTGAAGTTTTCCGGGCCGCAGTTGACCGACAACGGGGCGATGTACGTGTCGTTTGTGCCACCGATCACTAAAAATAGGTTGCAAGGAAAAACCAGATAAAACTCACTGGAAATGCACTTCTCCTTGAGCTGCTGGTTGGCCACGCGGCGGCACAGTGAGCGGACGACGAACGTCAGATCGTCGACGGCTGTCTGGGCCAGAGCTGAAAAGCAGGGGTTTTTGAACAGCTTGAAAACTTTAGGGGATCTGAGATTAGCTCGAAAACTTCCGTGGCGGTGACAAGGAGCCGTTTTCATTGACCAAGTTCTCACACGGGATCAAGCCTATCTTGTGCAGAATTTGGCGCTGATTCCGAATCTGCTCTAGGAGTTTGCGAAACAACTGGATTTCAAAAGTTCTGCAGACTTTCAGTGCTAAAAATCCTAAAACGGCATTTTCTCTATGCAGCATGATGCTTTTACGGATGTTTTGTGGCCATTCCGGGCCTTTTTTCGAACATGAAAGCTTGACAGTTTCTCCACGATTCGCAGATTCTCAACCAGATTTGGAATCAGCGCGATTTTCTGCACACAAGGCAGGCTTGCCGTTGCCAAGAAAAAAGCCGCCTTGCCACGATGAAAAATGAAAAATCGCAAAAAACGGACATCCAGTGCACGTGCTGTCATTGCCAGCGATGATCAGCAAGTCGTTGAACAGGGGCCAGAGGCGCTGGTCGACCTGAAATTCACGGAATACTCAACAACTTTCGGGGGAAAAGATACCTGGACACTAGCGCCTCGTAGATTCGCGTTCGGCGCTTGTCCCAGGCGCATCATTTTCCACTGAAAAGGATTGTTTGATAGGTAAAAACGTAAGTTGGCGCAGAGATTCGTTGAAAACAATCGATGTGGTCGGGGGTGCGCCGGGAGGGACTCGCTCCACGCGGATCGCCCAGCGAACGCGACGCAGCCGCAATGGCACGCTGCTAAAAAGGGGTGGCTGGTGCGCGTCCAAATAAGAACCCTCGAAAAACGAAGAAAAGCCAACTCGTAGACTGTTGTGTGTAAATAAAGCAATTTATCCTCACAAGAAAACACGGCGCACGAGCCCGGACTAGCCAATGTGAAACGGAATGAAGGATGGGAGAAGTCTTTCCGAGAGAGAGATTCTCACAAAAACGGGTACAATCTGAGGTGACAATTCGATGAACAGACCAAATTCTGGGCTACAATTCTATAAAAAAGGGCACTGTAGACGGGGGGAATGAATCAACGGCGACGAATAATGCGAAATGGGGGCGGGCGAAAATTTTTCTAGCGTGTATCGATTCGAGTAGTCGGACGGGCCTCAATCCATGCAAGCGTTGTTGATCAGGAAGTTGCGCAGGTCGTTGAGCTCCTAAAAACACAATTCATTAGCGTTTCTACAATGTTTTTTATTAGTCCTAAATGAAAAACTTCACAGAATTTTATTGAAAGCACGAAAAGACGAAATTTTCGACGAAAATCAAGTGTTTCGATTTTTTTGAAAGCATTAAGATCTGTTTTCTTTTAGATCAAAGATAGTTTTGTTTTACTAAAAACAACATTAAAATACTTGCTATGGAGTTATTAGACATTTCTAGACTAAAATTTTCGCCACACTGATAATGCGAAAGGACCTTTGTAAATTCACGTACCGCCGCCGAGCTGGAGTGGCCGAGTCCCGGGTAGAGCTTGAACTGCGTGTTCGGCATGAACGTCTTGAGCAGCGTGTGCGTCAGCTGCCCGTACGACAGCGGCACGAGCGGATCGTCCGAGCCGTGGCAGAGCAGCGTGGCCGTGTTGAGGTTGGCGTGATGATTCTGGAAAAAGGATGTTTGACGAAAAAGGGGGATACGAAGTTTACCCCGGGCAGTTTGCTGCGCTGGATGAGGAAACCGGACAGCGAGACAATCCCGGCCAGTTTCTGCGGGTAGGTGATGCCGGCGTAGAGGGCCAGGGCGCCGCCCATCGAGAACCCGCCCAGCACGATGCGGTTCGCCGGGATGCCTGCGGCGATCTAAACAAATCACATTTCCGGGTCCTCGAGAAGTTCAGGCGCGATCAATAAAGGAAGTGTTTAGCACCGTTTCTGTCTATTTCTAAACACAAAAACTCGACACTAAAAAGTACAAATACAGCGTTTTGACGAAAATTTAAAAAATTTAAGTATTTTTCCACATTTTCCACGTTAATTCGCGCAAAACTTGATTAAAAACCCTTCAAAAATACATATAAATTTGACAAGAAACTTTTGAAATACTGGCTATCGCGTTCCTAGATATACTTAACTTTATCGCAAAAATCACCCCCTAGAATCGTAAAAAGCCAATTTCCGGCCAATTCCAATACCTCTTTGTCGATTATCGTGTGCACGAGTTTCTTGGCTGCCTCGATGCCCTCGTCATCTTCGGGCACATCCGGGCTCAGTCCCTTCAGATCGTACCACGCCGGCATCTTCATTCCCATGTTCAACGTCACCGGTCGGCTCGCACTAAAAAAACACACAAAAATTGGATGTTGTGGTCAAGAACAAACCTGCTCGGGCAGATGTACTTCATGCCGGGCACGCGGGCTTCGTGCTGGAACACGGATCCCCAGCCGTCGCCTTGGTCGCCGAGGCCGTGAAGGAAAATTGTCTGTAAAAAAGGTTTTTATCGATAGCAAAAGCGTACCGTCGCTATATGTCTTCCCTCGGCGGCCAAAATGAATGGCGTTGGTGACGGCTTGAACATGGCTTCGGTCGATTTGGACGGGCCGGCCCGAGGCTGTTTGACGGATTGCGCGGGGCGAAACGCGTTGAAGAACCCTGCAAAAGGCCGTGCGAAATCGCCGGAATAGTGAGCAAATGGCAAAGAGCAAGTGGGCACAAATTATTCGCGAAAATCATAAAGAAACTGGAAGAGCCAATACCCACCAAGCACGAACAGGCTAGCAACGAGACAGAGTGCCGCTCGTGCACAGAGCCCGCGCATCCAACTATTTCGGGCTAAATCGGACTGAGTGCACCGCCCAAAAAAAAAACAGGCGGCAAGCAAACACGGCCGCGGTATGTTAATTACGAATTGCTGTTAAAGAAAGGTTTTCTAGTACTTTCTAAAGCTTCTAAACATCCTACGACAGCTTTTAGATATTTAATAAGGCTTCAAGATATATAGTTCATAAAGTTATTGCCGATATCTGCAAAAATAGTGTTTGTGACAACTGGCAGCCCGGAGTACGTGCCTGTACGACCGGCATGCGTTGCCAAAAAGGACAACCTCAAGAAAAAAAAGGTCCAAGCCAATAAATACACGAAATTCAAGGGCGCACAACCCAAAATGTCCAACAAAAGCAACCATTTGTAAAAAGCATCTTTATTTATTCAAGCAAAAAGTGAGGCTTGGTCGACGTTGTTTTGGACGATTTTCTCGACTCTGACCGTCTCGGCATGAAGCAACAGCTGGTGGAAGATGTGCTAAAATAGGATTTTGAAAGAGAGCATGACCTGATCTACCTCAACACCGCTATAGTCGAGCACGCCGACGCAGTTGGTGTAGGGGAACTTGGCGAGGGCACGGGTGAGCCCGCGTTTTGTCGACGCCTCGATCAGTGGGACTCGGCGATTCTTGCATTCGCTTCGCAAGTCGAACAGCGGGGAGTTCGGTAAAACTAAAGAAAACTTAAATTGGTGCTTTCGGCTGGGTCCAAAACCAAAATGTGCTGTACTAGAGAATTTCATCCTGTTTTTAGTATCAAAAATCATAAAAGCATCAAAGCATTTATCTTTTGCGGTCTAAGAATGTCTGAAAATGACCAAAAACTGAGCAAAAACATTCAATTTTCAAAAATGAGGATTTTGATTAGTTGACGAAAACCTTACCTTCATTCATCTCCGCATCGACGTTCCGGGCCAGGATGACGAGCTTTGCATCATCGACACGAACCTTCTTCAGCGATTCGTGGAAGCCGGCGACGTAGCGGCGGTGCGCATGGCTCTGAAAACAACCGCGTTGGAATGAACTAGCGCTTTCTATACCTTTTCCTCCGACTTGGCGGCCAGTCGATCCTGGAACTTCTTCAGCTGCTTGAGCAGATCATGCGCCAGCGCATCCAAAGCCAGCTCGCTGGGGAGAAGGTGCGGAGGGATGTCTTTTTGCCCAACGTCGGCCGAAGCCACCTCGCGCAAGACGGTCAGTTTCTGGAAAAACGCGATTTCAGGACCCACAATTCGTAATGTACCTTTTTCAAAGGCGTCGCCTTCTTCGTTTGCGCCTTTCGCTGGGCGGGGGCGGTTTTTGGCGGAGTGTTCGTGGATGGAGTACATTCGGTGGACACTGAAAAGGGCGTAAGGGTCGTGGGGGGTCAATTTTATACCTTTTAATGGGACCACATATTCGGCGAGACATCGCGTTGTTGGCTTTTCCTTCGGCTTCCGGGCGGGGAGGATTTTGGCGGAAGAGGGCCGAAGCAATGGCCCCGGGCAACGTTGAAAGTTCTACGCTGCTGAAAGGAAAAATTTTCGGAGACTACGAAGCGAAACCCGAACGAACGCGTACATAGTAAAAAAGGAACAAAGAAAAGCGAAGGATCATTCTTTATTTATTCTTCAGAAACTTGTGCCAATAAAAATTTAGCTTCCTAATCGAATTTATCGTTTTCGAAAATTTTTGTCCATTTTAAAGCAGACATTTTGGAAAATGAACGCATTCTCATCTATATGATACGTTTTGAATCAATCGCAAGACTAGATTTGGGGTGCGCGCGTGTCTCGTAGCGATTCCCCCGCCCAGCCATGGCCCAGGGTGGTCGAGTTTCTTTGAGTCTGTTTGCGATGTCAGAGGCCCCCTGGCGCATCGGTGAACTTCTAATAGTTTACTTTTGTTCTCGCAAATTACCGGCTTTCGTCTTGTCAAAATTTTGCCAAATCTTTCTATTTCCATTTTCCATTTTTCCACCCCCGCTAAATTTGTCCGCGCCTCATTTTTCTTACAACAAAGGCGTCGGCACGTTTCAATGTACGATAGTCACGCGCGTTGCCTCAAAATTGTTCGCTATTTCTCTGAGCTTTCTGGTCAATTAGAAACGCCTCTCCTAAAACTTTTTGTTTAGCTTTTTCCCTTTCATTACGGATCTGACGCAGCGCCCCCCTCGTGACTCAGCGTTCTACGCGCCCGGAAAGCTGACTCACTTTGGCTCTATACCTTTTGTTTTCAAATACCGTTTGCATAGATATCGGTTTGGTTTACTAAGTTTTTTTTCAGAAGATGACGAGCACGGCGACGCAACGAATCCCCTCGAAGCGCCAGACCCTCGACGAAGCCTACGCACCGCCCGCCAATTTCTTGGAGATCGAAGTCGTCAACCCGATCACGCACGGCGTCGGCAAGATGCGCTACACGGACTACGAGATCAGGATGAGGGTCAGTTTAGCTTTTCCTTCTCGCTGTTGGTGTATTTCTCTCTTTTTGGAAATGGAAGCGTCATTTCCGACAACAAAATTCGATGCTGAATCCGTGCCGTGGATTCACTTTCTTTTTTCAGACTAATCTGCCCGTGTTCAAGCAAAAGGAGTCGAACGTGCGCCGGCGCTACTCCGATTTCGAATGGCTGCGTGGGGAGCTGGAGCGTGATAGCAAGGTAATTTTGGTGGCTTGCCTTTGGAATGCTCTTTTCCAGATAGTCGTCCCTGGTCTGCCCGGCAAGTCGTTCAAGCGCCAACTTCCCTTCCGCTCTGACGACGGCATTTTTGAAGAAGAGTTCATCGAGAACAGGCGCAAGGGATTGGAACAATTTATCAATAAGTGAGTGCATTTTTTCTTTAACTATTGAGACAACGGACTGCGTTTCCAACTGCCCACTTTTTGTGTGGGGAAGCTTATTTCTTTTTTTCAGGGTTGCCGGCCATCCACTTGCCCAGAACGAGCGCTCGCTGCACATCTTCCTTCAAGAGACCTACATTGACCGAAACTACGTGCCGGGAAAGATTCGATCGGCGTAAACGCGTGACCCATGCACCCATTGATTCCACATCGATTTGTTTTTCTTTTGGCAATACCCTGGTGCGCCCGTTTTCGTCTTGTCATTTCTCTCCCACCCACCATCCACTCCTGCATATTCCTGTACCATTCCCCCAGAGTTCCGCCCCAAGAATTTAGTGATGAACATTGCGTGTATTACAGTTTGAGCCCATTTCGTTGTCTAGCCCCCCATTCCGATAGCCATCCCCCCGCTGTGTGTGCATCGTTTTGTTTCCCCGGAAAAACCCTGTGCAAAAGAGTCTTGTCAAATTTCTGTATGTAGCCTTGCAATTTTGATAAATGTTTGCTGCGTCGAAATGAAATGCGGAAAGCAATGGAAGTTTCCACCAAAAGTGCACTCGAGCGAATGTTGTAGCAAGGTGGCATTGGTGTGATCTAAATACATCCCACCGCCGTCGATTTGTAGCGACAGACGCCTATTGCAAAGGATGGGGCGGCCCCCTCTTTTGAATTTGACCTCTGCCTACCGATCCATTACCATAACTCACTTTAGGTTAAACCCCCCTCTCCCCCCCCCCTACAGCGACGGCGGCTTTGTTACGTCCATTGCTCCGGAATCGTAAGCCTTCTTCGTTAAACTGTCATCATTTTTAGTTGGAAAAGCCGCCTCCTCTGCGACCAGGATTCCCAGCCGCGCACTCAATATGGAAAACGTCCAGGATCCCGATGCCGTTTATGAAAAGGTACTTTCTTTTCGACAGCAGTGAATCTTCCCTTCAGGCAGCCGAATACTGGAAGCAAGCGTCGGCCGATGTTGATGGGATGCTGGGCGGCTTTGCGCATCTCCACGGTCCGGATATCCGAGAATCCAAGGCGTTCATCCAGTCGATCCGGAAAAAGGTTTACTCATCTATTTTTCTTTAATCGTCCCTAGGGCTTTCTCAACGACAATAGCTATGCCATCGATTGTGGCGCGGGGATCGGTCGCGTTACGAAACACTTGCTACTACCGCTTTTCAAAAAGGTTTGAGAAGCGACCGCATTGTATTCTTTACTTTTCAGGTTGACATGGAAGACGTTGTCGACGATCTGATCACCAAGTCTCTCGAGTACATCGGAAACGAGCCTCGGATTGGCGAAAAGTTCGTCGAAGGTCCGCACTGCTTTTCAAACTGATATTTTTTTGATTTAGGTCTCCAAACATTCGCACCACCCCAAGGACGCTACGATTTGATCTGGATCCAGTGGGTCAGCGGCCATTTGACCGACGAAGATTTTGTCAACTTCTTCAAGCGATGCAAGGTGAAAGAAACTTTGTTGTTTTCACCTCAAATCGGTCTTTTGCAGGAAGGCCTACGGCCGGGCGGCTGCATAGTACTCAAGGACAATTTGACGAGCAGTGAGGCAACCGATTTCGATGCGGAAGATCATTCGTGGACGCGGCCAGAAGAAAAGGTTGTTGTGGGGGGCTGGTTGTTTACATTTCTACTTTTCAGGTGCTGACCCTCTTCGAGCAGGCCAACCTGAAGGTGATGCACTCGAAGACGCAGACCGGCTTCCCGTCCGGAATGTACAAGGTGAAGATGTTCGCCCTTCGATGAGCCACCGCGCCCCTCTGCCCACTCTCCAATTACCTCAAGTCTTACTGGTAACTCGCTGTATGCTATTCCGGTTGTATTCTTTCTCCTTTTTGATCACATGTGACTTCTTTTGTATCGATGTTGATTTTGTTTTGAATAAAATTACGTTTGGGCAGGTGGTGATCCTGTTTAGGCCTTTGGACTACAATTCGGCTTTCTGGATTCGGGTTTACGACGCGCGCGAATTCTTGATCGGCTTCAATTTTGCCAAATCTTCCGCGGAAAAGCCCGCAGCACGACCAGGTTGGCGACTGCGCCCGCAAATCTTCGGCTTGCGCAAGTTGATCGATGCGGTGCGATTCTTTTCGCCATGCCCGGAATAAAATCTCTCGGTGTCTCTCTCGGCATCTACCTATCTCTGTCTCTTTGTCTCTCTCTGTCTTTCTCCTCTGTCTCTCTCTCTTTCCCTCTTTCCCTCTCTCCCTCTCCCTCCCCCCCCCTCTCTCTCTCTCTCTCTCTCTCTCTATCTCTTGCTCTCTCTC